GTGTTTACATTAGGGGATTAGAAGAGTTTATTTTTTATTTAGGTATGCAAGCTACGTATATCAATATTAGGCCTTCATTCATGTACTCGTGTGCATGTAATCAGCATGCCCTTCAATATTATGTAAACCAGGCTATTCAAGTACTGTATAATGTACACTATTTATGTGTGTACTATATACAATACAATTCCCTGGGAAACAAAACACAAATACTTTTTATATGTTCAAAATGAGCCATTTGATTGATGCAAACACTAAATAGCTTCATAAATAACATCTACAAAGTATATCTAATAGTAATTTTCAATTTCAATGGTGAAACTTCCCTGGTTACGATTATATGGGAAATCATCACGAGACGAAGATCGTTCGCCTTCCTGGCTTACCTCTGAATCGTGTACCTGGTAATCTCTTTATATAGTTTAGCGAGAGCGGTGCGCCTGCCCAGTTTTAAACTTTGGCGCACACTTTAATAGAGTGTGGTGCTGCGCCATAGTCTAAAAGCCTTGAGAAATTGCGTCCAGACCTTGATTTTGCAATTATTCAGAGAATTCACCTGTTCAATGATTTCAAAATACTTCCTCTTATACTCTTGGTATTGTTGTGATGTTCCTGTTTTTACAATTTCATCTTTTTCATAAGTTCACTCACTCATTGATTAACTGCCGTTGACACATTTTCAAAATGGCATTGATTTTCATGGAGCGTTAGGACTCTAACAGGAAGGATTTCTATTCAGACAGTCTGTCCTCAGTTGACCCATGTCGGAAATGCTTTCAAGGATTCTACTTAAACTTGTCCAGAAATTCAATTTTGTGTCCTTGTTACTTTGAAGGTGTAAGAGAGAATTTGTTTTTAATTGGTTGTCAAATCAAAATAAGGATGATACCATTTCATTGATGGAATTTAATAATGTATTACAATTTTACAAAATATTAATGAGCAAGATATTTCTGTCTGTAAGAATTGATCATGCAGATTAGAAATTATTGTCCTGTTGTTTCATGTTCAATTGTTATCATGTCCTGTTGTTTCATGTCCAGTTGTTTCATGTCCTGTTGTGTCATGTCCTGTTGTTTCATGTCCAATTGTTATCATGAAACAACAGGACATGATAACAATTGAACATGAAACAACAGGACAATAATTTCTGGACATGAAACAACGGGACATGAAACGATGAGACATGAAACAATGGGACATGAAACTAATGGACATGAAACAACAGGACATGAAACAACGGGACATGAAACTAATGGACATGAAACAACTGGACATGAAACAACAGGACATGATAACAATTGGACATGAAACAACAGGACATGATAACAATTGGACATGAAACAACAGGACATGAAACAACAGGACATGAAACAACTGGACATGAAACAACAGGACATGATAACAATTGAACATGAAACAACAGGACAATAATTTCTGGACATGAAACAACGGGACATGAAACGATGGGACATGAAACAATGGGACATGAAACTAATGGACATGAAACAACGGGACATGAAACGATGGGACAATGTCCTGTTGTTTCATGTCCCGTTGTTTCATGTCCCATCGTTTCATGTCCCGTTGTTTCATGTCCATTAGTTTCATGTCCCATTGTTTCATGTCCCATCGTTTCATGTCCCGTTGTTTCATGTCCATTAGTTTCATGTCCCGTTGTTTCATGTCCCATCGTTTCATGTCCTCTTGCTTCCTGTCCTGTATAAAAAATATTGTAATTGCCATTCATTAGTTTTGCTTGAAACCACATGGCTTACTCTTTTAAATCGAATGTGTTTCACTGATTTAATTTTTGATCATGATGCCAAAAATTGGTTTTCAGTTACTATTCAAATATTTAAAATTTTACAATTCTAACAAAAGAAGTCCAAAATTGATCACATTAAACACAGTTGGGTCACTGCTAGAGATGTTCTTTCAGTTTTTGTGTTGTTTTTGTTTGGCATTCGGTGTCTGTAACAAATGGCAGGTGGTGACCTTTTGCAGGTCAATGCCTTGTCTTATAACTTATTTTGCAAAGATTCGGACTGCGTCATATCAATGATTTCATCCACAAAGGTGAAGGAGACTGGCATCTTCTCTTCAGGTAAATGGGCTACATTTCCTGAGATGCTAAAAGCATTGATTTAGCTGATATGTCAGTGTCATCCTATGAATAAATTAATTCCAGGTCTATGTGCTATTGCCTTATATCTGAAATATATGGTATAATACAATGGCAAGGATGGAGTGAGCGGCTTCTCACTTCAATAGAAATATAAAAAGTCAGTCATTATTGTTGCGCTCAGGTGGGCAATAGAGGTGATACATGTTGACGTTTTAAGAACAGGCAAATTGCCTCTTTCTGAACAGTCACCTTGGATTTCTGAAACGTCAGCTCTAGATGTCACTTATGATCAAAACACTTTCAATTTTCCTCCCTTTTTCAACAAAAGGAGTAACAGACATTTATTATTTGCCAAATGGCAAATTCTTAAACTGTAAATTATGCATCAGTGAGAGCTTGAGAATTCCTCTGTCTTAGTGTTTTATGTACTCCAATAAGTTTCATGCTTGATGATAACTTGTCAAAACCAACGATCTGGAAATAACAGGATGTTTGCAGCTCCTTTGAAAATATATACACCTCAAGGGAGAATTAATCGCACACGCTTCATTGGGCAGATTTGATATATATTGCCATGCTTAAAATATGGCGAACCCGTCACGCTTATATTACCACATTTCTTTAGAATGAAGTGGCTGATATCTTATACCATTATAGAGTGTTGACCATCTCTAATTTGTGATTTATTTCTCGCTTGGTCCTCAATGTTCTACTTCATCACTATGGCTGCTGAAGTTTTATTTCTAAGCTGGCTATTACGTCTACCAGCAGACCCTGTTTACACATTACACATTTCCCATGAACACAATCTCAATATAATCCAGGCTTTGAATAAGTGGAAAATGGTAGAATTCTGTTCATAGGAATATAGAAAATAGGCGCATTATCAACACTCTTTTATTTGTCAATTCATGCTTTAATGAGTAAATGAATAATACTTGCAACTACCAGGGAATGATTATGAGTAGAACTTTCTCAATGTATTTATATCAAGTGTCCTCATGCCTCACTCATATTTGGTCTGATTCTTTGGTTGGCACCCAGCCGATTGAGTGTTTTGTTCAAAATTATATTCAGAATGTACATAACAGATGTATTCCCATACCTACTGAAGTTCTAGGTAGATTCATAACCTTCTAATAGTCAAAAAGGTTTTTACATATTAATTCTAAAACTTTAAATATGAAATTTTTCATATAGAAAGATATATCTTTAAGTGCACAACAAAAAATATCTATTTCACTTCTGAGATGCACTATATATTCTTGCAAGTTATATACTTTGAACATAGTAGGTATGGTTTTGAATACAGGGTTTATCTTCAGAAATTATGTGTTTCTAATAGGTGAGTCTAGAGGGGTGAAACCAAACAAAACTAACTTGCTATTCCCACAACTGTCTATATTTGGATATTAATCCTTATATAAAGCTATAAATTGCGCTTGTTGCACTTTGCAGAACAGAGACCTTATATAGAGAAATCACTTATATTGACATTCTGGAGCAAAGTGAGAATCATAAGTCATTTGAAGCTTGACTAATAGCATTATTATATGGTAATTGTATAATAATTCCATCAATTTCTCCCATGTAAACACTATTGATCCGATCGGTCTAGGAGTGCATCTACAATGGAAGATTAAGGAAGTCTTGTTTAACTACCTTATTCTTCTTGTTTAAGGCACAAATATGAATTTGTCATAGACATTTTGTAAAAGCTTGAGGTACAGCTGGATATCATCTAACAAAAAGAAATCATATAAGAAACATATTTGGCACATAAATTGAATTCTTGAAAATCTAGAGGTTGCAATTTGCAATATGAGACCAAAATAAGTGGCAAATCATCTCATGTGTTGCGACTTCTATTATCTATCCTATTGATGGGACATAGCTTGAATTTCATTTTTATACTATATATAGCTTCACTGAGTGGAAAAGTTATTGAAATTGATGGTGTAATCTACTTTCGTTTGATATATTACTTCCTTCCCAAGTGGTTCCTGGGACTAGAATGTTACAGCAGGGGTCTTTAAATTGCAATTTAGATTGATTAAATAAAGATCAACAAGGGATGTCATAAAGTACCATAATGCCAAGAACATGAACTGTTTAGAAATTCCAGGAAATAAAACACTTTCATCATCAGTAGCAAAAGAGTTGTGTGAGGTAATGTCACCATAAGCTCAGGCTTAGGTAATATTTAGTATAGAAAAGGATCAGTTTATATCATAATTATAGTTAAACTTTCAACTCTGTCCAATTTATCAAGATAGAAGGATGTAATTATGTGTCTAGTAATGCAAAGTGATGAACTAATTGCCTGAGATTATACCTGCTTTAGGGGTATCATCATAAAAGGCATATTGGCTTTTTTCTACTTATCTCCAGTTTCCTTTTTATTAAGGATTTATGTATGACAAAATTGTTGACAGTGCGCTACACTTTAATCTCAATTCAACCAGATTTGTTGCATCAAGAAATACGCATTGATAATAAAGTACTAATGATTCACTCAAATTTTGCACATTTTTCTTGAGGAAGTTTCAGATCATTTTGTACATACATGTAATTAACTGGACGATGTGCAAACAAGAGAAAACAATGTGATTATAATGCAAATGCACTAAATTGATTAACATTAGCATTTTTTTATTTCTTATTGGTGACATCTTGTTACTTGTTATAACCACAATTTTATGACCTGTGTTAGTTCTTCATGGAAAATAAAACAGTTGATTTTAGAAACACCTGATAAACAAAGTAAATATTACGCATTTAGCCAACATACATGTCTTTTATTGAAGAGAAATATCACTCAAATGAGAAATCTTGTTGAGTAATTTCAAATATTTCTATCTTATACTTCCAGCACCAGGGTATGAAAAGACACAATGAAGCTTGGCGGGACAGTTTACGCTATAGGCGACCAGATCTTGACCGTATGGCAGGAATTCGACGAATCACAGTCAACTGCAATCCAATGCTCAATGACCAGGGAGCTCTGTCATTTGCAGAGGCTCTCAAGGATGATCTGTGGTTGAAAGGTATTCTTATTGATTCACTTATTCATCAACTTAACAAAATCATTGAAAAATCTGAGTTTGATTATTTTCAAATAGAATATTTTGTTACTTGTAAGATGAGAATTTTTGGGGTTTATTTGCCTGGTTCTGCTCTTAGATGTTTCATTTTCTTGTGAAGTATTTCAAAAATTATCTTGATTTCACAGAATCTTAAAGCTCTTGTCATTCCTTGCCATACATCTTTGTATTTGGAAAAAAAGAAATTAATCTGCCATCTTTTTAACTTTGAGCACATTATATATCACTGCTGCAATGCTAATGGATTCCTTCTTTAAAGTGCAGACTTTTATGATATTTTCCCATATATTATCATTGTTGAAGAGTAGCATTAATAGTTTTTTTGAAAAACAATGTGAGAAGTGTATTGTTCACTAAACTCATCTACTGTATGGCATTTCACCACCCCCTGTTTGTCTCCAGCTCTAGATATGCAGCAGTGTGGAGTGTCCTCCCAAGGTGCCAAGGCCTTACTAGATGTCCTCAAGTTCAACACCACATTGGTTGTACTAGATGTTCGACAGAATCCTCTTATAGGTTAGTGAATGATCATCAGCAGTCCAAAGAGATTCTTTTCATTTACCACATTTTACCAAGTTCTACATAATCATCTTGTGCTGATGGTGTGTCTGTGTTTCTGGGGTGGCTGGTGGTTGCCACATAAAGTCAGAGGAAAATTGGAGGAAAACCCCCAACCTGTTCAACCTGAAATTTTCACGGATGCAAGAACAGACTAATGCCAAGATCTGATTAAGATTTGGGCATCCTGGGTATATTAGTTGTGAGCCATTTTGAATTTTTTATGAAAACAGCGATATTTATCACTCTCTGTCTTGTTTTACAAACTAAGCACAATAACAGTTAATGGCTCAATGTTTACGCATTATCTGGCCAACTTGGCGATTGATGGCCAACAATGTATATACTTTACATAACTAAAGTTTGTACTATAAAAACATTCACAGCCATTCCTCTTTGTTTTCAGACCGCAGTATTCTGACACGAATCATGGAGCAAGTGATGATCAACTCTGATGGCCAAGATACTGAGGTAGGTTCACATCACATTATCATACATGCTTTTTAACCTTCCCCAAGATGAAATTGACCCATTGATATAGGACTGTACTCCTGAAGCTAAGCAGAGAACAGCAGTTTTGAGGGAGGAGGAGAATGCAATCTGCCCTGCTCCACTGCATTTTGGTTGCCTGTTTTATTAATCTTTTGTTAAAATGCAAAACTGAGTGGAATCTCATAGTTAGTTCTTGTTAGTAGCTTGTTATTCCCTATGATAATATTTATAGAATTTTACTCAAATATGAATTTATCAGTTTATCATAGAACCACAAAATAGTAAATACAATTATAAAATTGAATAATTTCACAAATTCAGACTAACTGTTAACAGTTGTCTGGCTATATTTACAAAAGCATATGATATACTATATATCTAGTATGTACTACTATAAGAAGATAAACAAAATTATTTACAAATAGGAAAACAATACAGTTATTGCATTTATCTATTATATTTGCACTTCATTCCCATTTTGAACATTTACTTATTGTTATTATTGTTCAATTGTTGCAGTGGAGATGGATCAAAGTGGAGTCACCAGAGGACCCCAACAAGGTGAAAGTGAGGAAAAAGAAAACAAAAACCCTGAACAGCAGCTTTGGCAGGAAGGCCACCATCAAGGTGAGACCATTGTACTACTTTATGTCTTTGTTTATCTCTCAGAATCACTCAATGAAAATGTACATGTACATGAGTAGATGATGCTTTTAACAAGAATCTATTCCGAAAAAGGAAAATTTTAACCATTTGATTCAGATGGGGATTTTAATACTGAAGATTCCATTACATTGCTGTACGATATCCCAGATTTAATTACACTGCAGTATAATGCCTGGAGATTTCACTGTGCAGCATAATACTCCATGTAGCCAAGTGGTGGTTCTTTGAATATCATGTGCAAAAAGTGTGTATGCTTTGTAAGAATGAATGGAGTCAAACACTCCATGGAGCTATTGTCACTCATTGGAGACACAGATTGTAGCACCAAAGCATAGAGTCACAGTTGAATGATTCTTCACTCTATTGAATCCATTTTACCACCAACTATACAGATATTTTGTAAGCACTCTGGCAGTCTGGCTGAACTTTCCATGGCACATTATATTCAATTGATTCTTTTCAAATGATTCATGTCAATCTTTCTTTGCATGTTGGCATTTTGATTTACATTTTCTGAGGGTGCATCTGCACATGAAATACACCATAAATATTAATGACACAATCAACAGCAGAAGAGCAGCCATAATATCCAGCAGAAAATATTGGGCTATATTCAACTGATTTAACCCCTGTGATTTCAAATGAGGTGCTCCTTTGTGACGAATCACATAATTCACCCAGTATTGAAATGTCTCTTTGGGTGATATTGGATTATCTCTAAATTGATTACTCATTTTTCTTGCATTTTTAGCATATGTTTCGTTCCCTATTACCTTCCTGATGGCATTTCCTAGGTCATCAGCAGTGAAGTTTTTATCTATTCTGACCCCCATGTTTGCCCTGGTGGTGAGCTGAGTGGCATGGTAAGGTTGGTCTGCAGCTAAGGGTATGGCCACCACAGGTACACCATGGTAGATGGCCTCTAGGGTTGAGCTCTGACCACAGTGTGTAACAAACACACGTGTTTTGGGGTGTCCCAGTAGGTCACTTTGGGGAAGCCATGGAAAAACATGCACATTCTTAGGGATGTTTCCCGGAATCTTGCCATCAAATCTCCAGACAATGGTTTGAGGTAAAGTAGCAAATACATCTAACAGTACATTTTTCTTTTTCTCGATGACTAACTCATTGAAGCTGGATCCAAATGAAACAACTATGACTTCACTTGCTTGCTCCATGATGGTAGCTATATGGTTTGGTAGAGGTTGTGGTGGCAGGATAGAGAGTCCTCCTATGTATATATGGTTAGGCATACGGGGCCGTGGATAGTCTATGGATATGTGGCTGTTACTAAAGATAAGAGCAACTCTGTCTCTGGCACTGTTCCTGATGTCCACTGTTTTGTTGTAGCCATAACTGAAACAACAGCTTATAACGTAATCTACACTGACTAATGGCTACTATATTATGAATGTATAAATTATTGTCTTTATATTCAAAGTATTTAAACATTCTGTATGCTGTGTATAGAAATTCCATGCCTGATTGAAATTAGAATTTGATTTAGAAACAAATACCAAGGAACATTGAGAATGCACTCATTGTTTCTGTTCAAACAAAAAATCAAAAGTGATTGTACAAAACCAACCTGTCGCGTAATTCCTGAGCTGTTGATAACGCCTTTAGCCTGAACATTTGCATAAGTAAGTGGAGAAATACATTCTGCACTCTCTCTGCAAATCTCATATTATCGCTAAGGTCTGCACTCATCAAATTCGGTATGAAGCTCCATGGTGTAGGATGCCCCAGACCTCCACCCAAGGGACTGTCATTGTATACATCTCCATTCTCATAATATATTACTGGTATGTCTAAATAGTCTAACAACAATACACTACACATATCAGCTTGGTCTGCGATAAACAAATTGAAGTCCATGGTTTTCAAACGCTCCATGAGTCCACTTTTGAGTAAACTGTCGCAAAATGAAAACTGGAGTTTGAAGAATATTTCTCCAGCTTCTGAAGGCGTACCATCCATGAATATCCTCAAAACATCAACATCAGAATTCAGCCGTGTTTCAGCAGGAATCTGAAACTTATGCACAGTTACTCTTTTGTCTATTGACCTTTTAGATTCATCATATCGATTACTTATCACCATGGAAACATCATGACCATTTTCTGCCAAGATATTGCACATTTTCTCCATGTTTGTGACGCGGGAAGTGACCCCTATGCCATAGGGATACATCAAAATCTTGTAACCTCCAATATTCTTCAGCCCAATGAAAGTCCATATGAGCACCATAAATGTTTGTCTCCAAGCCATTTCTATCTTCATGGGAGATTATAGCCTTATGCCAGTTCCTGTCATGTTGATAGTTTGAAATCAAAAAGGTGTGATAAGTAAGAGAATGGTACTGTGCCTGCTGTATGACTTAAGTAATAAAATATCTAGTTTTAAAGGTCTGCTGTACTACTGAAGTACATGTACTGAAGTCATATTACACCTATCTTTAAATGTATGAACTCATGTTTCATATGATTCAGTGTATTTATCAAGAGCATTTTAACACTGTGAATATATCTTTCAAATAGTATTTGTTTATCATTCAGGCTTATGCTTTTATATCAGCAACACTCTAAATGTTATTTACAAGGTGCACTTGGAGTCATCTATTAACATGCGTGTTGAAATATCCAAAGTGGGGTTAAAAAGTTAATTTTTAGCTTATCTGCTATTTTAAATAAATTTAATTCCAAGGCAAAGTTAGAACACCCTTTAGAAAATCTTTGAGCCATCAAAACTGTTACTTTGCTTCAAGCAGTTCCCTATTATTGGTATTTTTGATGGTTGAGAAGAATTCTATTTCACATATATTCTATCTAACATGTGAATGAAACTCGGGTAAAAAGTGTATTGAGTCAAGCCTCTTCAAAATAGGGAATATCTTTTAATATGAACTAATTTTATATCAAAGGTTGAGAGCAAAATGTGACAATTGTACAGTGTAATGGAAAGGAATCAAAAGTACATCAAACATCAGTATTGGTTGGTGGAGGCTTAGTTTTTTTGTTTAATAGAGTCAATGCAAGGAGCAAAGTCAGGGTTAACTTTGCAGGGAATAGTCACAATGTTAGTTGAATGGGGGAATCTTTGTTTTCAATCACTTTACTTCAGTAACTTATTGCGATTTAGTTATTTTTATCATGGGAATGTTCAGCTTTTTCTGCCAATGTCCTTACAGTATAATGTTGATATTATATTTTCATCTTTAAGTCACATATTTTATTATGACAATGGAAACTTAAATAAATCCACTTGGGAATAATTCAGAAATCAAGAATTTGGTGACTTTTTATTAATCAAGCCATATACTAATAAGCCTGATCAAAACACTGCTGACATCTTTATTTCCATCTCCAGAAACTAGTCTACTTCATGTGCCACTCACTGTACTTCTAGGTGAATACTCCTGGTTCTGGCAAGAAAAAGAGCAAGAGTTATGTTGCAGCTAGACACACCCTTCACCCTATAACCCCATGCCCTAGCCCTGGTATACCATGGAGGACAGCACTCAGAGCATCAAGATACAAGTATGGTACTTCATTGTGTTGTGTCATTCACAGGGGAAATTGATTAAACATTGTATCTAATAGAACTTTTTTTTTCAATACAAAGATAAGACGGCTATTAATGTCAATTGGGTTAAGCATTGAAATAAATCAAAAATTTAGAAAAAGGTCGAATAAGTGGATGTTGCAGTTTTACACAAGCAAAATGAAGATTTAACCTTTTTTGGTCAGAGAAAGCCAGAGATACACACACTATTGGTGATCAAATTCCAAAAGTATACAAGCTCAGACATCTTGGGTTTTGTTTTTGACATGCAATTTAACATGCTTAAATTTTATGTTAATTTTCAGAGGGTACCCACCTAACCACACTCCAGGCCAAGCCAGCATTTTAGAACGTAGCGAAGACACTACACAATTAGAACATTCTATACATGTAGATGAATCCACAGGCTCAGATGAGGAAACAAATAATAACATTGATGATGCCATACTTGAGCAGTCCGATGAAGATTTAGACTTCAAACGTCATATGAAAAGCTTCAAGGTCAGTCTCAGATTTTTTATCATTTTTATGTCACAACAGGTTCGGTGTTGACATATTTTTATAGTCTCCATCTTTTATGTGGTGGCAGTTGGCTTTTGACATTTTGCATGTTAATGCCTTATTTCAAACATGAAACATTGAGTAGAATGCATTTAACTTATGCTCTTTAACAATTAACTATACTGAAATCAGTTAAATGAAAAATACACCAGATGTAGTTTAGCATTTCAGCAAGGGTATATTCAACATTTTGCACTTTGGTACAGCGTTCTTGAATCTGACAGTAATTGTCATTTTTAGGTTGAATTTGAACAGTTGAAACGTAGGTTAGAGCAAGAAACACAGGCCAGAGCTAAAGCTGATCAAAGGATTATTGAGGTAAGTGGATGTGATGCCGCCTCATTGGCACAACTGGCTGGACGCTTAAACCGAGACTCCCCATGTTTGCCCGTGGTACGTTGCACTGGCATTTTGAAATTCAATGGTTGGTTGCTTTGATGCATATTCTTGTATTTACACACAGTTTGCCTGTTTCTAGACATTAGCTTAATTTAGACTACATCGTTGTACAAATATATTCAATGGTCGGATATGGCAGAATAACATAGCATAAGTGTGTTCAGGTGTTAGAAACACTTTATAAACACTTGTCTATATGTATTTTTCTAGTTGACAGTTGAGAACAGTCGTCTGAAGCAAGAGTTGAATGATGTTAAGATGAGCATGAGTCTATTGAATAATGAGAGCATACTGGACAATATAGAGGCTTCCTTCCAGCAGTTCCATGCCTTCCTGGACACATTGAGAGAGGCGGGGTGAGTTAACATTTTATTGTATTGGTTGAAACTATTTGGTATTTTCCAGGTTTGTTGAAGAAGCACTGGAAAGAGTGTTATTTATTTGTCTGTAATTTATGATACGCATTCACAAAAGGAACATATGCTCAACTCAAGCAATATGTTGTTAGAGAAAAGAGTATGATGTGTCTATAATTATTCCTCAATCAAATATAAAAAAATATAATGTAAAAATATAGAAAAAATTAATTAATGAATTTGACAAATTAAATTTTGGTTCTATATATTTGCAGCCTTGGTGAACTGATAACACTAGGGGGGTTAGACCAGGATCAGATGCCATTTAGTCGACCACCCCAGCCTCCCTCATCATCTATGCCACACTCCCAGATGAACATTCCCCACCCCCAGGCCACTGTACCGCACCCCCAGGCGAGTCGGCCTCCCCCTGGAGTACATCGGGTACAGAGTGGGCCCCCATATTATACAACAGCTGGCCCACCTAGCAGTACCCCTGAGTACATACAACGCTTTCAGTCACATCTAAACAACCGAGCAGAGCCTAATATATCACATTTGGATTACACAGTATGTAGCTTTTGCTTTTGCAAACTTTCTCTAACTTTATACACTGTATGTTTTAACACAATGTTTTGAAAAGGGAATCAGTCCAAGATGGTTTTCCCCAATCTGGAAAAGTCAGTTATTTCATAATTACTTTACATACCCGTAACTTTCACAGTCTAGCAGCTTGCTATGTGTATTGACATTTTCAAATACTGAAAAGATTTGAACATTTTCAATGACCATTTTCAATACATGTGATTCAAATATAGATTTGTTTGGTGATATTTTTGGTTCTGGTTCCATAAAATTCTTTGTTCTTTTCCAGTTAAAAGAAGGGCAGGATCCTCACACAGGACAACCAGATCCTCATAGAGGGCAGGGGGATAAATATGTAGCACCAAACCTCACCCCCCAGACATACAAGGCTGCACCTGACCCTACTATGCATCCTGTCCCTCAGAGACAGCCTCACCCTGTACCCCCTACAGATCCAACCCCCACCAATCACCCAGATGACCTTTACCAGAGAGTGCTTAAGGAGACACAGGCTGCTCTTCACCCGGTGTCTGGTACCCACTCTGTACATGGTGCATTTCCAATGTCTGGTGCAATCACACCACCAACAGGTGATGACATAGATGATCTTGGTGTGGTCCAGCCTGCAGCCATACAGCTTGACCAGATACCACCATCAACTGAGTCCAAGCCACAATCTGAGAGGCCCCAGCCTACACCTAGATCAACAGTCAGTAGCAAACCTGCAGTTACGGCACAGGAATCTCAAGACAGATCTGATAGTGAACACTACTCAAAGAATGATGCGAAAAACATTGGGAATAAGCACTCTGAGAAAGAACAATCAGATGGAGACCAGCTTTCAGAACAATTAAGTGGACTATCAGGTCTAGAACAGTACATTCCCCCAGAGACACCAGATAATTATGAAGATTCATTCAACATAAGTGACCACGACAGCTCATCATCTCACCACTTGCCAGCATCCCCTGTTGATAGACCTACCCCTGAACAACAGGTCATCAATGATTCTGTTAAGGGCTCAGAACATTCAAGTGTGATCGAGGAGATCGGGGAACAGTACAGTGAAAGTTTTGAGCACTCTGTCTTGAGTGATAAGGAACAATCCACTATACTAACAGAGAGTGAGGACCAAGATTTTTAACTGTTTTAGTGATTTTAGTAATGCCTGTGAATAAATTGGAGAGAGGTTTGAATTAAAGAATAGAATGAAATTAAGGAGTATAGATCCATTTACTGGGCTATACATGTTGTCCCACAAGTAGAATGCTACAAAACTGATGAGTGGATTTCAGAAGGCTTATACTTCATATGGAGTCTATTATTTATTATATGCCTTGCTAAATTCTAGATGTATGAGTGGGCCACAATGATGTTATCCTTATTATAGAAGTGTGCAATCAGAATGGGTAACCTTATTTGGCCCACCCTGTATTTCTGTCTTCTTGTGTAAAACATGGCCGACATCAAACCATATTATTTCACAGGATTCAACTCAGCTCAATAATGCAATAACTGGTGCCTTGTGCTGTATAAGCGCTATTTATTTGTAAATATTCTAAATTATAATTATCAGTGTTGTACTTTTAGTGTATGTAGCATTTATAAAAATGTCATCTTGAGTTCATTTGTAAAGTGATGTTGCCACAAGACACCACTGTTATCAGTGAATTGTGAAAATGCATGAAACATTTGTCTTCTATTAAGACAGATCAAATCAAGGAATAGGTTTGTCATAGCCTTATACTTTATTTTAGTAATACTAGGTACAGACACTAGATTTGTATTTTTTTCAATTTATAAGAATTTTATTACATGTATAAAAATGACAGAAAACTGATTATATTGAGATGCTTCCAATACAGAAATTATTCTGGTATTATTTACTATATTTTGGCAGAACAGTATGTTTTTCACTCATATCTGGCCCATGTGACAAGCTGTAGTACCTATCAAATCTGCAAAAGAAGATAAGTCAGTAGTGGGGCAGTGGTATTACAAACACTTATATTAACTTGACTGAATGGATCTATTGAAATTCATCTGAATTCATCTTGCTTGGTACAACTAGTGTGGAAAAGCATCTGCTTTAAATCAAAATATTCAGATGTTATAGAAAAAGTTGTGACGTTCATGCAGTATTTCCACCAATAATTGCTTGTATTTGTATATGCATGCAGGAAATATAATGATGACATCATCCAAAAGTACAACTATTTTTTTAACAACTATCATTTTTATGACCCATATGATAGAATGATCATATTATACAACATTAGATTATTTGTACCGTTACTAGGGTGTAATGCATGTAATGTCATTGGTTTTGATTGAAGGATTAAGACAAGAGACAATGCCACTGCCTTGTTGATTTTCATGTAGTAGTGTTCAAAATTAAGAGCAATTTCATAAAATTTACTTCCTTTGTTGGGATTTCCTATTCTAGCTTTTTATGAAATGTTTTAAAGTGATGAATGATTTGATAAACTATGTTGTGCTCATTCGGGTAGACTGTTCTCTGGGGAGTTGCTGATTTTCTAGTTGTTACCTTTATGGTGTGCGACATGATACACCAAGTGTGCAGCAACAGCTGTGGTCATTTTCACATATATCTGGTGCATCTGGGTCAACATCTTCCCAGTAAAGTATAGTGCCATTGGGACATCCACCATTGGGGGCATTAGGGTCAGCAGGTTCTGGTTGACAAAAACCACCATCGGAGTCATCTGTTATCAGCTCGCAACATTCATCTCTGCATGCTGTGTCCTGGCCTATCAGAAACTCACATAATGTAACATGTTCTAATTCATCATAGGAGGTGAATGGGTCTAAATACATGCAATATGGCTGGACTTATACACTCAATAACATGTGATGTGGGTACTTAACTTTTAATTTTTTGTGTTAGAACATAGGTATACAAATGCTACCATACAAATAAGTGTCCACAATCATCTACAAAATCATTAATTAAGACCAATATTTCAAAGGACTACAAACCCAAAACTCCTAAACATCGATGATTGGTACAGATCTTAAAACAATGCATAAACATGCTGTGTCACCACCTCCCATTTGTTACAGACACAGACTGCCAAATACCAACCAACACTGTCCACAAAAAGTTGTGGTGACATAAAAACTAGTACAGTAAACCTCAGGTGGAACACTTCTGTAAGTTGAACACCTCCATCAATGAAACACTTTTTTAAGTCAGGTTACCAATAACTCAATATAAAATGAACCTCTGTAGCTTGAACACCTCCCTAAAAAATGAGGTCAGTCTAAACAGTATTTGTTACTGTTATTGGAAGTTGTAAGAATTTGTTACAGACGCCAATCGCCAGCCACCAACCACCCTCAAAAGAACACAGACCATAACAATATGTCACCACTTTTGGTGGTGACATAAAAACTAACATTTAGCTATATTAGTACCATTCTAGATGACAACATCAACGACTCTCTTACCATATGCCAGAAATGCTACAAGCAGAAGTCCTAAAACAGCCTTCATGATGGCTTGATTCAACTGAAATGGCATATTTTAAGCACCTGTGAAATAACATGTGCAATAAATAACATGATTGATAAAGTACAACTACCTTATCAGTTGTTTTAAAACAACTTCATTTGTTTTGATATTGTTACATGTTTGAATTAATATGACAACTTATCATTTTTATTATTTTGAAATTTTGTTTAAAAATATTTATTAGTTGATAAGCCTAATATATTTTTTTGATTTTTAATGTCACAAAGTGTTGACTTATTGCTATTGTCTCCAACTTATTTGTGTTCAGCAGTTGGTGTTCAGCATCTGTAATAAATGGTAGGTAGTGACAATTTGCATGTTAATGCCTTGTTTCTATTCGCTACTGTCAGATAGGTCAGAAAAGTTTGTACCTCTCATTATTTTTTTGAAAATGGAAAGTGTTATTCACGTTTTATCTAGTACTATCTATTATATATGCCAAATGTTAGATTCCAACTCTTATGTTAATGGTACCTGGAAAATGAAGAATTTCATGAAAATATTAAAAAAAATCAGCTCAACCACTTAGTTGTAGTGTCTAAGTGATTATTTGGTATGGCAAAATATAACTGTTTCATCAAGGGGCTCCACTTGATGCTGGATAGTGAAAATTGTTTGCTTGTTGATTTGGGGGTTGACATACCCCAATATTGACGACTGTTTCAAACAGTGGTGTCTGTAAATACTATATTGAATATTCTTCATTATATATAGGGATTCATTACAGAAAAATGTCTGCACCTTTTAAATTGAAAACATTGTTATAAATGCTGCATTTTGAATATGGGATCAGTATGGGATAAATACTGCAAATACAATGTGGCACATAGACCTTCCTATTGGCAGTCATAGCCACTATCTCCTGTCAACATGTTACATTGATTTTTATAAAAAAAATAAATCCACATGAAGAATCTCTCGCAGCAACCCTCATTTAATAGGACTAACCTTCTAGGCTGATTGTTCTTCAGAACTAATGCAACAGGGACTTATGATGTAGATTGTTTAACATTTGTGGAGTGAATGAGGTGCTTTCTGATCAACAGTTTAAGAAAGTAAGATTTCCTATTTTCCTACATTCTTAGTTTTAGATCATGATCTTATCATTTAATTTCACGATAAAAATACAAACAACATTGTTTGGGTTAAAGGACAATTTATTGAGACAATAAATATCTTCTACATAAATGCAAACATAATTTAAGTAAAACGACAAATTATAAAATGTCCTCCTTTGTTAAAATTCCTTGAATAAAAATAAAGGTAGAACAGAAGGATATCTAAGAATTGTACTCGCATGTGAACCTAACAAATAAAAGTGTGTATATATAACACTGAAAGGACCGACAAATTGCAAAGATATTTTGAAACTAGTACATCATTGCAATCATCCAAAATAAACTACAAACCAATAATTTAAATATTCATAGACAATGTTATATTGTTACATAAATTGTTCAAGTATATTTGAGGAAAATGCTTTCCAGCATTATAGCTCAGAAGCATAAATGCTTTAATATGCAATTGTTGGTCCTTATGGCACTTGTGCACATACATTTACATTTATAGAGCAATGAATACATCGGAGTGTTTAAGTCGAGTTCATATAACATGTATAACAAATTGATGAACAATATGACAATACAAGTTCATTTTAAGACAACAATCTCAATTTTTAATACATCACTGTAATTCAATTATCATATCTCATCCTCTTCCTAAGACATGGAAACTGCCAATACATGATTATTTACTATAATTTGTGCCGAATTGGACCTGGAAATATTGTCAAAATATTGACCCTTGGAACCCAGATTTGAACAGTCTGATCATAAAAATCTCAATTACCCTGAAATCGGATTAAAATACAAGTTACAGTCTGGTAATAATTATTATTATTATATGTTTGATTAAATCAAATTGAGCAATAAACAGACACAGCCCATGATATTAAACTCTCATCAAAGTCTGTATATTAAAATCATTCATCTCTGTTACTTGAAGTTCTGCTAAGAATGTTGCATTTTAACATTTCCCAGGAATCCTATGTTGATTTCTGCTTCTTTCTTTCCAACCTTTTGCGCTCGGCAATACCTGCTTTCTCCATCACAAAGTGTGTCAATCTGAGCATTATACACTCAGGGATTGATAACATCAGGAATGCCTGAAATACAGTAATTTGGGTAATATTCAGAAATGCCTGAAAAACAGTAATTTGGGTAATATTCAGGAATGCCTGAAAAACAGTAATTTGGGTAATATTCAGGAATGCCTGAAAAACAGTAATTTGAGTAATATTCCGAAATGCCTGAAAAACAGTAATTTGGGTAATATTCAGGAATGCCTGAAAAACAGTAATTTGGGTAATATTCAGAAATGCCTGAAAACAGTACCAGGTTGTGTAATATTTTGCATGCAGCAGGTTGATAATCATCACCTATTTAGTGTAATCATCTGGCACTAAGGATATTGGTTGGTATTCAAAGTGAATCATAATGTCACAATTCATTGCTCAAATGGGTTCACTCATGTGTTCAAGTCTGAATGAATGAATGATACAGAATGCTACACTTGAACTGACCAAAGATGAGCCTACTTTTCAAAGTGGAGTATACAAAGGGATATCAAATGATGTAAAGCAAATGTAATTCTCACCATTTGCATTTCAACTTGGACATATGGCATGTACAAAATGCTTAAAGTCTGTAACTTTCTGCGTGTAATGTTGCCCAAGGTATTATGATGTCATGTCATAGCAACCATAATTCTACCTAAGTTTTCATGACTTGTAGAAACCTTGCAGTTTTATTTACAATACTTAACATTACATATGGTAATGTAAAACTTTAGAGACAATTGGAGCATATTTAACAAAATACCAGCCCCAGTCCTTTTACTTTTTCAACACCCTGTACAGTTCAATTGGTTCAGAATTCATTGAAATAAATAATCCAGGTGGTCAGAATTTGCTGGCATATACAACAGACTGTTTCTTATCTCCAATTACAAGACTGATTCACGTTTCTCACCTGAAGACTATGGGCCCAGTAGCCATTGGTGGTTGTCTCTATACCAACAGTACATAGAGCTGCTTGGACAAATCTAGTTGTGGAGGGAACAAATAGACTTGTGCGACGTAAACCACTCAACTTAGTTGCAACAAATGCTGGACAGAGGCTCTAAAAATGCATTGCATAAAGATTAACATTGTAGAAATACATGATTTGACACACATATGGAAGCTGGAGAAAATAGGGCTGAACTGCGTATCACCCTACCAGCCTAGAGGTAGGAAAACTTGTCTAACTCTAATCCAAATCTAATACAGTTTGAAATGTTTTCACTTCCTGTAGTTTGACATCTTACAACAGTTCCATACCTGCACAATGATGCCTTTTGATCTGTACTCTTCCTGCAAGCACTTTGACATGTAATCCATTGCTGTCTGGAACAAAACAATAAAACATTATTTATTAGTCATCTTCAATGGGGTGGGGCAAAGTGCCAATGTTTTGAAATAATTCAACATCTTCTTAAATAAAACCACCCCTCAAAAGCCTTTTAGTTTTATATTACACAACAACTCTTCGTACCAAGCTGCTTCCGGATATATGTTAAAATTGTATTAAAGTTTATAAGAGTAAGAGCTCCACCCCAAAGTGAAATTACTAAAGTGGTGGAGAGATAGTCATACGGACGATAATATAAAACACATGCATATAAGGTAAAAAGATTGTGACTATCTATAATTCAATTGTTACCTTTGTAGCCCCATACATGGTAAGCATTGGTACAGGTACCAACCCAGACAGGGAGGCATTGTTAATGACAATTCCCTTTCCTCTCTCTACCATCCCAGGGAGCAGCATGTTGCACATCTACCACAAAACAAATACAAATCAACATTATTGGTACATGTGTCTCTAGGTACAGTAATACAAATCAACATTATTGGAACATGTGTCTCTTGGTACAGTAATACAAATCAACATTATTGGTATATGTGTCTCTAGGTACAGTAATACAAATCAACATTATTGGTAAATGTGTCTCTAGTTAGAGTAATACAAATCAACATTATTGCTATATGTGTCTCTAGGTATAGTAATACAAATCAACATTATTGGTAAATGTGTCTCTAGTTACAGTAATGCTGAAAGAGCAGCATAATTTCATGATTGGTGGATAGTGAAAGAATTGTTTTGACCTTTTAGAAGTAGGAATAAGGATGGAAATGTTACATACTAGTGTGTGCCAAATTGCTTTCTAAGTGGCTTAGTTAGGCTAAACCTATGTTGTGGTAGCTTACTATGAATTGACCCATAGTCATTTTAGATTGATCTATTATCTATTCATTTTTACTTGTCTGCATTCAAAATAGTGACACGAAAGGGCTAAACGGCTTGCACCAAGGTGCGACCGTCAAAAAGATGAGTTTGAAAAATATACATTTCTTTAAATAATACTTGTAAGTATACAAAATAGGATGCAAATTTGATATTGATGTGTAATGATAGTCCATTCGGGTGTGGTAATTTTATGAAAAACAATTATGGTAAAAAATTGGATATTCATGACCTTAAAATGCGTTTTCAATTAAAAAGTTATTGTTGTCAAGGATATTATTCCTATTTTATAGAATCGATGTCTTTTAAATATACCAATAACCATTTCATTAGTTTTTGACAAAGTAGATAATTATAGGGCTCACACAAGGATCAACTTTGTTCACAGCATTTTCATTTTAAGTGATGTTTTGAAAGAATACGAAGGTAAACTCAATTTTATATCTTATTTGTTGAAGAAAAAATAATTATATGTTTGTTTTCTCGTTTCGACTGAAAAATCTCAATTCATCGCCCTTGCTTTGCAGCAGGAGAGTCTACACCAGTACGAAAAAGTCTTCAAAAAGTTGATCCTTGTGTGAGCCCTACAATTACTTATTTTGCCAAAAACTTATATAATGGTTATTCGGATATATAAAAATCATTTAATAGGTAAAATAGGAATAGTATCATTGACTTTTGATTTTGAATAAAAAGGTATTACAAGCATATAGTGCATTACTTCCAGGACAACCCTCTATATTTATAGTGATGCAGCAGATAGTGAAGTTGATTCTTTTTAGTTTATAGCTTGCAGACAGTGATCTAAGAGACATCATCTTGTAGTAATGGGTGTGACAGTGATGAGTATTGATGGTTTATATTATGGATGTCATATTAAAAGATACCAATTTGCATTACATCAACATCAAAAAAGTTTAATTTGTTCACAGATACGTGTCAGATACATGTCTAGTTGCACTAGATTGATATACAACAAGATATGTTTGAGCATTCATTGCAACATTTAATTGAGAGTTATAATTTTACTAAATCTGATGGAAAATTAGATAATTTAAGTTTATCTCTTTTGGTTTATTCAATTTAAATATTACTTTTGCAATACAGATACCTTAGTTTTGAAACATTAGCAGCAATTTCATTTCAAAAAGATCAGTTTTCAACTTCGTATGTTTTGTTCATAAAATGTGTATTTCAAGTTTAAAATATCAATATCTAGGGTAGTTGGCATTTTAAGACATTTTGCCGATGGTGTGACCCTTCACAACCAATGATTATGTGATCTGAGGTAAAGATCAACTGAATGGGTGTAGGTAATTTCAAGGTCAATATCTAGCAATTTGATGTTTTAAGGCAACTGAGAATAATTCTGACCTTTGACAACCGATTATTAGGTGACCTGTTGTCAATGTCAAGATCATTTCAAGGTCATCAATATCTAAGCATTTGGCGTTTTTGGGCTGAGGTTACCCTTTGTGTATCATGAATGTGTGACCTGAGGTCAAGGTTATTCCAAGGTCAAAGATCAGTATCTAAGTATTTGGTGTATTAAGGCCCTGGGATCTGCTGTGGCCCCTAGCGACTCATGATAGGGTGACTTCCAAGGTCAATATCTAGCAATTTGGAGTTTAGAGGCAATTGAGAACAATTGTGACCTTTGGCGACCAATGATTAGGTGACCTGATTTCAAGGTCAAAGGTCAATATCTAGGTATTTGGCTTCTGTGGGGCTGTTCTATTTAATGACCAATGATTAAAGTGACCAGAGATCCATGTCAGTCTTTATGGATCAAGATCATTTCAAGGTCATGGCTCAATATCTAATTAGTATTTGGCGTTTTGGAGCTGAACATGTTTTTGTGAAAACAATATGATTTTTCTTATGTAAAGTCCCCGTGATAAAAATGATATCATCCAACTTCTTCACTTGAAAAGAAAAAACACATCATGAATCCCTCTCAACCTTTATTTTTAAACTTATTTTTTTATGATTTCATTCTGGTTTGATTCCTTGACAATTGAAAATTGAAAATATAAATATATTGAAAATATATCTGAAATATTATTGATAACATCCCCACCTTGTCACTTTTTGAAAAATATTAGGCTTATTTTCTCAAGTATTTTTTCTTAATTTGAATATATCAAAAGTTCTTCTACGCTAATGAATTAACAAATTCTGAAAAGGGGACAGGTATTGAAATGCGATAAACTAAAAAACCACAAATTCCATGTTATTTTTCATTGGAAAAATTCAAACTATCCATTGTTTTCAGCATAATTTTGGTCATTAAAAATTGATACCTCCTAAACTAGACTTTCATTACAATTCTACTAATGAAAAGGTTTTAATCCACTTGTTGAATAATATTTTCATGCAATTCAAATAAAAAAGAAGAACCTCTGTTGAGTAAATAAGTTCAAAAGATGTTGAGATGGGTTCTCTATTCATAGTTTTTTAGATTGTTCGAATGATATTTTTATTATCATTGAGAATTGAATTTTCTTGAAAGATAACATATTGTGTTTTTGAGAAATGTCATATTTATATTGAGAAAGTAGTCATGGTAAAATATATGACCGTCAGATATCATTTGCCATACTATACCTGGTCCTTTGCCAATTTGAAGTAAATTGTAAAATCATATCAGAAGAAAGGATATCCACATATGAGGTCATTATAATGACAGCAATCAGTAATCAACGGTCACGTTTTTCACGAGAGTTACTTTCTCTAGTAGTTCTGAATTGGATCAGTAAGCGGATGTATTTCCCAAATTCAAATAAGTGTAGTAAAACATGCAAAATAGAATGCACATTGGTTTTTGAAATGTAAAGATAGTCGATTGGGGTATGGTTATATTATTAAAAACAATTATGGTAAAAATTGGGTATTTCTAACCATATAATGCTTTTTATTCCAAGTTCAATGACATTCTTCCTATTTTACCTTTGAAATGATTTTCATACCACCGAATAACCATTATATCAGTTTCTGGCAGAGTAAATAAGTGTAGGGCTTACACAAGGATCAACGTTTTTAAGACTGTTTATGTACTTGTATATCCCCTGCCGTTCTAAGAGGAAGAGCAATGAATTGCGATTTTTAAGTTGAAACAATGAAATAAACACACTATGTTTATTTTGTTAAACATTTAACAAATAAAATTGTGTTTAACCTTATATTTTTTCAAAACATCACTGTAAATATGAAAAGATTGCAAATAAAGTTGATCCTTGTGTGAGCCCTATATTTATTTACTTTGCCAAAAATGAATATAATGGTAATTAAAATATTTTGAAAACATTGAATAGGTGAAATAGGATTATTATCATTAACAACCATGACTTTTGAATTAAGATGGCATTTTCAGGTCAGAAATATATAATTCTTCACAATTATTGTTTTTTATAAAAATGGCCACACGCAAATGGACTATCATACTTATCAATATCAAATTTGCCTCATATATTGTATACCCATTGCTATTATTTGAAAAAAATAATTTTTTATCAAACTCATCTTTTTGATGGTTGCACCTTGTGGCAAGCCGTTTAGCCCTTTCGTGTCACCTTTTTGAGTGCAGACAAGTAAAAATGAATAGTTGATGGACCAATCTATAATGATGATGGGTCACTTCATAGTAAGCTACCACAACATAGGTTTTTGTGATTTTCTGGAGTTTTGGCACACACTATACCAGTGTTGTGGAAAGCAGGTTGCAGTCTATGATATTCTTTAGATTGTTCTGGCCATCATCTAACTCAGCAAAACGAGAAGGTAGCCTATATGACATCCCAACATTGTTCACTGAAACAACATCAGAGAATTACTACGTAAACTGGATGATATTTCAACATTGACCCCTGTTTTGACAAAATGCCTCGTAACAAAGCAATTTTGTGCCAATATTACACCTCCGCTTTCATTCGAAAAGCTTAGTTGATAACAAAGCAATTGAGTAGAAAGTTCAACGAAAGCTAAATCCTAAAAATGCTTTTTATGGCAGTGTTACAGATAGCATTGTTTACTGAAAAAATATGTAGGGGAATTAACTGCATGACATCCCAATAATTTTCACTAAAAAACCATAGGGAAATAACTATGTAAAGATACAGGGTCAGTCAAAAAAGGAAACCTAAACAAATCTCAATAACTCAGTCATCTCATGCCAAAACATACCAAAAATTACTCAATATGAACCCCCAGAATTTGTTCCGGCTACTTCAAAGATAATGTCTACAATAACAACCCTAGTAGCATCAGAGAGTTGAAACAAGAGATTAGAGAGCCATTATATCTGTGAGCATGTAGTCAGAAAAATCCACCCGATGTGTTCAAGTTTGCCTCTAAGACACGATCAGCATTTTGAGAATGATTTGTAAAATGATAAAATCTTGACCATTTGATATAGACCAATGAAAGAACATTAAACAAGGTTCAATTGTACAAAATATGACTTAAACCCATTCCAGATGACTGAGTTATTAAGATTTGTTTGGGTTACCTTATTTTGGCTCACCCTGTATCTCAACATTGTTCACTGAAACAAGAATAAAAGTGAAATCCACTTACCAAGAACACCTATGTTGAGATCTTTTATCTGTTGTTTTATTTCATCATAAAGGTCGACTCCACGAGTGAAATCAGCGACAACTGTTTTGGTCTTCACTTTATATGTAGATTCTGCAATTATGATTATCATAGGAGTTTCAAATAACATGCATTACAGTATATTACAGTTTATTCATTTTACCATGGGCTTTCAATTAGAGTTGAAAGCCCATGATTTTACACATCAATTTTGAATCATTAGATGAAGGACCCACGGTCCTGTGCTTACACAGTTTGGAACCTTCAGAGGAATTTATATCCTGACTTTCAAACAAAAATATTGATTTGGATTTGTAGTCTCGAACTTTGAGAAACTTAGATAGCATAGTTGTGTGACTTAGTTTGATCGACGTTTGACCTTGAAAATTTTACTTATTCAGAGCTCAGTTAGGTCTTTTGTGATTAAGCTGACCAAAATTTACATCCAAAAATCAATTTGAAACATCAACTTTGTTTACCTTTCGAAGGTCACTGAAGGTCAAATCTTAAAACTAATGTCAGATTTGAACTCCTGGCAACTTGTAGATGATTTTCAAAAAATAATTTGGTCAAAAATTTGAAGTTGAAAAATAACTTATTTTTACTGTTTTTTGACGTCAAACATCTCAAAAACGGTAAAAATTTGATGCTGACATATATTGAGAAATATGTAGGGAATGCTTAAATCTATTAATGATGTAATTTATTATTTAAGTCCTACTTATTTCAAATTTTATAGAGTAAACACCAAAAACCGTAATTCCAAGAGCTTTGAAATATTCAGAGGACATAAGTTGCATATACACCAACTACTAAAAGTTATTTGAAAGTTCTACTTCAACAAAGTGTCTAGTATTTACAGAAAATTTGACGTCAAAATCCGCAATTTCTCGGAAACCGGGCGAATTTGGGAAATGGCGATGATAGGTCAAATAGGCATTACGGATATGCATAAAATGAATGTGGATATGACTCAATCCGAATAGCAGTTTTAATTTGTGCTGCCAATGTTGACGGACGGACGGACGGACCAACAGACGGACGCCTGGTCAATCCCATAGGCTCACTGTGTGAGCCAAAAACTATGCATGCTGTTCTTTTATTCATCATATACTATCTGATGTATTGATATTACTTACCTATCTCAAGAGATACATCTGCTAGTTTGTCTGGACTTCTACTGATCAAGACAATGTCAAGACCCCTCTTTGCAAGCTGAAAAACATAACATTCATCCGTCTTGATTAATGCAAGACTTTTCGTTTGAATGTACAGTAAAACCTGTAAGTGGAACGCCTCTGGTACTTCTAAAAGGTGTACGACCTATGGAGGTGTTCCACTTACAAAGGTGTTCCATTTTACATGTTTTACTACATATAATGATAAACAAAACATTATTTTAAAAAATTGTGGTCTCCTTTATTTGATATTGACTCATGGTTGTCTTTAAATGCACAATGCTGTGACTGTGAGCTGTATTTCTTTGAATTAAACGTTTTAAACTTCATTACATGATTTGATTTAGCTACAAGTATTCACTTTCTCTTAGACCATGGGTTTGTCAAGTGAAATTTTTACCTGCAGTGCAAACTCTTTTCCTATTCCATCTGTGCATCCTGTCACAACTATAATTTAAAAAAACAATATTAACAAAAATGAATATCTAATAATGAATAATATAATCAAGCGTGTAACCAGGCATATGGGAGGGTATGCAGCTGTGTAGTAGTGCCCCATTACAAAGTCTGATATCGCTCAGAATGCACCATTAAAGAGAGAATCAGAGATAGCAAGCAGGCTAAACAAAAAATTGTTTCAATTTTGGAATATTTTTGGCTCATGTCATTCCTTGTCATGTCTATTTTCTAAAAATCACAAAAGTGCATACTTTATTCAAGGAAAACAAAAGATTTTTACAATAATGTATTATTTTTCTATAAGAATGGTTACTATTCTTATCATTTGGGAGAATTTAAACATTTTTGACCCATTTTTGCACTTTGAATCATTAATAACTTCACCAATTTATAACATATTATGAATCTTTTGGGAGATATTGTATTTTGATATTGTAAGGAATAGATTGGTAGGTCAATTATGCACGTACGTTGCTTGTAATTTTGTCACCCCCTATAGATCTGATTCTGCCTTTAAGGTCTAAAATCAAACATTTTCTGGGGGACCCTTGTTTTGCTCAGCCTTTGGCCTCGCGAACCTGTTAATAAAATCCTGGTTAAGGTACTGATTATAAAATTAATGGATCTACGAATTGACAGACACACACCATTTACGCTAGTATTGAACCTTTTAGATCTACAGTTTGGGCAATTACTATCGCCATTTCCAAACCATGGGGGTTAGAAAGCCTATAGTGCATAGTTTCCAATAGACTGATAGAGCTATTGTCTGAACATATCCATACATGTATGTATATTTTAGGCTACATTTTGTATTTAAATCAAGATCTAGTGATGAAAAATCTCTTATTTGAAGCATGGGAAATCCTCACTTCAGCAAATCCACCCAAACTGTATAGCAGTTCACTAAGACTTCTCAGGGTGCCATGCCATACCTGCCAACCTATGACCAAAAATTTGCGGTAGGTTTTTTCAAAATGCGGTATTTTTTTACCAAAATACGGTAGTTTTATGGTAGGTTTTGAAAAAATTTGGTAGTTTTTGCGGTAGAGTTTTGAAAAAATAGTACTTTTTCGGAAGTTTTTGAAAATTGCGGTAGTTTTATGGTAGATTTTGAAAAAACGCGGTAGTTTTGCGGTAGATTTTTGAAAAACTGTAGTTTTGCGGAAGATTTTGTAAAATATGGTAGTTTTCCAGTCGATTTTGAAAAAATGCGGAGGTTTTTGCAGTAGATTTTTGAAACAAACTGTAGTTTTGCGGAATATTTTGAAAATTTTAAAAAATGTGAAAGTTTTTGCGGAACACTTTGAAAAAATGTGGTAGTTTTTGCGGTAATAAAAAACTGATTTTGCGTAGATTTGACACACTTCAATGAATAAATAGTTATAATAAGGTATGTTTTCTAACACAGCATTCATGGAACTCTTACATAAACACACTACCAATTTGAACACTTCAGTGTTTTTATAACTAAGATTTTCGCCAGCTAAAATGTCACTCGACTTTTTTGCAAAAAACCTTCCAAAAAGTAACAGTCGCATTAATTCACATTGTCGTACTTACAAAATGATCCACCGCCTAACTTATGCACCATCGAACTCGGTAATATTGTACACGTAACTATTAATTACCGTATATTCCCATAGAAAACTGGGCTTGCTTTTCAACATTTCAAGCGAAAATTCTCTACGGAGCTTTTGTTTTTCTGATGTAATTTCTTCTAAGAAATCGGTGACGTGATAGGTTCAGTTCATCTTATTTCGTAAGGGGTGTCATCTATTTAGAATATTTATTTTCATCTTGTCCAGTCCTATATACAACCTGCCCTTATCCTTTTCGCTTGTAAAACCGCGTAGTAATGTTGAAATTATGGAATACATTCTCTGAGAGTGGCGACATGTCTGCATCTCTACCATCTTGCGTTTGACACCCCTCATTTTGGGCGAGTCCAAGTAAACCGCACATCCGGGTGATTCGAAAATAGACATTTTTCAAGAAAATTCGAGCGGAGAGACAGATTACTCTGGTCAAACTGAGTTTTTGACGAAACCTTTGAAAGAATCAATAAAAGGTAAGTGATATACATTAGGCGGATGCCAAAAATTAAACATGGCGCCAATTTGAAACTTCAGAATGCCTTCTGTGATTCAAAATCACAAAAAAAGTCGAGTGACATTTTAGCTGCGGTGAAAATCTTACAGTAGAACATGTGGTAGTTGAATCACGATACTCCCCAGTGTGTTGACTGATTACATGCCAGCTTACTTAGTTACTTAATAAGTACGCAATAACCACTGTTATCTGATATACCCAGACAATCGGCGGTTCCAATATATTAGAAGTTACATCTTGAGTTCTATAATGCATTGAGGTAGGTATCTTAAGTGTAAGGGGCGTAGATAATTCTCCCAAGTTGTAATCGTACAGGCAAATGAATGCGCTCAGTGCAGGACTATAGTCCGGGAACGGGATAAGGTATGCACACTCTGATATGGGGGTGGCACAAGGGAATAAATCAGCTAACTCTTATATTTAGCATGTTAGCCATGAAAATAAGTTCAATGTTACTTGGACTTTAGCCTAATCGTGGGTTTTCAAGAGTCTAATCAGGGAGTGATGATGCGATGAGATTCAGATTGAAGAGAAGAACCAAATTTTACCTGCCCATTTTCCATAGTGGTCAAACTTCACTCCAAGTCCAAAAATAGGCGACAGAATGAACGCCTTTGCAAATAACCATAGACGACAAAAAACGTTAACAGTAACAATTACAGCGGATATTGCTCCAAACCACAAAATAACTGGAGAAAGATCCCCTAAGAAATATTTCAAGTCAAAATCCAGCGCCATTTTGGTCAAAGGTTTATCGTCAACTAATGGACCAATCATATTTGTCGATACATTCTCGTTTGGCAGCTTGTTTTGTTGACAAGAGGTCCCCGGCTGAGATTTCCCACAGACATCGGAACAGTTGGGGGGGGGGGGATTTCTGATACTCCATGAGTGTGAAATTCCCACTTCCTTGAACAGGTGTGTCATTGTGTTGTCTTGGTTTATCGTTGGATTGCAACCAGTTAAGTTAGTGTTAGTTCAGCTGTGTTTCGGTTGCTTGGTTTGTCTGGCTGTCCTTGCCTGGTTGTGTTATGTCTGTTTGCCATATTATTGGGTTGTACCATATTGTATTAAGCCATTTGATAATCAATGCTATGCTATTGTTGTCACGGATTTTATTATCATGCAGGTGGCATGTTGTGCACAATCGAGTGAGGTTTCGGGTATTACCCGATTGTGTTGTGTGTTTGATGTTTCTCTTATTGGAGAAAGTTGGTTTGGAATATTCGTGTCACAGTCTGATTGTGTTTTATTGGCTGTGCCTGGATTTGGCCATGGTAATTCAGCAATGTGTTATGTTAGGTTTGGTTTTGCCGGATGTGTTGCCTTCAGGTTTGGTATTGGGTTTTGCTCGATTATGTTATGTCAGTTTGAAAGTCGGTTATTGCGTTTAGGTGATTATTTGTCTTGTTAGTGTCTGGTTGTGTTATGCTACTTTGGTATTATTAGTTATTCCGTATTGTGTTGTTAATTTGACAATGGGTTGTGCTACGTAGTGGTATGGTGGTCGTGGAACATGTTGTGTCCGATCAGGTCAGATGTCAGGTTGTGCCCGATTGTGTTGTGTGATTGATGTGGTGTTGGAGGAAGTTGGTTGTATATATTGATATCACTGTTTGGTTGCGTTTTATTTTGTTTCAGTGATGGTTTACAATAAGTATATTAAGTATATAAGTATATTACAATAAGTTGAATTGTGTTTGTTTTTGACGAACGATTGGGGTTTGATATAAGTAGGTCCTAATAGATTTTCAAAAACACAAATAAAGAAACTTAATTTGGCAAAATGTTGAAAATATAAGACCTAGATATTGACCTTTAATCTATATCTAGATATAAAGTAGCCCCAATTTTGATTAATCACTGACCATGCAAAAGATAGTTTTAAGGCCAGAGTGCATGTTGGATTTTTTGCAATTTTGAAAAGTAATTAAACCACTCAATATTCTAGTTCAAACATTCTGAAGAATTATCAACCCTCAATTAATAGTCTAGCTAGGTACACTAATATCTTTTGTGCAAGAATGAAAGATGTAGATGATGTGTCGATATGAGTTATGTTTATCTGAGATAAGACAATGTTCATGAAATTGCATCAAAGTGCACCCTGACCTAAGCACCCAGGGTTCAGCATCCTATTCAACAGACTGAACAAGATATCATGGCTCAATTCGTTCTGTTATATGAATATGAATCCCAACAGGCCCCAATCAAAGAAATTTAATTAATAAATTGATTGTCTTCGAAGGTCCATGATATAATTAATATCCCACATCCTGTCCTTTTATTACTGATAAAAACACAACGGCTTCAGAGCGGTGTCTTTGTATCAAAAGTGAGGAACAATAAATGAGACTTTTTCAAACTATAGTTTATCACGCCTTACCATCGCGTAAGCAGGCGTCACCGTACAGCGTCAAAAAATAGCGGAGTACAGTTTTCTGTACGGTAACGCAAATTAACTGCTTTGAAGCAAAAACTATGACAATGGTTTAAAAAAATTAATTTGATGAAAACTAATACGATTTCATGTGAAATAAAAACAGCATTCTCTAAGAAATGGTTTTAACTTTCTGATTATGATAAACGTTTTACGAGCACTGTTCGGATTTTTTCTGAGTGAATCGGCCCACATAATCGACCCAAGTGAAAAAAGGTTGTTTTTTCACTTTTCGTTTGGTTATTATTTTCCCTGCCGTCTGAGAGTATGGATAATTATTATGAGAATATGTATTTGTTGACTACACATTTTAGAACGGGCGGAGATTCAGCAAACAACCATTCATTATGTATATTTAAAAAAGATCAAATTTGTACGGTGACGCACCAGCTGTACGGTGACGCTATGCTTTGATGAACTAAATGAGACTAAGATTGTATGAAATGGAAACTCTGGAGTATGATAATTTGTTCATATATAGTGCATGGGCGCTACAGTTCAACGATATCTTCCACCGCTTAATGGAAGGTTACTGGAAATGTATGATACGGTAAAGATCATGAAACCAAAAACTCTCTTGTTGCTATGTTATTGATGTTTTAAAACAAGGGATGTCACAAGTAAATCTAATCTTGCACGTGTGACTTTTTAGGATGAAAGATGCAATATCTTGCATGGGGTAAAGATGGCTGTGTAGGCTATCTTTGTTAGTCATAGGAGAAAAGCCTGGTTTAGTTCAAATGATACCAAAGCATTACGTCAACTTTCAAATAGTTAATTCCATGAAAACTAAAAATATCGAAATTAATACTTCCTGTCCGCCATCTTAAATGCGAAGGTGACGGCTGTAACCTTTGCTTGATACTTACCAGTGATAATGTACATGTAGATCTAACGCTTCTTTACCTCTTGTTCGAACAGTAAGCTTAGAGCAATTCATAAAATCTAAGGAATCGTCACCGTACAGCTGATGCGTCACCATATAGTTCTGATCTTTTTTAAATAAATACACTGAATGATTATTTGCCGAATATTCATCTGTTCTAAAATGTGTAGATAACAAATACATATTCTCATAAAAATAATCCATACTCTCAGACGACAGGGAAAATAATAACCAAACGAAAAGTGAAAAAACAACATTTTTCTCTCGAGTTGATTATGTGGGCCGATCCAGTCAAAAAAAATCCGAGCAGTGCTCGAAAAACTTTTATCATAATAAGAAAGTTAAAACCATTCCTAAGAGAATGCTGTTTTTATTACACCCGAAATCGTATTTATTTTCATCTAATTAATCTTTTTAAAACCCTCATTATAGTTTTTGCTTCAACTCAGTTAATTTTCGTCACCGTACAGAAAACTGTACTACTGTATTTTTTGACGCTGTACGGTGACGCCTGCTTACGCGATGGTTAGGCGTGGTTTATGCGGTAACTGCAAGAACGCTAGCTGGTGTAAAAGCAAATCACGGTTAGTATTAGACACCAAGCTGTCATCACGTAGACAGAGGGCAATACCATGCAATGACATCTTGAAAGCGAAGATTTTGAAATGTAATGTGACCCTTGGTCCCTCAAGTTCGGAAATGGGGGTATCATATGTTCCCCTCGTGGCCTTTGTGATGTACGGCGACACCCAGTCGCAGATGGCATACATTTCTAGTATATGTACGCCCTGGTGTTACCTTTCATTTACTTTATAGAATATGAACCTCTGAAAGTTGTACAGTTTTTAGTTTGTTTACGTCAGTTATCAAACATGATGGTTGCAGTGTTTGCTGCTCTTACTTTGTTGTCTGCAGTAGTTGTCTCAGCGGATCGACAACCCGCTTACACCCCTACACATAGATACAGGTAAGAAGAATTTGCAACCAGCATACTAGATAAAGGAGGTGGTGTGTTCTGTGTTTTGTGGCGAACAATTGAATTTTTTAAAGATAATATAACAGAGTATTATTGTTTGAAAAGCAGATAGTTGCAGTTTTATTTGTTAGGCTAACTTATGTGAACGTTTTGTAGAGTTTTCTTACCCGGCAATACGCCCATCGCGTTCCCAGTACACCGGGAAAACATTCCATTGTTATAAATTGACAGCAATCCATCTATTTTTTCTAGAATATTGGCCACCAAAGAAATGTAGTGATTTTGAACAAAAATTATGAGAGTTATTATGTGTGTCAATTTGCAACATTGAAAATTTTCCGATGTATAATGGGGCGTGATGAGCCCATTGGCAAATTGGGAAGTAGGGGCTAAAAATGTTGACAGAAGACAAAATAAAACTACACCTACCTAATTTTTTTGAATAAGATGGCAGTTTCTGTAATGTATTTCCTTTATACGCGACGAAAATACTCTACGCATTTATACCCCCTGATATGCCACATCTGCACATGATCATAGATTTTCTCGATTATCTAGCAGGGCAAAAATTATTAAATCATTCAAGTATGTTAACTAAAACTGTGAAGACTCGGGATAAAGCAACTGGTACATTTGCCTTTATTCTGGATAATAGGATGATGATGTTATAACAAGGGGTTATTGGCGACAGATCAGGTACATGGTACTAGAAAAAGGAAAGGTCGGTTTCAGAGCGTCTATTTACTTCTTTTTTGCTCGAAGGGTCCCTTCTTATGGACAAGATAGATATGGCGAACTACAGAAGCAGAATGAATTTGGGTACGATGATAGTGTTTATCACGAGGATATGTATGGGGAACCCAACGTGAACAGGGAACATACCGATGCGGAAACTGGCGGAGGATATGAAGATACTATAGCTTATAGTTATGAAGACTATAAGAAGGGATATGCTGAATACGCTCCAAGAGGTAAAGTGGATAAGTTTATAATTGAAGAACACTGTACTGCTTCTGGTACCTTGGATAACTTGAAATTAATGTCTTGATTGGTTAAATTCGCAATCGATTTAGGAGTAACAGATCATGTTATTTTACTCTAAAGCGGGCCTAAGACTGTTGGGTACGTATAAGGTACATGAATACTAAAAAGCCCCGTCTGTTTTAAGAGTTGGATTCACATTTCTGCGGTGGCAAGTACAACGGTAATTACGCCAATCCCGGTCTGTCGTATGATGCTGACCCTAGATGCACCTATATTTCCTGCTCCAACGACAGGACATTTTTATTTAACTGTGCCGATGGTTCCTGGAACGGGCAGGGCTACAGACATCACCAACCACACGTAAGTTATAAATTAGCCAGTTGAATCCCTGAATAATCTGCCATGCCATTTGATTCATAACTTCACCAGTTGAATCCCCGATCGAATAATCTGCCATTTGATTCATAACTTCATCCAGATTTTGCATTCGAACTACTTATATGTTTGGGTTTGTGTTAATGGGCTAAAAGTAATAATGCAGGCTGTTTGTGGATATTTGTATATGCAAAATGCCATCACTATCACCATATTTCGAATTCAAGTCCTTGTTTTTATAGAGCAAGGAATCGTACCACTACAAGTACCAGCGCTATGGCTATGACTTTTGCCATGTCCAAGACCGCCATGCCAGTCAGGTGTGCAGACGGGGAAGTCTCGGATACGATTAGGTCATGGATTTCACTCTAAAATGAAGCATTCATATGGGTCCACTCAAAATCTTATCCAGCGAATATCGATAGAATCAACAAATCCACAATGGGTATATGAAAGTAGCCCCCTTTAAAGGAACCGTGTAATGTTTTAGATATTTATCGATCATAAAAATATAACTTTTTCGACATCAAGATTGTTCAAAATTTTCGAAAGGTTTACTTTTGCAAAAGATTGTTAGTCTAAATTTTCCAAGATTTAAAACAAATGGTCACATATATATTTAGAACAATTGGGTTATATAAGCCTATGTGTAGACTTTACACAGGGCCTTTAATGAACATTAGATACTTAACGATTTAAAAAAATGTGGTACATTATATACAGGGTGAGACTAATTTGACTATAGTTTCATTGAATGTCGTGAAATATACTTTATTTCATATTTCAAAAGTATCATGTGATTAATCAAGTTGTCCTAGTTTACATATTAATACAAAGTTTTGCAACAGTTTGGAATGTTTAAAATACGAGTGATTTGACTTGGGGTAAACATGATCTGGTCTCCGCCCGGGGTCTCCGGCATTATCCTAATCATGCGTGGGTCCACGTGGAGGATACGGCAAACCACACTCTCCATAATAGTCGAATGAGTTGCATATCGTTTGTTCATTATGGAAATATGGTCGTAAAAATGGATATCCATGATACTCGTACGGATACACATACGAGTGTGGAACCCTATATGCGGGGTATCCATACCCAGTCCTGGTCCCCGGGGGACATTTGTGCACAGAGACGTCGCCGTTAGAGCATTTGAAAAAGGTGCATCCTGGTTTCCCAAATGGAGGGTAGGGGTATGCGTAGCTTCCTGGAGGCCTACCGTTGCAGAAGTTATCAGGCGGCTGTTCTGAAATAGAATGATCTTGGTGAACGTAAGATCCTCATCCTCTGATCACAGAGCTTCAAGATCCATAGCCCCGTGTCAGGGGATGAAGATCCTTCACATGTGACAAGTGACGCGTAGTATACAGTTTACTGGTAAACCAACGATATATTATTAGTATTATAATTACTTTAGTTGACCATGATCAGCGACTAGTTTCGACCAGATGAGTCTTATACTATAAAATAACTTGCATTCTATTGTTATTCTACCCCCCCCGCCAAAAAAAAAATTACCTGTTGGAATTGAAGAGGACACTTTGTTCGATGTTCGAGGTATTTCTCTACTAACCACAGATGTCACGGCACATGTCATCAAAGCTATCAAAGCTTTTTCCCAAGTAATTTCCATCATTATCCAAATTATTATTTTTTTTATCTTTTTACTTTTACTTGAAATTTGAGTTGAGCAATTTGAACTAAATGCCCTTGCACTGATAGACTCAGTTACAGTTTCATCGCATCTGATGAGATGCTCCATATTTCAATCAATTAATAGTCAGGTCAAGAACTACAATATACAATTGTACAATTAGGATACGACTACAATACCCCGCTACAATACACCATAAAACATCTATGTTGTTGTCTTTTAATTTATGGATGTCATCCAGATGCCATTTAACACTCGCGAGCATCCATCCCATCAACATTAAATCACAAATGAGGTCTGTATTCGTGACCTTCCACTACCTGTCCATTCAAACTTTATTTTCATGTCTACTGTTTTCATTTACATTTCACTCTTTAAACGGTATACCAAACCATACACTAATAATGTGAGGTTACAGTGTTACACATGTACGTAAATAAATAAAGGTGTCAGTACCAGATAGGTGGCACCATGGCACCCGTCTGTAAATTAGGGTTGCTGAAATCATTCCAACACACTGATGCAAGATGCAGGTCTCTTATATAACCCGAGGAAAAAATTAAACCATTTTCAAGTCCATAGAATGAGCTGGATTCAGAGATCTATTTGTACTATACAGTGAATTATCGCTTGCTCATACTCATATACTCGCACCACCTACTCCAAGAACGAGTATTTGAGGTGAGAGGTGTATTAACGTTTGGTCAAATACTTCACCATCATGTGGACCTGGTAGTCGTCTGGCGCATCGATGAACACACGTCGTCCATCGAATACGAACTCTTTCGCCCTCACACTTGCAATCACTTCATAATCGAAATAATGACGACATATGTACTGAAAATTTAAAAATACGAGAGCATTATTTCAGTCATTAAGGTGCACTTAGCTAGTAGTCACAAATTCAACCGCCGGCTATCGGCTGACGGATTGGCCTACCATTTTATGTCCAACTCATTTAAATAAGAATGGAATAGTGGCAGGTACTGTGTTGGCCACAGAATAGTAGGTTAATCCGTCAGCCGGCGGTTGAATTCGTGAATGCAAGCTTTGTGATTTTGTTTTTCTTAGCCGTCAATTGTGCTTATTTTTGATGGAAGATCGGATTGTAAAGTGTAACAATAAAGTTATACAGTAGTACCATCTGTAAATTCACTCATAATATCACATCATGATTGGTGTTGATTTTCTGCATGATGTACATGTTGTGCACGGTCATAGAAAACCAGGAAAAAAACATTCAATTCAAAAATGTTTTTCACTGACCTTCAATTCAAAAAAGATTTTTCCCTGACCTGGAGAGATCTAGTTTCAAAATTTCTTCAAAAATGGCCAAGATTTCAAAGGAATTTTAATATTCTGGGTTTAAATAGCCCATCGGTATCTTAACACATCAGTCCAAAAAGAAGCCCAATGAAAGAACACTAGAAATGACACGGTTGATAATTTGATATATGCTCTGCTTTGTAAATGAATTTGTTAACATTACCTGCATCACTTGATTGGTGTTGTGCGTAACTACAGCATCAAATCCATTGGCTCTTGCTACCTGTATCACATGGTCCTCTATTACATGACATAGTTTAACTTGATGGGCCATGTCAACGTTCATGTCCACACATAAGCAGTTGTTATACAGCAGTTTTTGACAGCGTTTAGAAATGTTTGGTTTGCCCTGTTGCTCTAGGGTTGCGAGTATGTCAAATATGGCTTCCATACTGGGGATGTTATCTGTCTGGATTGGGTTTGCATAATCGAATAAAAAGTCACCTCCTAAAATCTGTTTCGATTGCTTATCAAGGACAACAAATGAAAGGTTGGTTTTGATAGCTTCTGAATACAGGACATTTGCTAGAGGCATGAAATCGTCTTTAGTGATTGAGAGAAGCCTACACAGAGGTTCCTTTGCAGTGAAATTTATAGAGAGATTACCCATAATGCGTTCATTGTCGTCTGCCTTTCTCAAAGGAACAATTTCCAGATTGTCATACATGAAGTCATCATTGGGAATAACTGCCAGCGAGCTTTTGATATTCTTCAGTATATCCCCTATTGTTTTACACTCACTGAATGTATCCACATTGATAAAATAACCCTTCTCTCTCAATTGTACAATAGTGGAAACCATGTTCACTGAATTTCCTCCCAGTTCAAAGAAATTAGCATCTTCAGTGAGGGTGAGTCTTGGAATATGAATGTTTGAAGCAATTGTCTCTAAGATCACGTTGCAGTCGGTGTCATCAGCTGGCAACATGTGCTCAATGAATGAACCTTCGTCATCCGTGCTATTATAAAACTTCTGCAGTTTTGCTCGGTCTATTTTTCCAGTGTGTGGCTGTAAGGGGAGCGTCTCAACATTTACTAACCTTGGAATCATGTAGTATGGCAAATGGGACTTGCATTCAGTGATAATTCCACCAATGTCCAGTTTGTATGTTTTCTTGAGCGTAAAGTAGGCCACTATGACTTTAGTCAATGTGGTGATTTCATGACACAATACAGTCACCTGGTCCACACTTTGGTGTGACATCACAGCCTTTTCAATCTCAGCAATGTGCACCCTCTGACCATGAACCTTAACCTGTGTGTCTTTTCGTCCTTCGTAAATAATTACTCCATTCACCACACGTCCAAAGTCACCAGTTTTGTATACTTTGGTATGGTCCCCTTGCATTATGAATGGATTCCTCATAAAAGTGTTGACCCTCGATGGTCCTGGTTCCACATAACCATCAGCGATATGAAGTCCACTTGCCCATAGCTCTCCCGTCTCGCCGACAGGCACAATACAATCTGTGTCATCAACAATGTATACGAACGAGTTACACATTGGACGGCCAATGGATAACACGTCATCACAAGATTTCTTAAGGACATCATCCATAGATTTATAGCGTTCATAAGTTACATCAGCCATAGTTTCAGTACTACCATAAAGATTAGCAAATGTTTTATTCACTGGAAAGATTCTGAAGAACTTTTGCAATAAATGCATCGGTAGTGTCTCACTATTTGACATCCATAATGTTAAGTGTGACAGTTGATTGTCGTTATTTGTCTTAGATATATTTGAGAGAATGTTCTGGAGCATTGAGGGCACCATTATTAGCCTAGAAACCTTGTGCGCATTCAACAATCCCAGGAATCTGTGTGTATCCTTTGTAATTTCTCTCGGGGATATTACCATCGGAATAAGTTTCAAAACACATGAAAATATCTCAATCACTGAATCCACAAAAAGTAATGATGTTTTAAAGCAACAAAACTCTTTGGACTTGAAGGGGAATTCGATCCACTGCCAAACCAATCTGTTTAATACAGCTTTATGACGTATACGGACCCCCTTTGGAAAACCAGTGCTACCACTGGTGTATATGATGCATGCCAGAGGATTATTCTGTTCCCTTTCATTCTCATCAAGTACTGCATTCACATCATCATCAGATTGATTGTGTTTGGTATTGAGTATTTCCCATGTCTCTTCGGTATCCTCTTCAAAAACATTATCATCCTCCGTATCACAGAAATCAGTATGTTCAAGTCTATCAATCTCATAGGCAAGATTGTCTATTTTAGAGTTTACATTATCTTCGATAGGTGCAATGGCCTTCCCTACTGATATTAATGCAGGTTGGGCTGAGCGGACAAGGTGCTCAAATACACCAAAATAATTACCATTGCTATTACCAACCGGACCAGCCGCACTGTTCTTAACATAAGCATCATTCACAATTACATGCTGCTCGTTGCTGGACCTGGAGTTTAGTCTTTTCAGGAGTAATTCATCGACACTGAAAACCCTGAGACCAGCGAATGTGTGTTCCCCATGGACAATGAACTTACTGGAGATGGTAGGCACAACAACACATGTAGGGTTAGCTTCCGTTATGACATGTTTGATCCTATTGGGTGGAGATCTGGAATCTAACGGTAAATAAGCTGCCCCGATCTTAAAGATAGCTAAGATAGCAATAATGAGCTCATGACATGGTTCAATATCTATAGCAATTATGATCTCACCATTTCTAGGGGCTTTATGCAAAAGTTCTAGCTGGTGCTGTAAATGATTAGCAGCCTTTTGAGACAAAGCCTCGATATCATAATAATTCATGAATTGGTCGTTAAACCATATTCCCTTAGAAAAAGCTTCCCCTGGATAGGAGTTCACAGCGGTTTCAAAGTATTTTTGTATTAGTCTTGGCTGGGGTAGGGTGACCGAAGTACCTGTTAGTATACTTAATTGTTGTTTGAACTCATCCCTCCAGTGAAGTGCCATCTCTGTTGGTGGTTGAGAATCCCTTCCTGGTTACTTATAATGTGCCTTCTGTTTGTGCTGTCATTAGTGTTTAGTTGGCTGCAATTGGGAAGAGTGACATGATAACATATGAGAAATAATACTTATAAATATGTGATAGTAAATTCAAGATTTGCATCATACCAGAGGGTGACACAAAAACGGCACTTAATGTGATAGTTAAGATCAAAATTGATAAAACATTCTTATAACTATTAAAAGTAATTAGAAACAAGCAGGAGTAAAGGGGAATGCCTTAATATAGCGTTATGTCATGAGGAATTTATTATTATGTCAGAATGGCCTTCGCAAACATGTTAATGGATTCTTGGCAGTTTGTCTAATCAATATTTATCAGATTCATCATGTTAGCTTTATTTCTGTTAAAATACACACATCCTGTAATCGTATAAGACAATGATCAATAATCCCAAAACTACAAAATCAATAATAGCAAACTTTCAAAATGTGAGATATATAGTAATATATCCTTCACAAAATATCACAGTTTTTCAATACCAACATTGCTTAAAATGAACAACTTACTTGAAGACAGCCAGCGATCACATCTCTTGCATCTCTATGTATTCATTTTGAGGTAACGGATTCATTGTGAACTATAATCGCTCCCTTTATAAGACATGAATGACTAACTAGATGCAATGAATGTAATGCTAGTATTCCTGCATTGCAGCATCAGCAAGATCCTGTTCAGCCTATATAGTCGTATGATTCACAAGTTTTGCATATCAGTCAACACTCCACCATGTAATAACATTTGAGTCTCTGCTTCAAATAGTCCAAAACTGATGAAATAATTGATATTATTAACAATGTCCTTCAAACGGAAATATATTTCTGACAATGTTAATCTGACGTTCTGTATACTGATTTACTAAATAATGATTGTTCTAAAACATAGATAGTATTCCAGGATGCAAGCGAATTGTTATGTGTTTGGCATTTTCCTTGTTATCAGACAATTACCATTTCCAACTTTTTGTGGTTCGGATTCGCTTCTTAAAAGAGAGCCTCGCCTTTGGTAGTTTATAAGTAGACTGTGCGCAGGGCATCAGTCAATGAACATGGATATAAAATCTGTATGCACTATGTAGATGTTTTCCACATGTATAATGCTTAAATGATAATGCTATCTCTTATAATCTATTATACATGTATATGCTATTGAAGGATATTTTGTAATTTTGTATTATTCAAAGCATTCGATCTACATCATCTTCTTCTGAGTTGAGTTTTCCAAATGAATAAGTAATTGTGTATTGTCTCTATGTATCTTAGCTATTGGCTAAAATTAATACAACATCAGTAGTATTCGGTAATCACATGCCCCTTCTTACAGGGATATAGTCATCTATGTTAAGCATTTCCAGGGGCATCTCTACTCCTTTTGAGCCTCTTGTTGTCTGTCAAATAAGAATTACCTTGTCCTGCGAAGAAATAACCCTTGAAACTCAATTGGATGATAGGCCGACAACTTTGGTTTCCATAAACTCTAATTTGACTAAATATTCGACATATTTTTAAACCCAAGCCATTATATATATATAGCTAGTTTCTTTCTTTTCCACTTAAAACATGAAAGTCTGTGATACTTCACTTTCAGGTATTTATGCAGCCTGTTGCTCCAGAATAGATCAATATTTTCCAATCAATAAAATTTCAAACTGTTCATGGTTTGATCATGGAATATTGTGAATTGGAGAGAAATTACAAGGGAATATTGAGATAGATATGAAGTACTGTCTCTACATTGTACATTAATGATTATTAAAATTGTAAACTTCTTACAAGATTTAGAGAGATTACATAAATTGTATATGAAGAGATTGATATTTTAAGTGTAGGAGATTCTGCAATTGCTAGAAGTGTGACATATTAGTTTCTGAGGCGGATCAATAAATCACTGAAGTAACAGGGAGTAGGGGATTGTATCAATACATATATAGAAATTATTTAAAGTCAAAATAAGGGACTTTCTCAAAATGTTTAGCAATAAAGCATCACAGCTTAGAGTGCAAACAGGATGCTAATATACAGCATCAAATGAATTCAATTTATCCTAATAATCAGATACTATGAAGTCTGCATTCGTTGAAACGTTGTAAGAATCAAACTTTTTTTGTAATTTCTCTGATGAAAGTGTTTTTACCTAGACAAATCTAATATCCATTTTAAGGTTACATATTGCAAAGATATTGCACTTGATAGTGCAGACGCAGTCACACTTTATCAGGGTTATGAACGGTATGCCTATCTAATGTAAGGCAATATTGTTGATATCTTCGTTTTTAAGACCATAAATGATGTAATTCACAAGGCAAAAAGAATACAAATACACTGAATGAGTGAATATATCTTAATGACCTCGACCCTACGTTCTGCAAAACAGGGGAAAAATATTTTGAACTTGTATATAATCATGGGCTTTCAAGAGATCTCTTGAAAACACATGATATAACGTAAGAGCTTAAAATCTTGTGCTTTAGTGCTTTAATCTGCATCAGTGATGGGTTCACTTGTTTTGAAAACAAAACCTTTAAATGAGTAGAATACTTTGGTCTCTAAACCTGCAGATTGCTCTAAAACGCAATACATGTATGTCAGTATGTGGACATATATATTACTTTTACATTTTCATACAGCCAACAAGACTATTTAGAAGCTGCACTTACTTTTCAACTACCTGAACTAAACAAAGTATGGTAGTCACATTTTTCATATTGTCTATTTAAATTAAATTAGTTTTACACTAAGTGACTAACTGTTTGGTGCTTAAAATAAAAATTGTCATCAAAATGTCCAATATTCATAAAACCATCAAAAGAATCTGTATAAGCTCCTTATACCAGGCACTGTTGATGATAAGATGTCCATAATAGGAGTCTATATAACACATTTCTGAGGTGTGTGCTTCAAAATGTTGAGCTATACATCTGCTAATATCACTATAGTGTCCACTATTTGTAGGAGTTGGCCTTGTGTTTAGGCAAGAATGTGAATCCATCAGGGACAGGTCCAAGTAGCATCTCACTGGAAAGAAACATTTAAATACTCTTTAAATTGCAATTTTTCTAATTTTGGCACTTTTAAAGGTCGTGATTTTGTATTTAGGAGTAATATTATATACAGTTGGTTCGTTGTTCCATGTCAAAAATCTCAATTGATTTCTTAGTAAGACTCACATCAGTTTCAATCATCTATTGGACAAAGGTGACATTATATACCATTACTTAAGTAAAGTTATTTTCTCATATCATATGAAAATATCATCCAATGTCTACTACCACATTTTCTTTTTAAATATGATGATTATTTCAACACTGATAATTGTATTCCCTTTAAAGGCCTACCTAATTTTCACCCAGTCTGCGCAGTTGCCACTAGCCATGAGTGTTTCTAGGTCATTGCGACCTACATAGTAAGGTGGCCTCTCATTGATCCTCTGAGGAGCTTGTTCTAATATACCCACTGGGATATATCTGAAATACAAATGTTCAATTATGTAACAATGGTCTCCCACTTTAAGAAAACAAAATGGCTACACTACACTACAGTTAAAACCACACTACATTATTGCATGCACCAAAGAATAAATCTCCAATGAACAATATCAACAAGTGTGCTTTAGGTAAGATCTGAAAGCATATCAATAGTGCCAGAATTACAGTAATATCAAACATTACGATACTGCAATTGAATGACTTTGCAATAATATGTGATCTAAAATAGTGGAAGATTGAAAGAAACATTTATCTCTAATGAAAGAAAGGATAGTTAGAATAAATGTACAATACCTGTATAAGAAAGAGAGCCATTCTAATAGGAATTTTCTTGTAATGTCGACACCCTGTTGGTCTGAGCCCCAATGCTCTAGGCCATAATTAGCATAGCGTTGTAGCATATCAAGACGTTCCCCTGAGCTTATATCCCAGTCCCGCTGCTCCTTGATCTCTGTGAAGACCCAGGGTTTAATGAGGGCACCCCTAGCCAACATGAGACCTGACACTCCTGTAGTTTCCTTCCTGAGGTTTGCCTCTTGATATGACATGACATCACCATTACCTGGATCACATAGGAATTACAGACATAATGTAAGCATAACATTTCAGTAATATTACCATTTCGAATGATTGTGTTGGGAGACAATAAAAGACATTTGGTAGCCATAGTAACCAACCTACATGGTACACACATGCTGAATTTGCAAAAATGGCCTTCAACGCGAGCTTATCTTAAATATCTATGAGAATTTAATGAGTGTTTTTAAAAGATAAAGTGTGCAATAGTCATAAGAAAGGGATCCAAATACCATTACCATTCCGCTCCCAGAGAACAATCCTACAAAATGCTGGAGATGTCCTTTGAGAAAAGTTGTACTCACCAAAGAATGTCATGGGTTTGGCTGCCTTTGCACATTGTTTTATATAGTCCCAGTCTGCAAGTTTTGTATACCTCTGTTCTCTTGTTCTGCCATGTAACTGCAATGATAGAATGCTTCATGTAACACAGTCAGGCCCATATCCAGGATTTGCCAAGGGGGATTCACGTTAACTTTTGACAATATTTGTCCAAAAATGGCCAAAATCTCTTAGAAATTGCTCAGACTGGTGAAAAAACTGCATGATTTTGAAAGAACTTTTGGCCGGGGGGGGGGGGGGGGGGGGGGTTCTAAGTGACATTTCATGTAACTAGAGACACAAACTTCATGTAACTATTGTGGGAAAACGATAAACATTTAAAGTAACTATAGAGGAATAGCAGATTTGCAAGTGCATGTTACACAAGTGAACCCAATAGTTGATATCAAAATGTGCTAATCTCATTGGAAAAATAATGATCAAAGGAAGGATCAAAATAATTTCACTCAAAATCTTAGAAGTTATCTAAAATGTACTCATAAAGAGCAAATGTCTTGATAATAGCTTAATGATAGGTTATTAGATCATATTACATCAAACATTGAATTGTATGCTTACAGTACACATGGGCACACCCCAGTCTTTCAACTTGGGTATCAACTGGTGGGCAATGTTCTTGTCGTCATAGATACCAGTCCTCATCTTCACGGTTAAAGGGACATCTATCACTTCCTGCATACTCTTTATGATAGTCTCAAATCGGGCTGTTCGCCCCATCAATGCAGAGCCCTCACCCTACAACAAATAGAGCTACTTGTCGATTTCAAAAGATGAAATTATTTGAAATTACATGCTCAATTCTGTTGTCATATATATTATATATATTGGTAAACATTAAAAGGTGGATTGGATCGAGTGGATTGGATTCATGTAAAAGGTGGATTGGATCGAGAATCTTCAAAATATTGATTTTCCTTAAAAAAATTCTATTGATCTCCCTCTAAGAAGATTGGTGCTCTCCTTGCTTCCACAATGTCAAATAAAAGATGTAATATTATTTTGCTTGGGTGGGCGAGAAGGGTGACCTGATACCCGCTTTATTATTCATTCCAAGTGTAATTTGAGACATTTCATAAATCATAAGGCAATCTGGTTTGACGATCCAAATCATGTTTTCAGTCCAAACAGAACATAGCAGAAATGTTTTATGGACTATATCCACACATCAATTTGAATGACAGCTTTTACCTACAGACAGATCTATGTTTATTATGTCTTACAAAAGTTGATTTACAAGGGAAGGCAATTAAATACTTAAGGAGCATCTTTTAACTAAATGGAGTATATATTTGTTGTTGCTTTGTTCTGATTCCTCAAAGGTACTCGAGTTATCACAAAATACTTTAGGAGATCAACAGAAATTCCATATTTTGAAGATTCTGGATCCAATCCACCTTTTACATGAATCCAATCCACTCGATCCAATCCACCTTTTAATCTCTACCTATATATTCATTGAAATCAATCAAACAATTTCACATAACATGAATATTACAGGAAACAAGGCTATAGGTACACAGCCTCTACTTTGGGCTAAAGTCCTTGTAAATTTTAATGTTTCATGCAATTTCATGTCTCTCTTGGGTAAAATTTTGTTTAGATATTTAAAACACAACCAAACAGGCCATATAATAACATGTACATTATTATTGTTCTTAAAATATGAAAGTAACTGGTACGTCTTGATACACTGCATTATGATTGTACATACCCTCTTGAAGACTAGATCAATAGGGCAGCCGACATTGATGTCAATGAAGTCAATATTGGTGGTCTCTGTTATAACCTGGGCGCACTTTGTCATTGTATCCTGGAATCCCCCACACAGCTACAATTCAAGAATAAATAAGTAAACATATTTTACAAGTAACCAAGACAATTTTGAAAAAATTTGCTTTTTGAAAAGCAATTAATGGCACTAATCAATTTGGTGAATTCACCATTTTCATAACTTTGGCAGGGTGACAGGTCATCTCAACCCCAAGTCATCTCAACCCAGTCCAACTCAACCCCAAGTCAAGTCAACCCCAGTAAAACTCAACCCCAAGTCAAGTCAACCCTGTAAAACTCAACCCCAGTAAAACTCAACCCTATTCATTTGTGCAATGTCTAATTTAATTTTTTTATGATGAATAATTTAAGTCATTCATTTCTGAAAATCTAGCATTTTGCATGATACTTTGAATTGAAAGTTGTAAAAGTATTAAAAAAACGGTTAAGCTGAAGGATAATTCATCAAGTTGTCACTAGTTGTCACTATTATCTAATTTAAGACATCTTTTGAAATCCAATTTTAGATAATTTAGAAATAATTAACAATGTAATATAACTTTTTTTATTCATATGAACATGCATTAACAAAATCATTAACATTTACTAATTAATAGACTGAATATAGGTGTAGCCAGGAAAACCGGAAAACCTGATTTTTTGGGCGATCGCATCGCTCCTGACTGAAAGCTGGCTATGCCACTGGAAAGCAATGGACATTTTCCAGTTTTCCAAATAATCACGAGTGTCAACCTCATAGGGATTACATCAAAACAAATGTATAAGCAAGATTAATAAAATGACCCATATTCTAATCCTATTAGTACCATGTTGAGATTTTGGAGATAAACTCATTATTAACTATAATCTAAAAAGGCAGTGGTCTAAGATTGAAAATCACAAACTGAATAATCGGAATTATTTTTATGAAATAAACTTTGTTATAAGTTTATCAATATATAGAAATATAGGGGTTGAGTTTTACTGGGGTTGAGTTTTACAGGGTTGAGTTGACTTGGGGTTGAGTTTTACTGGGGTTGACTTGACTTGGGGTTGAGTTTTACTGGGTTGAGTTGACTTGGGGTTGAGATGACCAGGAAGCCTTTGGCAGTACCTCATGTGCACTGAATGAATGGCCAAAAGATTTCAAATGATTTCAAAAATTGTTTTATGTTGATAAAGATCTGAATTCGACTATCTGGTTGAGAAATGCCATATCAAACCAGGCGCCAAATCAAAACAAATAACAAGTTATTATTAAACACGTTATATACTAATTTATTGCATAGTACCTGTACTCCAAATATGTCCTCTGTGTGGTGTCTCTTCAACAGTGCCCACTCTGACTGTTGCCCTTGGAGCAAGTTGGTACACATAGCCATCTCCCCACATGTTATATCAACCCCATACTCCTTGCAGACACGGCGGTATGGGAGGTTCCCAACCTACAATGTATATATAATGGTGGTACACACAGCCATTTCCCCACATGTTATATAAACCCCATACTCCTTGCAGATACGGCGGTATGGGAGGTTCCCAACCTAGAATGTACATATAATGGTGGTACACATAGCCATCTCCCCACATGTTATATCAACCCCATACTCCTTGCAGATACGGCGGTATGGGAGGTTCCCTACCTAGAATGTACATATAATGGTGGTACACATAGACATCTCCCCACATGTTATATCAACCCCATACTCCTTGCAGATACGGCGGTATGGGAGATTTCCCACCTAGAATGTATATATAATGGTGGTACACATAGCCATCTCCCCACATGTTATATCAACCCCATACTCCTTGCAGATACGGCGGTATGGGAGGTTCCCTACCTAGAATGTACATATAATGGTGGTACACATAGACATCTCCCCACATGTTATATCAACCCCATACTCCTTGCAGATACGGCGGTATGGGAGGTTCCCAACCTAGAATGTACATAATGGTGGTACACATAGCCATCTCCCCACATGTTATATCAACCCCATACTTCTTGCAGATACGGCGGTATGGGAGATTTCCCACCTAGAATGTATATATAATGGTGGTACACATAGCCATCTCCCCACATGTTATATCCATCCCATACTCCTCGCAGATACGACAGAATGGGAGATTACCAACCTACATGCATATTTAATAGAACATAATAGATGGTGCACATATCTATCTCCAAACATGTTATATTTGCCACATACTATATTGTCTGCCCCATTGCAAACTTTGGTCCATCTTTTGGAAGAGTGATCAGAAAAAATATTAAAACCTATCAAGCTGAAACTTTTAAAGATCAATGGCAATCTATATAATCTGATTTGAGAAAACTATAAATGATACACTCTTATCTTGTGTATCGTAACAAAGAAGCAGTTTTCTCTTGACACAACAAAAGAAAGAGCATAGACTATTGATGTAACTTACCAGTATGAACCTGTATATTATGTAAACGAAATCACATAACAAGAAGCCACACAGAAGTTGAAGTTCTTTAGTACTTGGACTCTCTAACGTGTGATAGTCAACATATGTTACAATATTAAAATATTTAAATGCATATACTTGAATAGGACTTACTGTAGTCAGAGGAGCCAGGTACAGCTTGTCTGAGAAGTCAACCTGAAATATGAAACATACCATTCAGAATTTGTGAAACAATGCATTGTACAATATATGGGGTGTCTTAATAATAAGGGTTACCGAGCTAAAGGGTTGCATGAAAATATGAATAAGGTATTAACAAAAGCACACAAAAATACAGATTGATAACACATATTTTTTATCGTTTTGAATAAAGTAGTTTCACGTATGACATGTAGTATAATACACATCACATTATACATACTACTATACTGTATCTAAAGGAAAAATAAAGTTTTGGATGTTTTTGTCTAAATTATTGTTAATTACCTTCTTTCTTTCTTGTGGCCTCAGTTTGATAGTATCTTCATCTGTGAGGGCACCCATTGTTCTTATAGCAGGGACTGTTTCACTTGTTGGAGTGGTTGTACTGTCTTTATTTTCTTTGACTTTATGATTTGCCTTCTGTGTATCTTGTATTTCTGATTTGATATTAGTTTCAGAAGGGATTTTATCAGCATCATGGATTTTGGTATCAATTGGATTTGTATCAATTTCATTTGATTGAGCTTTATCTTCATTGTCATTGGTTGAGTCCATATTCTTTTTAATAACTGCATCACCTGAGTTCTGCTCTTTTTTATGACTATGTTTTTGAAGAGCCGTTTGGCTTCTTGTAAAGTCATACTCTCTCTTTCGTAGTTTAATCTGCAGATTTTTATCAAGATTGTTAAACCATTGAACTTCGGAAGATGTTTTTTCATAGAGCTCATCATTTCTCATATTTTTCATATCATCCGAGGTATGTGTTGCAGCAAACCTGCATGCCAGTCCATATTTACAATAACCAAATGTTGTGAAATTATAGCATTTTTCTCCTAGATCTTTTGGTTTATTCTTCATATATCCATCTAGATCATGGCTGAATTTACATTTCTCCCCAAACTTGCAAGGGTTTTCAGTGAACAAACTGTTACAAATTTGCGTCCCTCTGTTGTGCTGCTGCCTTGGGCGTTTCTTGTTGCGCCCCTTTAGTTTTTTCTTAGGAGGTCCTCCCTCAGACTGTTCCTGGGTGTGTTGTTCTATTTCTGCTTTGGCCTCCTCTGGTAGAACCTCTGCTGTCCTTGGCTTGTGATTTGGGTCCAAGAACCTGCAAGGAATCCCATTCAATTATTATGTTCGGATACAAAATGGTTAATATACTAATGAGCTACAAGAAAGAGTTGCTTCATTTTCTCTAGTTTGCCCCCTCACCATTAGTGTATTTTCCAATAATAATTTCCAATAACAAGAGAGAAATACATATTAAGTAACACCTTTGTAACAATGTTCCTATAACATGATATGAAGTTTGGTAACTTCACTTTTATATTTTCTATTATTTGAAATATCAATGAGTTTTATTAGAACAGGCAGACAATCTACTTGTATATTGGCACATTAAAATATAACTCACTCTGCTTTTATTCTGGCAACCCCACTTTGATGGTAACCATCTCCTCCTTGATCTAAAGAAGCCATCACCTAATAGTTGCAGCTGAAATCAAACAAGAAAATACTTAATTGATATCATAACCTAACAACGCAGATGCGAGTAGGTAGTTACCAGATTCACCACCAGGTGGCTCGTTCGGCTCAGATAGTATGGCGGGTATAGTAGAAAGTTCCCTTTAACTTAAATTACATCTATTTGCGTGGTTCAACACGTACTTTTACACGCAGATTTCAAATATGACATCACTTTGACTGAATTTTGAATATTTAATCAAGATTATTTCTACTCGCATCTAGTCTATTGTTCGACAATTAATTTGAATTTTAAATTTGGATGTGTTACTATCAGACGTACAAAAGCCTAATTTTCTTGTTTTTTACACATATCTGCACATAAAGAGAGAAACAATATTGGCATAGATTTGGTCAATGGAGTTGAATGTATCACTAGTAGGTTTTAGACATGTTTAAGTTTTTCTATCATTTTTTTTTTTTTTTTTTATTCAATTTAACTTTTAACATATGTACAAATACATGAATAATACAGTTCAATTATAAAACAAATTGATCCAAAAATAGTATGAAATGCTTAGCAAAGAATGAAGCATGATTACAATTTGAATGATCATACACATTAGCAAAAAATACAATGTTGCAAGCTATTTTTGACTTGAAGTTCAGATTTATAAAGATATCAGCCTTTTCTGAGAAAGCAATCCAGTTTGAATAAACAGTGTAAGCAACAATTGTCAATAATAAGTCTCTGAACATTGAGATCTTGTTTTCATGGATTTTTATATTCCCCAGTACAATGTCCTGCCATCTTATATTAAGTTTTAGTATTTTTTCAATTTTCTCCCATATTGGTTTTATTACTACACAGTCAAATAGCAAATGTTTTATATCTTGGGTCTCTCTACATTTCATACAATTTCTATTTACACCTACATGCCAATTAGAAACCATTTTGCCACAAGCAATGGTATTATGCAGAAGTTTAAAGTTAAATTGAGCAAGAATTTTATAAGACACATTATTTATCTTCCTCTCATAAACTCGCTTAAAGAGACTATTTCTATGCTCCAACTTAAAACTTCTGCACCAGTAATTCTCAGCAATTGACCGTTCTACATTTTCTTCAATTATATGTTTATATACAATCCTCGTACTAACTGTATTTATATGCCTATATCCATCTTTAAAGAGAACATATTCACTATCTTTTATATTAATGTAATTTCCATAAGTGGTATCTAAGCCTTTGGTAGAGATTAAAAGGTGGATTGGATCGAGTGGATTGGATTCATGTAAAAGGTGAATTGGATCGGGAATCTTCAAAATGTGGAATTTCTTATAAAATAAATTCTGTTGATCTCCCTCTAAACAATTTCCCTCTACAGTATAACAGGTCCCTTTTGAGAAATCAGAACAAAGCAATGACAAATACATGCTCCAATTAGTTCATGGACACTCTTAAGTATTTATTCCCTTGTAAATCAACTTTTGTAAGACATAGATCTTTAGAAAAAGAAAACCTGTCGTTCAAATTGATGTGTGAATGTTCACAAAACATTTCTGGTATGTATAGTTTGGATTGAAAACAGATGATATGGATCTTCAAACCAGTCTGCCTTATGATTTATGAAATGTCTCAAATTACACTTGGAATGAAAAAGATCGTGTATCAGAAAGCAGGTACCAGGTCATCCTTTTAGCCCACCCAAGCAAGATAATATTACATCTATTATTTGACATTGTGCAAGTGAAGAGAGCACCAATCTTCCTAAAGGGAGATCAATAGAATTTTTTAAGGGAAAATCCATATTTTGAAGATAGCCAATCCAATCCACCTTTTACATGAATCCAATCCACTCGATCCAATCCACCTTTTAATCTTTACCAAGCCTTTTGTAAATACAGTCAAACATTTTTTTAATGTAAGCCATTCCACCATCCAGTTTTGAGCGCGATGCTTCAATTGTTCAATAATAATTTTTTCCTTTTTAAAAACACCCTGCCTGTCAAAGAAGTCCTTGACATACATAAACCCAGATTTAATCCAGCTTTTGTAATATAACGTGCTATTTTTGCTTTTTACATTTTCATTTAGCCATATGACTTCACCCATGCGATATTTACCTTTTGTATTGTTTTGTTTACATTTATTATAGGCAATGAAAGCTTCTTTGTAGAATTCTGGCAATTTTATGTCATTTTTACTAGTGAAAGTGGTCATCAAGAATTGTTTTACAGTAAATCCTAAGTTGCTAATATAATGTTCAATAATGAGATTCCAAGATGATTTATTATGCAAAAGTCTTTTAATCCAAGACCCGCGTATAGCTTTTATCTTAGTATCAATATCTACTAGATTAAGTCCCCCATTTTTAATGTCATTAATTACCGTTTTCCTTTTAACAGCTTCTCTTTTCCATAAAAATTTGAAAATTGCTGTCTGAATTTTCTTTTTAATATCTAAAGGCATTGTAAGCACTGTCATATTATATATTAATTGAGAGATACCCAATGAGTTAATGACTTGTACTTTGCCAAATATAGTTAAATTTCTTTTTTCCAACGTTCTAACGTGTTTTCAAAATATCTGACTTTAGTTTCCCAATTTAATTTTTCACATTCTTTTTTGTTATGTCCAATATATATTCCTAAACATCTGATTGGATTCTCTGAAAAATGAATATCTTGATATATTTTTTCATTGTTTTTTAGACCTCCCAACCATATTCCAGCTGTTTTTTCTATATTAAGCTTCAAACCACTAACATCAGAAAAATTATTTACGATTTCTATAGCTTTTGGAATTGATTGTTTATTACCGAGTATTAAAGTTGTGTCATCAGCATGTTGAATTGTCTTAAGTGAACCATTATTAATTTCTATCCCTTTTACATCCACATTCATTTTTAATTTTAACGACAAGACATCTGTACACAAAATAAATATCAGCGCAGATGCTGGACAACCTTGTCTTATGCCTCTGTTAACAGATACAACTCTCGATAAATATCCATTGTTTTTAACTTGCAATTTAGGGTCATTATATAGAATCTTAATCCATCTTAAAATATTTTCACCAAAATTCATCTTTTTTAGAACCTTGAACATGAAAGTCCAATTTAAACTATCAAAAGCTTTCTGGAAGTCTAAGCTAATTAGTGCACCGTTTATCCCTTCGGAATTCGTTAAATCAATTAAGTCAATAAGAAGTCGAGCATTAAGACTGATACTTCTTCCCTCAATATATGCAGATTGATCATTGCTAACTAACAGTTTAATTACATCTTTTATCCTCCTAGCAATCAAAAATGCTATTATCTTATAGTCGTAGTTAGTTAAGCTAATTGGTCTATAATTTTTCAGTAAATCTCTCTCACCCTTTTTGAAAATTAAGGTTAAAATAGCTACTTTCATTGAGTCACAAAGTTCACCTTTAATGAAAACTTCCTTAATCATGTCAACAAAAACATCTTCAAAATGATCATAGTAAGCTTTATAGAATTCCGGTGTAAATCCGTCCGCAGTTTTTCTATCATGATATTTCCCTGTGGTACTTCAGAAAATATCATATCGACAATTATTAAGTTTCGGAGATTAGGTTTTGGACGTTTGAAATTCGTATGTTTGGGATTCGGATCGATGGGATTTGGACGAATGGGATTTGATCCATAGGGATTCAGATGATTGTGGGATTTGGACTGTCATGACCGTGGTAATGTTAAAGCCTTAAATGACTGTGGCAATGGTTGTAAGGCCTGTCATGACCGTGGTAATGTTAAAGCCTGATATGACTCTTGAATGAGATTAAAATTATAGTTTGTGGAAATGAATTATGAGTTAAAGTAGTAGTAGTAGTCTAGATTTACATATTTAAGGTAGATAAACCATGAAATTTTTCATTATAGTATTCTCATGCTACTAAATGTCACTTAATATAACCATTGTCACAGTCATATTGTGCTTTAACATTACCACAGTCATGACAGGCCTTGCAACCATTGTCATGGTCATATCAGGCTTTAACATTACCAGACAGGTCTTGCAATATAGTAAATTTATAGTATAGCATTGTCACGGTCATGTCAGGCTTTAACATTACCACGGTCATGACAGGCCATGTAATATAATATAGCAGGTAACTGGTCAACTCGTACCCAAGACAAGTCGTACCCAAGACAACTGGTACCCAAGACAAGTCGTACCCAAGTATATATTTTGTTTTGAATCAAGCGTTGGGCTTGGAATGTAAATAGATATACATATTATAATTGTTACAATATAATTGTTCAGAATAGTTTAAAGTTTGAAGAAGAATTTTCGGACGAAATTGATTTAATTTTCTGACATTTTGAGCTTTGAATGTCAATTTATTTTGACAATTATTTTTTATTGGTCAAAGATTCAGGATGTTCGAGTGAAGAGACATATGTTTATTCCACCTATTCATAACCATTTTTCAAAATATTGTATGATTGTTTGGAACAAGTATTCCTCCTCCCTATTCTTTACTCTAAACCACAGTACAACAAGAGGTCATAGCCAGAAATTTTACAAAGACAGATCAAATCTTGCACTAAGACAAGGTTTTTTTAGCCAACGGATTGTCAATGAATGGAATAATCTCCCTGAAAAAGCAGTTACAGCCCAGACACTAGATGACTTCAAGGCAAAGATTGATGCCCACTATTACCCAGACATGAAGTAGAGTACAAGCGAGTAGGATGACCAGTTTACACTCACTAGGTTTTATTTTGGTTCAATGTCAGTTTTTATGAATCACAAGTCCCTAACAAATTACCAGTACAGTTATAAGTCTTTGGGAAATAAAATACCAAAGCAGTTCTTTGAAATTATATGTCTTGAAGGGAGGAACCCACAGGCACACGCCTTAAACTCCTAAAAACGATGATGATGAAGTGTCAGATTCAATTCATCTTGAAAGGTGGTATCATTATAAATGTATAGATTTATCAAATCTTGGGCCTAATTTCTTATATTTAACAGATAATCTATTTGTCTAGGATTTCATATTATCAGAAGTCACATTCATGAAATTTAGCAAGAAAATATTTTGAATAATAAATAATATTCATAATAATATAATATTAATATCGAATATTATTTTGGTACTTATTCATACATGACATACATGTAATATACTTTGTACGCACATGCTCAAACATAATTCAATTTAGTTACGAAGTGGAAAAGAAATTAACAGATTAAACTTCCTTTAAACTTTCTCTAAATGCAAAAAACTAATTGTTTGATTCATTTGTAGAAAAGTTACTGTTGTAAATAATTATTTATATGTTTGACAAAAAAATGTTGAGAACAAGCGCTTCAAGCACTTCTTTTATTCAATAAAAAGGCGATCCAAGTTAAATCAAAATACTTTACTTACATGTACATGTAATCCATTGAGAAAAAATGTTTTTTAAATTCAAAAAAATATTGAGGCTTATTTGATTTACATCATAACATGAAAACATTATTATACAAACTCAATTTGTATTCCTAATATGCACCCATAATACTGAAAATAAATTTAGGTACGAGTTGTCTTGGGTACCAGTTGTCTTGGGTACGAGTTGTCTTGGGTACGAGTTGACTGGGAAGCATATAGTATTGTCACGGTTATACCAGGCTATCATGATAACACTACAACAGTCATGGCAGGATCCTTGCAAAACTTAAAAACATGGTGACGGTTGTGCCAGGCATAAGTCTTGCAACAGATAGGGTCTCATATCCTCTAGACTAATACAGATTATAAGATGATTACGGCATATTTTGCCTGTTAACCGATCAATACTTAAGGTTAGTAAAGATGTATAAAATGATAGTCCACTGTTAACCAAACCCGTCTGGCCCAGTTAGACTATCTACTCCTGACGTTGTAGATCTGGGCCAGACAAGGTCCAATGCTAAAAAGGGGGGATTTACTCCGGAAAAAACATGTCGCTGAATCATCACTTATTATTCATTCCCTATTAGCCATCCAACCAAAACATCGGGTACCATGTAAACCCAAGTATTTATTTGAAATAAAGAGAACATAACTTACGCGTAAATGTGGTGTTTTGTTTGTTATATTGATGTTGAAATGGGCACAACATTTCGTCAATATTTCGTCAGTTCTCCGCACCGAATAAAGTCACGTGATGTGACGTAACACGAGTGTGACGCGATAATTTTTAAACTTTCATGGAACGAAAATACATTTCCCGGGAATCAATACATTCCAAATATATTGTTATCAAAACGTAGATTACTTTATAAAACAGACGTGTCTGTGTTGTATTTAAACTGGAAAGAAATATGGTGGACATTAAATACGATTTTTCAATTTGTTGAACTGACGGAATGTAGTACTGAACGAAATAAGCAGCCGAGACTTCTCGATATTCTATGAGATCACGAACAGATTGCAGAAGAATTTTTCTTTTTGCTGCGTTTAGACGTTTCGTTCTTATTTATTAGCCGTCATCCAGCGATGGAAACCTAATATAAATACAAAGTTTGATACAAGGAACAAACACGTAAGTGATTTTTATGATGTTTATTCATTTATCAGCACGTATTATACATTGAAAAACCAGTGTGTTTTTTCCGGAGTAAATACCCCATTTTTTGCATTGGATCGAGTCTGGCCCAGATCTACGATATCAAGAGTAGATAACTGGGCCAGACGGGTTTGGTTAGTCCACTGTATGATCGTATTTCATTGGGTGATGGCGCTTCAGGTTAGCTAATAAAAAATAAAGGTTTTGTCACGACAACACTTCAGATTGGGCATGGCATTTAAAATATGAACATGATGAATACAACATTGGGAGGGTATTTTATATGACTTCTAAAATAGGGTGTTTAGGGCTAAACTCAAGAGTAAAATGCAAAAATAGTCCATTTCACATGAACAATAACAGTCATGGTATTAGATTAAAAATGATGTGAATTGGGAAAAGTGTGCAGGAAAATCATACTTATAAGTGTATTTTCCCAAGACTCAAGCTAAGTGATGGGATCATAGCAAATACTTTAAAAATGTAATACATACTTTTTTCAACGCAGATTTTTTCAGCATGGATTTATTTACGAACAAGTAGTCTCATTAGCCCAATTTGCGACACTCTGTCGGATTAAAAAAATGTAGAATTCATTTGTATTTTATGATCTTGTACACAATAACATAATCAAGTATCAGAATGATTCAAATACTTTAAAATTGGTTTATAACTTATCTGTCCTGCATCCAGTATGTCGTAAACAGTTATTGACAGTCGTCAATGAGTTTAGCTCACATGAGATTCAGCTGATTTGATCACATTGTTTATCACATGATTCTACTTGAAAAACAGCGCTAAATACAGACTCTGCTGTCCTAGAGGTAAGGCATATATGTTCATATACATTATTTTACTGTTACCTTGATTATAGGCACTTTTGAATATATTTTACAACAGAAATGCAGAAGTCTAAAAAGTTTATAAATTCTAAAAGTAAACACTACAGTTGGGGACATAAATAAATGACAGGTGGATTTGCTGAAGTGAGGATTTCCCATGTTAAAAATAAGAGAATTTACACGAGGCCATAAATCAGTGGATGAGATTATACAAAATGTAAAATATACAAATTTTAAGGGATATGTATCTAGACAATATTGGAAATTATGGGCTTTCAGACCACCATAATTAGGAAATGGTGATCGAAAATCGACCTGTCATTTATTTTTGTCCCCAACTGTAATTGCTAAAGTCTACCCCCACTCCCCCATAGCCCCCCATTCAGGAACTTGTATCACTATTTGGCAACTTGAATTAAGTTGAAACACATGAACTTGTACCACTATGATATGAAATGCTTATGTCAGATCTGAGTCATTTGACTCAGATGATACAGTGGGGAATATATAAAGAATTACTATACTAGCTATTAAAAATACACGCTGGTAATAAATTCTTACCTCAGTGTATTCAGTGCTCTATTTTCTCCGTCCTAGTAAGTCCGAATATAGTGGATTTTTGTGTCCATAATAACAAGTAGGAACTTAAAAATTTGAAGTGGATATTCACATGTAATGCCGACTCTTCAAATGTTGAGGTGATTTTGGAGCCCGATTACGCCGCAAGGAGGATTGGCTCCCAGAATGCAACATGACACGTGCCAGCTTTCAAAATGCCGTTCCGCCATTTTGTAACCTGTCACAAGTAGATAAGGTTGACTGATGTTGCATTCTGGGAGTCAATCCTCCTTGGATCACAAACATGGCGATTCATGAAAACATTCGTATGATTTGGTAGGAATTTATCCATCATTTGCAGGTATGAAGCTTTGGATTCATTTATTGTGCGACTTAAAGTGAACTGGAATTTTTTTTCTACCGCTTGGGAGAGTTTGAGACACGAAACTTAGAATTTAGCTCATTGTGACAACTTTTGATGGTTGAGGTTTATTAATGTCTCCGACTTTATCTATGGTGATTAATTGTCCATTTGCAGTTTAAATGCTACACAATGAAAATGTAATTAACTTTTTCCCCACCTGATCTTTTGTTGACCAATCATATTGCGTTTCAGAATGATGAAGGTGTTTATGTTTCTGGTGCTGGGTGTTGTGTATGGAAGAACATATCACAGGAACCCCCTCAGGTCCATGTTCCCTAAGACCATTCCTCCCGTAAGGTTTGATGGGGTGGGTCCAGGCTCACCTTTGTTCCTTACACCCTACCTGGAGAAAGGCATGGCTGATAAAGGTAGAAAAACATGATGGGAAATTAACATATTTCATTTGATTTGTTGGTAATTGAAAGAACTTTCTACATGGAGATGGTTCTTAGTTCATAAGGTGCTCCTTTACTGCATGAAATAATTATTTTGTTTCAATGAAAACTAAAATGATAGGATTTACCTTTGATATTTTCCTCTCTGCCATATTGTACTGGAAGTTCATTTTTAATTTATTATTCAATCAATTTTAAACTCTTCAAGTTATCATTTGAGGGTCAAAACATATGCATTTGTACATGTATAAACCTAGCAATCAAATCCACTTTACCCTAAATATTGATTCATATGGCATTTGCTGTTATATCACTGGAGAACATTGTGACTTAGACAATGTTGTATCAATTACTCAGTGAGTAGAGACTCACTATGATGTCAGAGTTATATTTATCAACACTGTGGGACTGCAAGATTTTAAGCTAGCATTTACCCATAAAATCAATTCTCTATTGAGATTTGAGAAACACGAAAAATGTTGTTGGCTGTTATTGATATTGCAGTTCAATTCATGTTTTAGCTAGGATGTTGAGTGAGGTTGGCCCATTGACCATTGGTGGTCAGGTTGTAGCAAATAATGGGAATGCAGGCTACCTGACTGTCGACAAAACATACAACAGTAACATGTTCTTCTGGTTCTACCCTGCACTGGTAAAATACATTTAAGCTTCTATCCTAAATTAAATCTTGATTTCACTTTCCATAAAAATGGCATGGTCTTTTGCTTTATTCATATACATGTATCAATCTATCCAATTAATAAGTTTATTATGGATACCACCTCCAAACATCAAATAATCACAAAAATGAAAAAAAAAACATTTTGCATTTCAGTTATTAGTTGGCTGATTTTGTGTCCTAAAAAGAAATAACCTAGCTTTGAATATAATCAGAAATGTTTAATATTACCTATAGCATTGTTGCACTACTTCACTAACTTCAGGTTAACAGTTTGGATGCACCTGTACTACTGTGGCTACAGGGTGGGCCCGGGGGTCCGTCTGTGTTTGGCATGTTTAATGAGAATGGACCTTTCTACGTTGATGAAGATATGAACTGTAAGTGTTATTTCTCAACTTATATAGATACACCATGTTATTAAAGTTCATCTACTTGTACATGTACAAAACAACTATCAATGCTGGTATAAAGTGATGAGTGCAACTACACCATTGTTTGCTCTTTCAAACATTTCATGTACATACAAAGATTCAAGAAGATATTCCACCATGATTGAGATACATGTAATTCTTCCAAAATTTGAAGATTGCATTTATATTTTGTGAATTTTCAAAATTTCATAATATATAGTACTAAGTAGTTAATGGTAATAGTACACGACATGCGGTATCTTCATAGAATATGTCACCATCTTCTTTCTTGTTTTCCAGTACAGCCGAGGAAATATGGCTGGACGAACAAGTACAACATGCTCTATATAGACAATCCAGTGAGTTAATTTTATTCCAAAAATCAAATGTTCCAGCATTGAATTATTTTAAATTTTAAGGGCATTTTGGAGCATTTCTGATAATAATGGTCTATAATGTAAAAATTATTTGGAATGGTATTACTACCCTCTCTTGTGTACTCTGACAGATTTTTCATTTAATGTTATATGATATTTCAATAGATGGTTATTAAGGTCTTCAAAGTGTCAGCTGTTACCTTATTCATTGCACTATTGTTATCATTGTACTTTTTATGTCACCATCAAGGTGTCAAGGTGACATATTGTTATAGTCTCTAACTTTTTTACGGATGGTATTCAGCTGTAATGGCATACAACGGTCGGTGTCTGTAACAAATGGCAAGTGGTAACATTTTGCATGTTAATTCCTTGTTGATTGCACATTTTACCTTATGATTGAATTGGTGTCACTTGTTGTAGGTGGGATGTTGGTTTAGCTTATGATTGAATTGGTGTCACTTGTTGTAGGTGGGATGTGGGTTTAGCTTATGATTGAATTGGTGTCGCTTGTTGTAGGTGGGATGTGGGTTTAGCTTATGATTGAATTGGTGTCACTTGTTGTAGGTGGGATGTGGGTTTAGCTTATGATTGAATTGGTGTCGCTTGTTGTAGGTGGGATGTGGGTTTAGCTTATGATTGAATTGGTGTCACTTGTTGTAGGTGGGATGTGGGTTTAGCTTATGATTGAATTGGTGTCTCCCTTGTTGTAGGTGGGATGTGGGTTTAGCTTATGATTGAATTGGTGTCGCTTGTTGTAGGTGGGATGTGGGTTTAGCTTATGATTGAATTGGTGTCACTTGTTGTAGGTGGGATGTGGGTTTAGCTTATGATTGAATTGGTGTCACTTGTAGGTGGGATGTGGGTTTAGCTTATGATTGAATTGGTGTCACTTGTTGTAGGTGGGATGTGGGTTTAGCTTATGATTGAATTGGTGTCACTTGTTGTAGGTGGGATGTGGGTTTACCTTATGATTGAATTGGTGTCCCTTGTTGTAGGTGGGATGTGGGTTTAGCTTATGATTGAATTGGTGTCACTTGTTGTAGGTGGGATGTGGGTTTACCTTATGATTGAATTGGTGTCACTTGTTGTAGGTGGGATGTGGGTTTAGCTTATGATTGAATTGGTGTCACTTGTTGTAGGTGGGATGTGGGTTTAGCTTATGATTGAATTGGTGTCGCTTGTTGTAGGTGGGATGTGGGTTTAGCTTATGATTGAATTGGTGTCACTTGTTGTAGGTGGGATGTGGGTTTAGCTTATGATTGAATTGGTGTCACTTGTAGGTGGGATGTGGGTTTAGCTTATGATTGAATTGGTGTCACTTGTTGTAGGTGGGATGTGGGTTTAGCTTATGATTGAATTGGTGTCACTTGTTGTAGGTGGGATGTGGGTTTACCTTATGATTGAATTGGTGTCCCTTGTTGTAGGTGGGATGTGGGTTTAGCTTATGATTGAATTGGTGTCTCCCTTGTTGTAGGTGGGATGTGGGTTTAGCTTTACAGGGAGTGATGGTGGCTATTCAACTAATCAGACAGCAGTGGCTGATAACCTGTACAGGTATTTACAAATACACCCACCTTGAATTATCATTGTTCAGTGGGAAAGAATATCTCTCTTTGTGGGAGAGATTAATGAATCTCTTTTCTTACCTCGTTAATCACTTGTTAAGTTGTTATCCGATTTTATAGAAAATAAAGAACAATATATAGAAAAAATGCATGAAGATATAAAGGTAATCAGATAAATAGAGGTTATTTAATGGGAGGTTTTTGATACAGGGTATATCTGAGGGAAATACAATATATCTACCAGAGGGACCGAGGATTGAGATATAGTATTTACCGAGGGATATACCCTGTATCAAAAATTGAGCTTTCAATAACTGATTTATCCTATACTTAGTAGATTATGAGAATTAAATATGCATTATTTCAGGGCCCTTACCCAGTTCTTCCAAATATTCTCAGCATACAAGAATAATCCATTTTACATCACTGGGGAGTCTTATGCTGGGAAATATGTGCCTGCTATAGCTTATAGGATTTACAAGGAGACACAGCCTAAGGTGCCCATCAATCTCAAAGGCATGGCTATTGGAGATGGACTATGTGACCCTGAAACTGTGAGTCTTATCATTTTAATAATATCAGGAAATCTATTTTCAAATAACCACTCCAACATTTTGTCATCTCTATTTTCACACAGTCTTCTCCAATCTTTTTCCAGTTTGGCCCATTAGTAGAGCCTAAATGTGTGTTGTAATCTTGGTTTATAAAAGTCATGGGTCAAAAATTTGCATTTAGAAGGTAATGTTAGTTCTTTAGATTCTCTTACTGTCCAACTGTGTATAGCATTTCAATCTGATTGCAAATTTGTAATTTGAATATTATTAATGCAGATTCATTGTTGTACAGTTAATGTGCATCAACTAAAACAATTTCAAATCATTTTCAGATGTTGCCTCAATATGGAGACTTCATGTTCAACACTGGCCTTCTTGATGAGAACCAGAGGGACTATTTCAACAAGCAAACTGCCTTAGGGGTCCAGTATATCAAACAAGGAAAGTGGGTGTCAGCATTTAATGTAAGTAATAGTTTTAAGGAACAATGTTCAGTGTGATTTTCTATACATTAGTGTTGGTGTAATACATTTCCAACTAAAAATGAACAGAGTTCACAGTAACAATTTGTGAAAACTGCATTCCACAATTCATTTCTCAGACATGCTCTGAGCTGTTAATGATATATATTTATACCACATGTACTCTGTTCAGCCATGCCTTGTTTGTTTGGAATTATGTCATTTAAAGTTGGGGATTTTGTACTATGGCTTCATTTTATCTCGGTCCTTCTTCATTTTCCTCTTGATAGCCTTATTTGGACATTTTCAGATATTTGACATTCTGCTGAATGGAGATACAATTCCTTATCCATCCTTCTTTACAAATGCAACAGGATCAACAGACTACTACAACTTCCTTAGGACTCAGGTAGGTGGCGCTACTTTGCAACAGTGTGCAGCATGGGTACTTGACTTGCTATCCCACTGATATCTCATATGTTTTTATTACTACAGTTGTATTTCAAAATTATTCTAATGAAGCTTGTGTGTTAAAACATTGGAAGTACAGCAGCTTTATTGATTAGCTTTCGAAAAGATTATTATAAAGAAGATAAAATACCAAGATTGTGATAGCCGTGTAGCTTGAATATATGGAACATTGTATGTTATATGAGTGACATCAATTTAATTTACTTATGGCTATAGAGGTCAGTTTGGTACTAGTAAGGAAAAACTTTGGTTCAAATTCAAAATGTTTTGATAATGCTAGCTCATTTTGCATTAGATTAAACTGTCTTCAGTGAATCGTGAACAAAATGTATTTCCCAGTTCACCATTTTCAATTATTTATTCATCTGGGAAATATTTTGACAATAATATCAAAACGGTACACCAAATATTGATAAATGGAATACATGTATAACACTTTGCAAAATGCTGGGAAAACGTTCAAACAACAAGATAGAAAAACATGAAAAAGAAAATAAAACACAAAATTTATCAATAAAAGCAATGTAGAGCCCTTTATATTCACCCAGAGAGTTACATTTTGGAATATAAAACACAACATTATCATTATCGCAGTTGTTATGTTATGACAACTACATTTTCCCAATACGTCCACATTACAATTAAAAATACACATTAGCCACTTAGTTTTCATTCTACATGACAAATCCTGTATCATAAATATTTGTACAAACATAGATACTATAGACCTTTTAAATAACTTCTAGACTATTCATCCAATTTCAATTCCCATCTGTTTAATTTCAAATCTATGTGTGACAAGTTCACACTAAAAATATTGTGATAAGCTGTGAGGTTGTATATAATTCCAACGTTTAATATGACCATGCCAAAGTTGGCTTATAGGGTACCTAGTATGCCATTTTATTTAGTATCAGTATTAGTTAAACCCTCACTTTAATTATGAAAATATTGATGTAGGTCAAAAATGTCTTTTTTATCAGTTTTGCTTTGGTAGTATATCCACTACATGTACGACTTGAAAAATGCAGTTATGCCACCACTATGTCAAACACATGTATAGATTACACCAACAAAATTAAATTGATATCATATGTAGTACAGAAGTTATCAGAGAGTATTCAGAACCAACATTTTGGGTTCACCCTGTATGGTAAGGTAATAATATTAAAAAATGAAATTTCCAAAATGGCCTCCTAAATGTTTTTAGTTCCTGTCAATCACATAGCACCTTTCATTCACACCCCATTTAGGCTGATAGTTTTCTTGTTTGAATCATCCCACTTAGATATTTCATATAGCTGGCAATAATACTGCAGATACAACAGTATGTAGTGTCTTTAATAGAGAGGTTAAGTGACACACATCTGGAAGATCTTGAACATAACCATGTATATTATAACCCCCAGGAATTAATATCCACCTCTCAATTGGTCTAAACAGGAACCTTTTTACAAAAGAATTCCTCACACTTTCATAACCATTCAGGAAAATAAAGGCCAGTGAGGTGAAAATAGTCCATAGGGTATTATAATTTCACACGTTTTACAAACAAGTTCTTCGAAACAGTGCTTAATTAACTTCCCTGATGTTGTGACATTAGTTGGATGTCCCCATCCTCTACTGTGGGCTCCTCCTCATGACGTCTATTCTGTTGGGATTCACAGCCGAACACAACCTTCATAGATAGTCCTGTAGTTATGATAGAAACAATCATCAGTAAGAAAGATAGGACTACCATAACACAGTTCCATATCACTTTGCTTGTTGCCTTCAGGCCAGCATCTCCCATGTCTGTGTTTCTGTTCAACTCGAGGAATATTTCAAATGTGTGTAAGGTGAAAATAGTTGCACATTGTAACGCGAGAATCAATGACAATATCATCCATGCTATGAAGTATCCACGGCGTAAGATATAATTTGTGATGCATCCTACCACCCCAGTGAATACCAGGAACAGTCCACCCCATAAGCCAGTATACCATGTACACAGGTAACTATCACGTAGAAGAGTCCATCTTGTCGCAAACATTACAAGCAACATAATCCCTCCAAATATCTCAACGAGGGAGAGGTTCCTGGCAAGAATGTTGTTTCGTCTCCTGATAATGGGTATCGAAGATGAGGATTGTTTTACGTGTCTTACTCGTGTGTCTCTTGGTGGATCATTTTTGATGATGTTACTCTCAGAAAGAGTAGCAGTTTCATCCACCTTCCCTCCTTGTTTGGTTCCTCTTCCATCATCCTCCCACACCCCCTCCTCATCCTCCATAGCAACATACTTCTGACTGGACATCTCCAGAGTTCACTTTCATATATAGATTATATACATGTATTCATGTATTCATGAATTCAGAACTTCTGAACTATCATATATATTTATATTGATCTATTATAAAAATAATGAGTTAAGTTGCTCACTTTAGTGCATATTAGTGCGTTCACACACTGTTTCCTTTTTATAAATGTGGAACCATCTTGGTTTATGGATTATTTGCCTTTGATGTGTTCAGGTGTTATATTATTTTCATCTTAACTTTTTGTTATTAATTCCTTTCTACTGGTAGTAGCACCAAACTTCCGGCAGTTCATATATCTACATGAACATGTAGTGATATAGGTTCTGTTCTTACACTTTATGGTTTCAGATTACCTTCGTGTGTTATGATCACATATTGTAGGTCTTCTCTTAGATTTAACGTAGTGTATTTAGCTATTGATTATTCATAACATATAATTAACTTGAATAATCTGGCTCTTGTAACACCTGGAATGCAAAAATGGTAATATCATTTTGTGGTATTTTACTATAGCTGGTTAATTAGCCATCCGGGTAAATGAATAAATAGTATGCTAAGCATTTTCATATGTATATTGTACATAGTGATATCCTTCAAACATCCAATACAGTGTTCACCTTTGGGAGGTTTTCATATTCACACCTTTGACTTCATAATATACAAATATAAGATGAATATATATATTCTATATAGTATCTATTATTAAATTGTATTCCATATGTGAATTGTTGATACAGTCTACTACAATAACCTGATAAAACAAACCAACATATCATATAGTATGTCAAATGGCCTTGAATAATACTATTTTATGACAGACATGTATTCTCACCTTGCCGATCAATATCATTCAAAAATATAGATTTATTCATATTACTTGTTAAGAATGGTATTTATGTACTAATTGAACTCACCTTTAAGTTTGCTTAGCTATATGTATATAGCTGTGTGTCATCCAGATACCATGTCCTGGAATATTCAATACCTTACTTTTACATATAAAATGTCGCTTTATATTTCACACAATTCCCTTTCAATATTTAGCGAATATTGTGTTGTCCCATTAAGACCTCAACTTCTGGGCTACCTTCACATATCAGTTATTCCTTGCTGAGTCCCCTTTTGTTCACCCTGTTTTGAAAAATATATCACAACATGTCATTTACAGGTTCTGTATATCCAGAAGTAATATTGATGCAGCAGCATGAGCAATAGAAATGATATAGATGTTTTCATGCTAATACAAATATATGATGTTATCTTTAACAACTTAAACAAAAGATAGATGTCAGGTAGAGTGTAAATTACAAATACACCAAAGTTGGAGAGTTCTGACTGTTTTATACAAAATGCATTAGTGATGAAACATAGAATTGTTCCTATCTTAGGATCTATTAGGTGCTCAGTTGTTCATTGCAATATTTTGTTGGAATGTTTAATCTCTTCTTTCTTACTCAGAGGGCCTGGAGAGGTGGTACAATTGGCTTTATATAAGACTACTGGGTATAATATGCTGTAATTGTACATGTATTTCTTTCAGAGTCCCCCAGAGTTCAACTTCTATAGCAGCTTTCTCCAGCAGACCAGTATCAGATCAAAGATTCACGTTGGCAACTTGACATTCCACGCTGGGGACAAAGTTGAACATTTTCTACTGGAAGATGTAATGAAGTCTGTGAAACCTTGGATCAGTGAACTATTGGACAGTGGCTTAAAGGTATTAGGCTGCTATAGCACACAATTCTTTCAGTTTGAAAGCCACAATATTGTAAGCATGGCAAATGAGTTCAGATGGGTTTAATTTCCTGAATGCTTACATAAGGGAATGTCAAATACAGATAATGATTTTCAATTAAGGCCCCAAGATAACTTGTCGTTTTCAGTAATGGTACTAGGCTAATAGAAGTTTCATGGAATTTGGAGTGAACAGTTCAAAAGTTGTATCACAAAACAACTAAATAAAGCAAATTTTTTATGACATTGCCCTTCCTTCCAGTCGCTATTCTACAGTGGTCAGTTAGATGTAATTATTGCCGTACCTCTGACAGAGGCATTCCTGCAGACTGTTGACTGGCAGTGGGCACCAGACTACAAGACAACTGGCAGACTGGTGTGGAAGATTCAACAATCAGATATAGATGTCGCTGGTTATGTCAGACAAGTTAACAACCTTTATCAGGTTAGTATTATAAGAATGAAAATTGTTGATAAGTCAAATACCAATTGATTGATTTTGCTCAAAGAACTGTTGATGCCTCAGGGTCCAAAGTTTTGAAGGAATTTCTTATATGGGGTCATGTCATGTCATGGATGTAGATTTTGCCCAAAAGAGGCAGTATTACTGCCTGGCTATTTTGATCATGTTATAATCAAAATGATGATCTATTTGATAAATATGCTTTGTTCTGTGGGATTTGCTATTCTATAGGAGTTCTTGCTTTTCTAATTCAAATCTAATGATTTTTAAAACTCTTTCAGGTGATTGTTCGTGGAGGTGGGCATATCTTACCTTATGACCAACCAGCTCGCACCTTTGACATGATTGACAGGTTCATCAATGACAAAGCATTCCATAAATAAACCAGTGAAAAAACTGACTTCATTTAATTGAAGTGTTAGTTATAACATACACATGTACAATGCAGTAAACTAAGAACACAAGGACACTATGCACTTGAGAGAATTCCTCATAATAGCGAGGTCTTCAGTTTAAATTGATGTGGTTTACACAGATTTATCTACTATTATACTGCATGCTGCCATGTAGGAATAAATGAACAATGCTCAAAATGACTTATTTTCAACTGAGCTGGACTTTTCCGATACATTGATCTACACATAACATCTCTTATTTGTACATTGTTTATTGTTTAAGATCTCAGTGAGAAAAATGAAGGTCAATATTGTAACCTGCCCGATAAACAATTTGTACAAAATACTTCCAAGGACTTTACACTGAAATAGTGTGCAAGCCATGTTTTTTATTTTTAAAATGTGTTTGTTATTTGTGCAATATTTTTGTATATCATGCATTTATTGTAAATTGTACTTATGAATCATTAAAATCATATCATAAAATTACTTATTTGCTCTTCGATATTTTTCTACAGAAGTAAAGTTTTCATCAATTGAGCCATCATACTAAATAGGAAGAAAGAATAGGAACTAACCCAAGCCATTATATATTGTTTCCTAACTTCATTATCTGAAGAATTAAGATTTCTGAGAGAACAAATGACCAGTCTGTCCCTAAAAAAGTTTCTTTTATAGCAAAATGTTTACATATATATATACATAAACATGTGTGGGAATGTATTAGTTTAGATAAGCTTTAGAGGTTAATTAATAGGTGTGTGAAGGTGTGAATAAACCATATGCCATTTAGGCAATATGTAGTTATATGAAGTAGAATGTAATGATATGAGGATCAGGTTTAACTCTATGTAGCCTAGGTGCTGGAGGTACATGTAGTTACTAGATTTCCCCAAAAGGTGGCTAATCGGGGTCATATAACACAGCAGACAAAGGCATACAGAAAGTTTACATAAACTTGAACCATAGATTTAGTGGATATATTTTCACCTACCTAGTTCTAACATTTTTCTAACATTTGTGACTTTTTATCATTCTTTATTAAATTGTAATTCATGAAAATCACCAAAGTTTATACTTTATTCCAGGAAACATAACTGGGCGCTTACTCAAATACTGTTTGATGGATTTGATTGAAATTGTATAGGCTTTATAATGCCTTATGGGTGTAGGATCTCTGCTTGAGAAGAAATTTTCAATATGGTTGCTCAATTCAAAATGGCCACCATTTAAAAAAAAAAAATCTTTGAGAACACAAATACTTATAATACTATTTGACAGATTTTGTTCAAATTTTATATACTGAAAGGGAGCTCTGGTTGAGAAGACATTTCTAATGTGCAGTGTTGTACAGTTAATCTCTTAAAAGGAATAAGTAATTCCTTTTGGAAAAAGTGGAAAACAATATTTCCCATGTTATTTTCCCATAGGGAAAACTCATGTGACCCATTGCTTTCAGCTTAATTTTGGTCACCCATCATGGATGTCTTTAATACCCCTGAAGGAATTACTTATTCCTTTAAAGGGGTTAACTGTGTGTCAAAACACAACATATTAATGCAACAAAAATTGAAAAAGCAGGGGTGGAAGGGGTTGAAAATCAGGACAACATTTCAGAAAAAACATGTGGGTGGGTTGTTCCTATCTTCCCTTCAAGGTGGTTGCTATTTGTCAAAACAGCTTTTGTTCAGTGGGATTGGCTACTCTATGGAGTTAGAATAGAATTTCATTTAGAAGGCCTTGATAAACATTTTTGTCTTTATCAGTCCTTGTTCAAAGTGGGACCTGAGCAGGTGTAAGTAGGCAAGATGTTCACAATTGTCCTATTGTTCTGCCTCACGTATGGTAAGTTGTTATGTTTTATACATCAGCAATATTATAAAGAAAAAGATAGAAGCAGAATAAATGTATTTTCTAAGGTTCTTCTGAAATTGTTCTAAAGCATATCTAGTATTTTCTTTGCATTGCTTATTCTCAGGCATAGATTTATTAAGCCAATCAGAAGCATCCAAAATTATTTTATTCAGTTAAGTTTTAGTTATTTTATAATTCACCAACACTAACAATGTATTCCATTTTCTTTCAAGGTATCATGGGTCAGCCTGACATCATGTTAACATATATCACATTGTCTATTCCAGGCATCCAAGGTCAACCTGACATCATGTTAACATTTATCAGATTGTCCTATTTCAGGTATCCAAGGCCAGCCTGACATCATGTAAACATATATCCCATTGTCTGTTTCAAGCATCCAAGGCCAGCCTGACATCATGTTAACATATATCTCATTGTCTGTTTCACGCATCCAAGGTCAGCCTGACATCATGTTAACATATATCCCATTGTCTATTCCAGGCATCCAAGGTCAACCTGGCATCATGTTAACATATAACACATTGGCCTATTCCAGGCATCCAAGGTCAACCTGGCATCATGTTAACATATATCACATTGTCCTATTGCAGGCATCCAAGGTCAACCTGGCATCATGTTAACATATATCAAATTGCCCTATTCCAGGCATCCAAGGTCAACCTGGCATCATGTTAACATATATCACATTGTCCTATTTCAGGCATCCAAGGTCATCCTGGCATCAAGTTAACATGTATCACATTGTCCTATTCCAGGCATCCAAGGTCAACCTGGCATCATGCTAACATATATCACATTGTCCTATTTCAGGTATCCAAGGCCAGCCTGACATCCTGTAAACATATATCCCATTGTCTGTTTCAAGCATCCAAGGCCAGCCTGACATCATGTTAACATATATCTCATTGGCCTATTCCAGGCATCCAAGGTCAACCTGGCATCATGTTAACACACATCCCATTGTCTATTCCAGGCATCCAAGGTCAGCCTGACATCATGTTAACATATATCCCATTGTCTATTCCAGGCATACAAGGTCAACCTGGCATCATGTTAACATATATCACATTGTCCCATTTCAGGCATCCAAGGTCAACCTGGCATCATGTTAACATATATCACATTGTCCTATTCCAGGCATCCAAGGTCAACCTGGCATCATGTTAACATATATCAAATTGCCCTATTCCAGGCATCCAAGGTTAACCTGGCATCATGTTAACATATATCACATTGTCCTATTCCAGGCATCCAAGGTCATCCTGGCATCAAGTTAACATATATCACATTGGCCTATTCCAGGCATCCAAGGTCAACCTGGCATCATGTTAACATATATCACATTGTCCTATTTCAGGCATCCAAGGTCAACCTGGCATCATGTTAAAATATATCACATTGTCCTATTCCAGGCATCCAAGGTCATCCTGGCATCATGTTAACATATATCACATTGTCCTTTTCCAGGCATCCAAGGTCAACCTGGCATCATGCTAACATATATCACATTGTCCTATTTCAGGTATCCAAGGTCAGCCTGACATCATGTTAACTTTATACCCCATTGTCAATTTTTAGAATATTAAGATTATTCAATCTCCGTCTATGTAGATGCATTAACGCACTCGTAGGCTATTTTAATATCCTTCATCAAAATTGCGCAATTGAAATGCTCATTCACTAGAGAAGTAGTACTCATGCTGTGATTAAATAAAATGAAACACAGAATTCCATTTGGCAAATCCCTATTGACCTCTTCAAAGACTAGGTATGTGGGTACGAGTTTTTTTATGCAAAACCCTGTTTCAGGCATCCAAGGTCAGCCTGACAGCATGTTAACATATAATTCATTGTCTGTTTCAGGCATCCAAGGTCAGCCTAACCCAGTGATTGACATAGCAGAGTTTACCTCAGTCAGGGGAGTCACTGAATATGTTCCCAACACTGCCAAACCAATCTATGCTTTCAGGGTGAGATACCAAGAACTTAGTATATTTTGCTTTCTTGATTGATTAGCATGTAGGGATAGAGCTAGCATCTCCTCACCTTAAATGGTTAAGACATCAGAAAATCAGTAAGCAAATAATAATTCAGAGAAATTTTGATATATGGTGTTTTAATGACATATTCTCAGAATTAGTCATTTTCTAATGAATAAACAACCAATTTCTGTGATTTATTTTGCATATACAAAAAACCATTTTAATAACAAAGACAGGTAGATGATTATTATTACTGCTTGATTTTAGGGTATTCCATATGCAGCGCCTCCTGTTGGTGACCTCAGGTTCCGTGCCCCACAAACAGCTGAGCTTTGGATTGGGGAACTAGATGGCACTGCACACGGTAAGAAGATTTTAAGTGGCACTAGCCCATTTCAAGCTGTTAAGTTGTATTAGATTTCAAATATAATGAAACATTGTCTAAATTCTTGAATACACACGCATTTACGGTAAATTATAAAAATCAAGATTATTTCTACTTTTACAGGATGATCATTAAATTCCCAGAACTTAGTGATCACCCTGTATCTAGTTTATTGGATCCCTTGAGGCTTTGCTAGATACCTGGGGAAAATGTTTAGGCTTACAGCTTTTTTTTTGGCATAACCGATATCTTCATACTTGTTCATCTTTCAAGGTCCAATTTGTCCACAGACAAGAATTGATATAATGTCAGAAGATTGCCTTCTCTTGAATATCTGGACTCCCACCTTGGAAGTCAACCAGAACTTGTCAACTCTGGTCTGGATACATGGAGGATCATTCCAATGGGGTGAGTTTTAAAGGGAAATCTGACCCTATATAGGCTAATTATCTCTTTATATACATGGAGGATCATTCCAATGGGGTGAGTTTTAAAGGGAAATCTGACCCTATATAGGCTAATTATCTGTTTATATATCTACATGTATATCATGAAATAATCCAAAATAAAGGCAGAGAAATTATTCCAACATGTATATATATTTTTAGGGAATACTGCAGCCTGGTATTGTACAATTACCAGTAGAATGGTTTGGTTACAAAGGAATCTGTAATGCCTCTGTATTCAGGTATAGTGTTATACACATTATTGTACAATGCTTTATTGTTGTAGGAAGTGGTAACTCAAGATCAGGGACAGAGTTGGCCTCATTCGAAGATGTCATAGTGGTGACTATTAACTACAGACTGGCAGTAATGGGTAAATACAATATGTAATCATTAGTAACATATATGTCTATGACAATCAGCCTGTTATTCTATTACAGGTGCAGTACATGTACAATGTATGTTCCTCACCTAATATGACATATCTGCAAAGTGGGTATGAAGCAGTCTGTGACAGATCTATTGAAATCATTGAGCATGATTGTATCCCTGATTTAAAATCAATCTTAGTACCCATGTTGCTCAGAACCAGCACGTGCCAAGGCAAAACAAATAAGTTCCTCTTTTTTGTCATTTGGCTGAAATAGAAACATTCCAGAGTACCCGACTTGACTCCCTTACACTTCACCCTCATTTAGGGAAACGAGTAGTAAATATATATAGGATTCAAGCTGCATCACTAGATTTTTTGGTATCCTCTACTAACATTGTAAATGACTTGTAAGAAGTGATAACCTTGGTATCCAATGCATATTATTTTATCCCACCATTTTTAGGTTTTTTCACAACTGGTGATGCCAATGCTCCTGGGAACGTAGGTTTGATGGATGCACAGATGGCCATCCAGTGGCTGCGAACACATATTGGACGATTTGGTGGAGATCCTGATTCAATCACCATTTTTGGGGAAAGTGCAGGTAACAACAACAGACAACAGTATTGCTCCAAAAGAAAACTAGATATCAACTAAATATCTATGCAAGATTTTGAACAGAGTTCACGTGAAAGCTTTTGTGGTGTTGAACCTCTTCCTGTTAATATCTGCAGTTCAATTATTTCATTTACTGCAGGTGGTATGGCTGTGTCGGCCCTGGTGTTGTCTCCCTCCAGTCAAGGCTTATTCAAGAGAGCTATATCTCAGAGTGGGACATTAACGGCCCCTAACAGAGCCAACCCTTGGACAACTGCAGCCAGCCAGAGCAGAACTATTGCAGAAATTCTAGGTATAATGATATTGTATTTTTATCCATTAGCCAATATTGAGAGGCTTTGTAACTCTGACTTGAAATATACCCGAGTTCTACCATAATAGGTCGACTTTTTATACTCACTACATGGTCAATTTGCATGCACTTGAAATAGCTTTGAGACCATAAAAAGGACAAACCCATATTTACACCAATCATTTGCATCATACTACAGGGTGTGCCTGGACTTCAACTGAAGCAGTTGTTGAATGCATGCGTGGCTTGGATTGGGAGGACATTGAATACCATGGAACTGGTATCCAACCATATCCAGCTATTGATGGGACATGGTTACCTGACTGGCCCTTCAACATGTATAATATGGGGGAATTTAACCGCATAGATTACCTACTGGGATACAATAGAGATGAGGGTTACTTCTTCATTTTTGGAGCTGATCCCAATAGGGAAAATATCCGGGAACTATTCAGGGCTTATATTGCAAGGTACATATACATTTGTAATTTTTTTTTTCTGAATCAATACAAATTCACACTACCCTACCACGTGACCACGTTTAAAATGGAAACAGGGTACAGCTAAGTTGCAAATGGAGGACGTGGGTTTAATTCCATATTTCTGAACGTAAAATACATTTTACATTTATTTCTAGTGTTCTACCAGACATAGAATTGATTCATCAAGCAGTTTGTAGAATATTGTTGGCAAAAAAACCTATAGGCAAAGATAGATAATAGTGGGCGCAGTGAAGCAAAACTCAACACAATACACGATACATTTCAGTAAATCTGTCAACGTACAGGGAGCATGTAAGTTTCCCTTCGAAAATGTTACATTGATATGTAACAAAAAAACATTTAACTATTATTTCAACCGCGTGTCATCGTGTTATAGGTGGATACGTTTTCTAGTATGTTATTCAACTGTATTTTTGTGAATTTGAACAAAACATTCTAAATGATCGGTTTTTGAGGACGGTATTGAATTATACCATTCAAGGGGTTATATAGAACGATTCTTCACATGTAGTTCAGGCAATTTTAATTATTCTGAGTAGCGGATAGTCATTAATACTGATAGCGGATAGTCATTTATATAATTATCATTAATGTCTTAACATTTAATTTTGTTATTTTATTTCAATTTGATACCCTAGTAACACGTATAATCTAGCGTTCTTGTTTATTTTATGACTAAAATGCATACGACCTGAAAGCCCGTGTCTAAATCTACAAAATAATGTTTACTTTATTTGGATTGAATAACAATTGATGACACCCCAAAGCATCAACAGGCGACCTTTTTAGCATTACTTTCACTGTTTGCAACGTAAATGTACATGAGGTCGGAACATAGTATGTCTGTATAATCAGCTTACTTTCTCGCTCCCTGTACTATTGAACAATTTACATTCCTTGTACCCTGTATTGATCAACTTTTGCAACTGTGTACCGTGTACTATGACATATCAAATATTTTAAAATTTAAAACGATATTATTTTCATTCTTTCTATAACTATCATATAACTTGGAACATCGACTTCACTATTGCACCACTGAAGTGTAGCGAATAGCAATATTGACTCACTCCGAGCACCAAACGTATTAACCTTTTGAGTAAGCAGTCGATATACTCAAAAGTGACCTGATTGAAAGCCAAAAAATTCGCGCATGCGTGATCGAGGTAGGGTAGTGTGAAATTGCCACATATATTACTACCTATTTGATTTGGAAAGAAATTAACTTTAGTGTCTTATCCATAGGTACTACAATGAGAATGTTGATGCCATAACAGAGGCTGTCCTGCAGGAGTATGTGGATTTCAACCAGACAGACCCTGATTATTATGTGTTTGCATACTCAAATCTGATTGGTGAATGCAGTTACAATGGGCCATCCAATGATGTTGCAAGGAAAACTGCAGCTCGTGAGTTTTGTTGCCATTCACAAGAACATTCTCATCTATGTATGCTAAATATTGAAACACTTGATCCATTCAATTTTAATACATGTAATACCTAATTGTCATTTCAACCATTGTAGTGTACCCAAAGGTCTACATGCACCACTTAAACTATTCCAGTGTACCCCGATGTTCACATGCACTACATCAACCACTTCAGTATACCCAAATGTCTAAATGTAGTACCACATCAACCATTTCAGTATAAACCCGTCTACATGCATCACCTAAACCATTATATTCCAGTTTACCCCAGTGCTTACATGTACCACTTAAACCATTCCAGTATATCAAAACGTACCACTTAAACCATTCCAGTGTACCCCAGTGCTTACATGTACCACTTCAACCATTCCAGTGTACCCAAATGTCTACATGTACCACTTCAACCATTCCAGTATACCCAAATGTCTACATGTACCACTTCAACCATTCCAGTATACCCAAATGTCTACATGTACCACTTCAACCACAGGCCTGGGTGGTCCAGTAACTCAGATTGGGTTACAGCGACACATGGTGATGAGATCCCATTTGTATTTGGTGCTCCCTTCAGTGCCTCTGGGGGAAGCTACACAGAGCAGGGACGGGCACTCAGTAGACAAATGATGTCATACTGGGCTAACTTTGCTAAGACAGGGTGGGTACCTTTTATCGGACCCTTGGGTGCTATATTGTGACCTATTTGTTCCTAATTCTATCAACATTCCGAAATAGTTTTGGCGATCGCACCCCCTGACTTAAAGCTGGCTACGTCCCTGACTTATATATGTTAAAAACGTGTGAGAAAATTCTATTGCTTCGCACTAAACTTTATGAAACATTTCAGAAATCCCAATGGTGCAGGACTTCCTACATGGCCCCGTGTGACCTGTCAGAACATAGACTATATGGAACTGGTCTATAATCCTAGAGCAGAACAGAACTACGTGCCAAATAGAATGCGGGTCTGGATGGAGACTGTACCTGCCCTTGATACGTACCGGGCACAATTCTACCGTGGCTTCCCCTGGTCATGCCCATCTCAATAGAAGTTCTTGAAATTTAAATCATAAACAATTAATCAACTTATACATGAGTTTCTGAGGCTTTAAAAACTCTGAATAAACATTGCGGGAAACATTGTCTCTATTTTTCAGGATTCACCAGTTATTTTCAATGTACTTAACAATCCAGAAAAGTTACAGCTATTATAAACTTGATGATATAGTACTTAGACTAACTGTAAATTATTGTAATTTAAGACATATTAGATATGGTATCGTACACATCTACCATTTTTATAAAAATTAGATTAATGTCTGTAGACATGCATAAATTGAATGGATTATTTTTGGAAAATAAAGTTCATTTTTTAAGTTAAAGTCTATAAAAGCTGTTGAAATTGTGAAAGATTACTTCGCAACTGATACCCTCAAGAAAATTGAAGACATGGAAATATGCAATCAAAAATGTATTTCTCTCTAATTACGGAATCATTTAAAATATCAAGACTGTCCCTTAAAAGTTTTCAACGTCTGTGTAGGTTGAATCATCATTGAAATCCTCTTCAGGTAGACACGCATAACATATTTCCTGGAAAGATAACAACATATGCGTTGGTTGACAGAACAACATTAGTACAATTCACAAACAAGTTTTGAGAAGTATATTCTTTCCGGTATTCTGCCCGGTTTTAATGACAGCCATGGTTGTTCAAGACAATTTCTCCAAATCGACCTTCGTTTTTTGGCAGTGTATTAGACGTTTTCAGACTTTTAACCAGTTCAGTCACGTTTTCAGAAAGACGACAAACATATAATAGTTAAGTTTATCTTGTGTTATTCTAACCGGCCTGTAACGACCTTTGTGGTTCTGAACGTGTAAAGGTGTAACAAATATAGTTGATTGAAAGCCAAAAGAGAAGTAAGCTATAATACAAAAGACAATGTTAAACATGGATATATCGGGGATACACTGTATGTACCTTCATATCAATCCAGCATTCTCCACAATATCCAAAGTTACAGCCGGGTGTATGGCAATTGTAGAAATTTTTGTTTTCTGGTTCCTCGCAGATCAAACACTTCTTCTTTGAACTTCCAAACATTCCCAGCCAGCCACAGAGCATCGGATATTCATTTCTTATAGATGTTAAGACATTTGATTTTATCTGAAGAGCAGATATATTATTGTAAGTATGTAATACCATAACAATATAATGTATTGAAGCAAACATTCTGAAGCGATGCAAGAGCACTATTATTCAGTAAAAATAGAAGCTGATGATAACACACTGAATGTAATATGTTGCAAAGTCGAACATTCATGATCATTTCATGATAGTTCACTATAAAAGATGGAAGAAGTTGTTAACCTACATGTAGCAATCAGAAATGACTGTCGGACTATTAACAGTCTGTTAAACCAACGATGTAACACTATAAAGGGAAAAGGACATACTCACAGTCAATACTAATTAAGACAAAAGAGAAGTGCAAGATAGCAATAAATGTACCAACCGATAATTTTCTTTCCCGAGCTAGAGCCTTGATCCTTCTTTGGGCATGTCTTAAAAAGCCCTTCCTTTTCTTCAAAACATCATTGTACAGGTGTAAGATACGTTTCTTCTCTCTCTACAATGTTTCGATTAATAAGATCATCATGGGCCGTAGCTAGGAATGAGGCGTGCGGGGCAAGTGCCTCACCAAAATTTAATAAAAACATTTTTTACATACTGCCTTTAACTCATACTTGCCTCGACCATTAATTAAATTTGCCCCACCTATTCAAATTTGCCTCGAAATATGCACCAACGCGCCAATGTGTATTGCTTATGTGTAATCCGATCTTAATACGAATTTGTGATGGAAAACTGGTCGAAGATATGATATGCGAAAATATCCAAATCAATTTTTTTGTATTGGCAACCATCTAAGGTATCAGCAAGAATGAAATAAAGTCAGAATGTTCTGACACTTAACTGAGAAAAGAACTCATCGTATGATATGTAAAATTAAGCCCTCAGATTGACCAGTCCCTGTAAACATATTTTGTTTACTCGTCCCTATCCTTTAATTTATTACATAAAATCAAGTTTGTAACCAAGATAAGAATAAACGAAGTTAAAATTAAGATCGGACTACTACTTCAACACAATTTTCACAGCTTTAGTCGAGACATTCAAAATCATTCCCTCTGTAAAACGGGATGTTACCTTTGGATAAAAGAATTGGCAAATGACTCTACGTAGACGCAGACCATACGCTTCGAACACCATGCAGATCCAAATAATAGCAAATATTCCAAATATCTTGTAGATATGTTGAGTGTCAAGTCCAACAGGGTTAGGAAGACACGCTGAAAACAATTTAGATATTATAGAAAACTTAACTAAATTGGTTGCGACCCTTTAAATGTTATATTCTGAACATATAAATGTGCATGTTTTAACTATAGAATATAGATTTTTGCTTTTCCAAATTTTGTAACACTTTTCTGGAATTTATTTACCAAAGTTAGTTGTTACTTCGTCAATAGCGTGTTTCTTGTTAAAACCATTAAGTATGGACTTGATCAAGTGAGCCACAGCTCCGTTGCCGTTGATGATTAGTTGAATGTGATGTTCCCCGGTCTGTCTGTAGTCTACACGACTGTGCCTCCTGATCATATCAAGAACCTCGTATATGAAGTAGTCCATATAGATAATCACAGAGACAGAAATCACTCGAAGGAGAAGTTTGAACGTACTGCTTACCTAAAATATATTCAATTTTGAACCAATTTCTTAAAACTTTCTCAAAACTCTGGCAATGGATTTATGTTGAATCCCATCCAGAATGAAAGGGTTATATATAATGTGTAAGATTATAGAGGTATTGGATTTACACCAAGAAGTACACCAAGTAGAAATGCTGATGTGTGAGGGGCATTGGATTTAGGTTGAGTTGCATCCAGTAGAAATACTGATGTTTAAGGGGATTTAGGTTGAGTTGCACCCAGTAGAAATGCTGATGTTTAAGGGGAATTGGATTTAGGTTGAGTTGCATCCAGTAGAAATACTGATGTGTAAGGGAAATTGGATTTAGGTTGAGTTGCACCCAGACTAAAAGGTTTATATATGTAAGAAGGTATAAGTCTAAGGATTTCAGATATCACGATGGACCAAAGACATAAACGATTTCGTTATTTCTACCATGGGCTTCTAGTTGAAAGCCCATGTTTCTACATATAATAGAAAATACTTGTAACTACCAATTTTGATTTTTCTGGTCCCATAAGTTTGAATGACAGCGGATCAATATAGTTCTTCCTTTCTAATTTCTTGAGTGGTAGTAGTGTCCTCTTTCCCTACAAACATTTCATAATAGTCATCATATCAAATACTCAAAACGTACACATTATCAAATTAAGTTTGCCGAAGTAAGTGGTAACATTAAAAAGTCTTGGTCTATCATTAATGAACTACTTGGAAAAAACAAAAAAGCTGCATTGCCATCTAAATTCACTATAAATGGAAAGGAAACAACAGATCATGAAATCATTTCCAATGGATTTAATAATTTTTTTACCAATATTGGTAAAAATCTAGCCAAGGAGATTCCAAAATCCAAAAAATGCTTTAATGAATACCTAGCAAGAGCTCAAAAAGTTCAATCATCTATTTATCTCAAAAAGACCTCAAAAACTGAGCTTGAATTAGAAATGTGTCTTCTAAAATCTTCCTCGCCTGGACCTGATGGGATTCTACCATCACTTATTAAGTCTGCAAGACAGTTTTTAATTGATCCACTCTTGTATATATTTAACTTATCTTTTAAATCTGGTATTTTCCCAGACGCCCTCAAATTGGCCAAAGTAACACCTGTATTTAAAAAAGGTGTCACTACAAATCCTTCGAACTATAGACCAATTTCAGTTTTATCTGTATTTTCTAAATTGTTAGAAAAGCTCATGCACGCCAAACTCACTGGTTTTTTAGAACGTTTTGAAATTATTTTTACTTATCAATTTGGATTTCAGAAATTCAACTCTACCTACATGGCCATTTTATATTTCATTGAACAAATTCGAAAATCAACTGATTTGGGGAAAACGAGCATTGGCATAACATTAGATTTTTCCAAGGCCTTTGACACAATTAATCATGACATTTTGATACAAAAACTTGAATATTATGGCATCAGAGGAATAGCTAAGTCCTGGTTTGAAAGTTATTTAAAAGACCGCAAACAATATGTCACCATTAACAATTATGAATCTAAACAATCATCTCTAAATTGTGGTGTTCCGCAGGGCTCGGTACTTGGACCACTATTATTTATTCTTTACATAAATGATCTGCCTTTTGTTGCCCCTAATCTAAAATTTATTATGTTTGCTGATGACACCAATCTTCTTGATAGTGATTATGATTTAAATGAACTTATGACTAGAACTAATGCAAACTTGAATTCAATAGATGACTGGATAAAAGCAAACAAACTTTCACTTAATATTGGCAAAACCAATGCTATTCTATTTGGACCCCAAAAAAATCAAACAAATCTGAATCTTAAAATACGCAATGAGAACATAAATTTCCGGGAAAAAATTGACTTTCTTGGAATTATTATTGATAAAAACTTGAAATTTAAAGAGCACATAAAATCTGTTGAAACAAAGATTTCTCGCGTCATTGGTTCTCTTTATCACATTAAACATCTACTTCAAATAGACAGTTTCAAAACAATTTACTACTCATTGATACACTCTCAATTAAATTATTGCAACATAATCTGGGGTAACACATTTAAATCATTTTATGATCGTCTACATAAACTGCAGAAACAATTCTTAAGGCTAGCTTTAAATAAGGATAGACTTTCTCACTCCGCTCCCCTATTTAAAGATCTTAGAATATTAAATATTTTTGATGTCAACAGATATTGTACTGGTCAGTTCATGTACAAAATCTTTAATAAGCACCCCAGTCTTCCAAAAAATCTATTTCAAGACTTGTTTAATATCAACATTAATATTCATCATCATTACACAAGACAATTACATTATTTTCATATCCCTAAATGCTCCAAACTTTCCCTTCGCTATCTGGGTCCTAATCTTTGGAATGCTCTACCACATGATATTAAAAAATGCTCCACTCTAAATATTTTCAAATCTTCATATAAAAAACTACTCATCTATCGATAATGTATAATACCAATTTCATACTATACTGTTGATTTTATACTGGTACCTATTTTTGTAACATTTTTACATTGTACATCCTTAGATTAATTGTTAATACCATTTTTATATACCTACATGTAACATAATATAAGTGTTTTCTTTTATATGTAGTCTAGTTGTCATTTTAATGATTTCTGTTAAACCGCAACATATACCCACTAGGGTGTCTAGCGGCTTGTTTTTATAGTGTATATTATATAAGAATTATGAAATAAATAATTGAATTGAATTGAATTGAATTGAGTTACATAGTGCACATATCTGGTAGTTAGCATTGCCATGGACCTGTTATATGAAAGAAGAGTGTACACATCTGGTAGTTAGCATTGACATGGACCTGTTATATGACAGAAGAGTGCAAATATCTGGTAGTCAGCATTGACATACAGTAGGCTTGTTATATGACAGTAGACTACACATATCTGGTAGTTAGCATTGACATGATTCGTACCTGTTTATATCTTCTTGCGTCGATTCTTTTAAAGTAAGAAACGATGTAAACATTGTCGCCTTCAAAGTTTCCAATATAGTTCTTATGGTACCTTAGAGCACTGAAATTCAAAAGCTTTTGATAAGGTTTCAACCCAAAATGAGCTCCATAACTGACGTAATCTTAACAAAGTGACATTCTAGCATTATCATTTTCAGATCATTGTACAAAAAGGCGCACATAGAAAAAAGGAATAACTACTTTCATTTTTTGCAATAAAAATATGAAAAAATCATACCTTAGAAACACTCGTAAAAACATAAATGCAAGTATTCTTTTAATCGCAGTCATACAGAATTGAAACCACTTCACTTTTTCATCAAATGCATGGTTCATTTCTTTGGCAGCGTCTTTAACAGAATATGTTTCAATTGACTCTTTAGTTGTTTCGATCTAAAATTGAGCAACAGTCATCGAATTAAACATCTATTAATTGGTCAGTTGACATTCTGATACACTTCACATCTTTCGTCATGAAATCTGTTGTCAGATCGGAAAAGAGCTTATAATTCCTTCTCCCGGCTTGAAATGGAAGGAAGGATTACGTTATGCAGAATTGAATGTGCATTATGTAATTATGATGATCAATTACATTGTAATTGATCGCAATAATCTTAAAGGGGCGACAAGGCCCGTAGAGAGAAAATAGGAAAATTTTAACTTTTTCTGAGCTATCAAGGCAACATTTGACGTAACATCTTCCTATTTTCTTAAAATGTATGGATAAACTACTACAAATTTCAGCATTAAGAAGTGTAAATTCAGTTCAAAGCCTCAAAAAGGGGAAATCCACCTTTATATTTCTAAGATCCACCATCTGCACTAATCGTCGCACCTTTAATGGCTCGTAAAGACGTGATGGCACAGGGGGTTACATGGGTACTTCCCGTTGCTTTGGATACTCTGTATTAGTCAAATGGGGGGGGGGGGGGGTTAAGGGCTAGAAACAAGACCATTTATGTTTCCGAATTATCTTTATCTATATAGAGTAATAGACAAAACCTTAATAATTTATACCTTATATTGCATGTTGACATCAAAGTTATCATCAAACGCATTAGCAGAATCTTCGGCGGTCTTATATCCCTCGCCGAAACCTTCATTGAGAGCGTTCCCTGATTCGCAGTTCTCTTTATCAGAACTCGGGACCACTGAAAGAAGTTATTTTCACTTGAATTTAAACAGATTATGTATCATACCACTCTAATGAATTAATAATCCGAATGATGTGAAACTTATATGCTATGCGGCCAAGTTTATACTTTCTATACTTTATAGGAGTAATGCTTTGGGGCTTGGTATAGCTATACTTAAAGGGAGAATCAGATCTACAGGGAGTGACAAAATTGAAAGCAACGTGTGCGGTTGACCTACCAATATATTCCTTACAATATCAAATATAATATCTACAAGATCCATGATACGGGATTAATTGCGAAATCAAAGTGCGAAAATGGGTAATGATGTTTTTAAAAATTATCCCAAATAGAATAAATGGTGACAATAGAAAATGAATGCATGTTCGTAAAAATCTTTAGTTATCCTCAAATAAAGTATAAACTATCGGATTAACCTACTTTTTATGACCAGTTAAACCCCACTTAGATAGCCACACAATATAATGAACTGTATTTTATTTGTAAAAAGAAAAGTTCATTATTTTTCTATTGTTTTTGAAGAATTGACACTTGGCAAGCTAATTCACTCATTCAAAAGTTGAATAGTAAAAACAAAAGAATTCAAATTTTAAACTTCACCTGAGCTGTTACATGCAGTGCACTGAAGTTCAAGTAATTATTTCCACTCACTCACTTACATGTATCAAACAACTTACCCCTACTAGTCAATACAAAAGAAATCAAATTTTCTAGATCGGACCATGTACTATTTACTTTTCATAAGAATCCGTGGGGTTTAAGGTAGATAAGGCATTCTTACTGGGTTTAATGATAAATAACAGTCTTGGGCCTGACGGCCGTCGGCTATAATTGTTCATAATACCCAATACTCATTCTTTATCCATGACCTCATTTAAATATGAATGGAATAGTGGCAGATACAGTTCATATTTAAACGAGTTGCCCATAAAATAGTTAATTAATCCGGTCACCGACAGCCGAAAGCTGTATTCGCGAATACAAGCTGAGTTAGATGAAGTAAATAAGTCACTCTTATCAATCGTTCTGAAATAAGCCGGTCGAAATTAAAGAATATACTCACGACTTAGTAGAGCGCACATCTGTGTCAGTTTGAACACCCAGCAAAATAAGTGACCAATCACTCCGGCCGCCTTCATACACTTTGACTCTAGCGACCTGAACGTCTTTCTGCATTCTATAACGGCCTTGCTATATACGTCTTCACATCGGAACTCCATTTTTTCCTCGTAGCCTTGTTCCAGAACCATTCCATTTGGCGCCTTGTTGACATGTTCGTGTCTGTTACTGATATCAAGGGTCCGACTTTTTTGCTGTCCTTCAAGACCGTCCACGTAATCCGAGTCTGCCTTCATCTCCTCGATTTCATCTTTATCTTCTACTTCATTCTCGAATGGTTTGAACTCTTTCTTGATTTTGGAGGTTATGTTGTGTATTTCTTTTCCTTGTCTCTGTAAATCTAGCATCACGTCGTGAATTGGTTTGAGTTTCAGCTCTAGTCTTGCCAAGGTTTGATTGGCACCCAATTCTGCATGACATGCGAGAGAACGTTTGACCTCCTTTGCATTTTGCACGATGTTAACGACTGGACCTACCATCAATGCATATAATAAAATATTAAACAGAAATTCATATTGAGAAATTTACATCTCATTGGACATATTGCTGAATACATTATATATTTATCAACAGAATCGCTTCATTAATGTTGAAGCAATGGCGAAAAGTGTAAAACAACACATAAAACCACCATTCTAGCTTCCATTCGTGTGCTAAAAAATGCGTCAAAGCATCGTTAGCTTCATTATAAATACCGGAGTTCCTCAAGGGTCGGTATTTAGACCCACGTTATTTATTATATTATATTAATGACATTCTGGATGATTTGATTTTAAAAACTTATTTTTTGCATATGGCAAAAACAACTCCCAAATATTGCTAATTTCACGTTTTATCACTTTTGTCTCACCTGATAAAATAAGAGCAATTGCAAACGTAGCAATGTAAGAGCGCCCTTCTTTGCCCAAGAAAAATGGTATGAGAAGAATAGTGATGCACCGGACTTGAATGGACATTGCGAAACCACCAGACATCATGATGCCGAGAATAGTACCAAGGGTATACTTGACGAAAGTAGTGAACCGCATACTGTCGATGACGGCATAGTAAAGACCTGAAAGAGTTTGAATAAAGATCTATGACTGTGGTAACCATTTGCATTCTTCAGAAATACTATAGAAAAGTCGTGATAAATGATATCTGCATTTGAATTTGACGTGTCGAAATGAATTTTCAATTCACAACAGCAATAAGACCAAACTTCACGGAGCTTGTGGACATTTCGGAATGATTCATGTTCAGTTTCATAATTCAATACTTATTTGTGTTTGTTACCATTGTTCTAATCAATTTTATTTGTGATTTCAAGAAAAATTGGGTCCCAGGACCGAAACTTGATATTTTCCAACAATATAAACTTCGAACTGTCGTTATTTTCTGAAATTATAACCGACTATAAATTCAAAATAAACAGTTCAAAAGATTCGAACCAATATCTCGATCATATATTTCTTTTGAGTTTTGGATTTTTTTCGTTAGGAAATGACCAAAATCAACGAGTCAAATGTTGAAGTGAACAAAAAGGCGGCTGTTTGAACTTGAATTTTGTATTACGACATGGCAATATATGGAACAGAATATCGATGTTGCACTCTTGGAGCCAATCCTCCTTGATGTGATTGGTTCGCATTATAACAAGTCGCTTAGGATAACCATCAAATAATATTCCATGAAAACCTTCCTACCTGTTGCGAATAATAAGCCGATAGGGAATCCCAAAATTTGTTTTAGTATTAGGTATTCATCCGGTCCGCTTGTGAAGAAGCGATACAGCAAAGGACACCACCTCTGACAGACTGCACGAAAAAAGCAAACAACCTAACTATTAAATAATAAGATATCAATGATAAATACATAGAGTAATTATTATGTATTAGGTAAGGCACATTTGAATAAGTGAACATGTTGTATTCATAATCAAATAACGGATGTATTATAAATTACTTGAGGTGGGTTTCGACTTCTTCTTCTTTTTTCTTTTGCCCTTCTTTTTCAATGGATGTAAAGGTTCCTCCATACCGTCAGTAAACCATTCTTGGTAATCTTCACCTTCATATATTGGCCCATTCATTCCAATATACGGCTCATTTTCTTCGAAATTTGGCACACTCATTTCAAAAAGCGGTCGATCTCCTTCAAAATGTGGTCCATATCCTTCAAAATGTGGTTCATTACTATTAAAATGTTGTCCATTCAACTGTTGCCCTTCCACTTCTTGTATACCTGGTGGATAATTCTCTTGAATATTAGGACCATACATTACTGGCGGTCGATTCCCTTCAAAATGCAGTCTATCCCTTTCAAAAGGCGGTCGATTCCCTTCAAAATGTGGTCCAGATCCTTCAAAATGCGGTCCATTCCCATCAAATTGTTGTATGTTCCCTTGTCGCCGTTCCCTTCCTTGGAGGCCTGGATGATTCTCTTCAAAATAAGGACCTTGCATTGTGTCTCATCTTTTACTTTTTTAATCTATTACTTTGTTTTTAATTTGATTTTCCTAGTTCCCCTAACAACCACCAATAACTTCTGTGACGCATTGATATTGAGCGATATCATCTGAAGTTCGTTTGTTATGACGTCATTTGTTTGTAAATCATGTAAATGACGTAATGAATGTGACAATGGTGACCGTCTGGTGAGTTTTGTTGATACATCAACAAACATCATCGGGATAGCTAGTGCTATCATTAGAAGCTTTGACTATGGGGCATCTTAAAATGGCCTATAAGGCCTATAAATTCAAAGAAGGAATGGAGAAAGTGAAACAGGCAAAAATTAATGCCGAGCGAGCAAGACAAGGACTTCCGCCGATTAGACCTTGGTAGGTAGCAAGATTGTTAGATTAAATATTGCAATTGATCCAAAATGCATTTTTTGAATTGGAGTCCAGTATATAACATATTTTTCACTGACTTAATTAGTTGATTAAAATGGTTGCGTTGCTTGAGATTCCAAATACGGCAATTTGCGTTGCTTAAGAATCCAAATACGGCAACGCTCACAAATGTATCGGACTAGAATTCACATTAATAAGCATTAATAAGGTCATTTAACAGACAGTTTTTGCATGATTATTTCCAATTCCTTCACTACAAAGGTATGAAGACTGCTACATCAACTGCACTGAGGGGATACGAGACACAATCATGCGTGCCTTTTGTCCATGTTGTATCTATGATCGTGAACGTCATTTGAAGCAACAGAAAGGATCTAATAATGTTATCGGGAGACTCCTTATCGACGGGACATATGAAAATGATTTATTGAAAAGTATATTTGGTAAATATGCATTGATTGGTGACGAGTGTATTACATAGTTTTAGTGTTTTAATGGAACCCCAAAAATATTTATAGATCACTATTTCTTCACTTGGGGTTATTCTTTTTAATTTGAGCTTTTTGGAAATAGCCCTCGATTTTTAATAAAAATTTAAAATGCGCATATTTATGAAATTGTATATCCTTTTTTAACAGGCTTCATGAGTGGAGTTGCTTTAACATACCTGATGCTTTGGTTCATGATCGAATATATGAAAATGACGGTCTTTGCTTCAACAATATGTGCTATTATCGCTGCAATCATTCTATGTGGAGGTCTTGCCTTTTCTCTAAACGTGCGCTGTGTCGTCCTACTAATGCTACCTGGGATTTTCTCAAGTAAGGACGTAATTATATACCTACATAAAATAATCCGAAATAAAGACAGAGAAATTATTCCTACATGTTTCTTTATCTAAAAATCTTCAGGGAATATATTATATTATATTTTCTGTCAGTTGCCTGAGGATGTGAACAAGAAACTAGTTGCATCGAAACGAAATCATCTTATGTTTTTATTTAAACTTTATTATATTATATCATATATATATTCAAATACTTTATCTATAAGATAAATGAATATCGAAAATAATCTGGTTTTAACAAATAACCTTAACGGTATATTGTCATAAACGTTATTTATTATTTGTGTTTGAAATGGGAGTAAACGTCAATTACGCTTCACTTATTGTACTTTTGAATTGCCTTTAAATTGAAATAAATAAGTAAACGAAGAAATACACCATAGACATTATAGATGTGAATCTGAACTTTTGTATCTGAACTGAAGTATTGACATGGATTCCTCGATACGCAGAGAAACTTCGATTTTACCTGTATGTTTCAGGTAAGGGCAGAGCACTTTTACTTACGTATGTTTTTGTATTGGTCATGACGGGTCCTGTGCAAAATTTCACCCACAATGTACGAATAATGTCTGAAAGCTCAACATGTGGCCAAGAGGTAGCATACAATTTAACAAAAGAAGTCGTTAAAGAGTCGCTCTCACCCGTCCACGGTTAGTTTTAAAGTATACATATCACGTGTTCAATTTAGTCTAAAATACTAATAAAATATTGACTTTGATATATATATATATATATACAGGGTGGGTAAAGAAAATTAGAACACTTTATATTTAGGATATGCTCAAAATTAGAGCAGAACTATGCGTGAATGAAAAGAAAATTAAATAATATATTGTTGTAAAGCTAATATAAATATATTTATGACTCAATTTTTATTTGAAATATCCTAGGCTTCTAATTAAATGACAAAATGATAGAACAGAAAAGCATTTATACGCAAATGGTGTAATAAATTACTATAAACAACAATCTTCTGTAGAAAATGTTGAAAATATGAAAATATACCACTGAAATGGCCACGGATGTTATCGCAACGATTTCAAACGGTTATATCCTGTTTTTTCATTTATTTTCAAACTGGAATAAATTACTTTAAAATAACTACTGAGATGATGTTACTATTAAACAACACCTTGTTTCAATGAATTATTGATACAATTGAGATTTCTAGATCTCTTACTCACGAGGTAAAATTGGTATTTTACATGCCAATGTTTGAATTACAAATTGTGCACAAAGGATCATCAAATTAAAAAAAGTTAATTCATTTCGATCAAGTGGTATGCCCTTTTATTGGAAATTAAATTACCCTTTCAATGGTATATCATTCATGCATAGTTCTGCTATTATTTGGAGGATACCTTTACTATGAAAGTGAACTACTTTTTTCTGATATGCATTGACTTAAATACTGACTTAAGGAATCATTGACGCAATCAGAAATGTCATACAAGGAATGATGAATCTTGCCGAAGCCTTACGGAAAGCTTTCCTCGCCGTGGTCCAAGTCTTTGCTGAAGTCGGTGAGTGGTTTTAAGATATTTATGACTATAACAAGTTGAAGTTGTTTCGCTATCCATATCCATATAGTATACAATATATATTGCGTTCCAGGCATTGCAAGATGATCAGTATTTAGGGGAAACTCCCCTGATTCCAAGAAGACATAATATGTCTATAATGTAAATGCATATCCTGATTGGTCACAGACAAGTGACGTCATTCACCAGCGGTTTCAACATTTTCTAAAATAGCTTCGAATAATAATATTATCATAATGTTAATTTCGATTCATCTCGACGACGTGTGGTATTCGGAAACTAGCGGATGGAAATTCGGACAAACGAAAGTGGTAGGCTTTACACTGTTACATTTTTCATGAAACAGGGGCTTTCACACGAAAATGAGGATTTAGGCAAGGATGTTTTGACTTAAAATGGGGATATATGCACTATGTGTTACGCGGTAAACACGATACAAATATATGTCATATTCCGTAACGAATATTGCATATTCACTTGCGGTGTAGGTCAGATACACCTGGAATATGCGATATGGAAGTACTCTATTGTCAATGACATCGATTGAACGAACGGCTTAAAGTCTATAAGTTATTATAATGATTACTGAATCAACATGTCATTGCATTGAATATATGAACTGATACAATTGAATAACATACACCAGTGGTACAGTACCTATATTGTTTGATGTTGTTTTATATATGTGTTACACGCAAAAAAGCACTTCAAGTGAAACGAACCCACGCTCGTGAAGCTTATGAGTGACTTTTACAACCAAATCAACAGTTTACAAAGATAAAAGCCTGAAAAAACGAGTATTTGATCGCGGTTAATACGTTACTGATACTTTCAGAAGTATCATTTACCGATCACACGTAATAATCTTACTCAATCACTCCAGGATATATAGTTAAGAGCTCGAAGTGATAAAAAACGATGCACGGTAATCCATTATAGTTTTACATTTAGTGTTGATTCTCTAAATTTTGTATGGCGTTCACCGCTCGTTTTTGAAAGCCAGGGTTTAATTTTTATCTACAAAATCGTATCTCGCGGCAATTTTTTTCAATCACACATGTCATGTCACGTGACGTAAAATTTCTGATTTAAAAATGAAAGATAGCATAAATATATCTAAATCGAGTAAAACGGTTTGAGTACAACTTTAGGGAAGTCATTTCTTTGAGACGGTATGTTCTTTTTTGTTGCAGAGTACCGGATACCAACACTTCATTTTTTAGAAGCAGCTCAGGGGCTGTCAATCTTAAGATGGACATTACATAAATATAGTTACAGAACAATTGTTCAATGTCAGGCAATTAAGGATCGGGTTGGAATCATGGCTAACAATGCTCATTGTTCTTGAACATAACGTTCATGGATTATAAACCAGTGACAAAGAATGTCAGTTTCTGGCTGTTTAATCTAAATTAAACTAAATTGCATTAATTATTAAATGTTTGAATAATCCTATATGTATTTGATGCTTAGGTGCCGCCATAAAACGTGTATTTGCTTGGATTGGTGCTCAAGTGAACGTTTGTAATGAGGCCATGGGAGAACCTTACGCCAAGTGCACCGAATCATTTGATAGTGCATACACCGATTGCAAGTATGTACAATCGAAACAGTTTTCGTAAGTTTCTGAGTTATACAGGATACCAATCAATTCCAATTTAATTGCAATTTATTTTTAGGGAAAAACTCGGTGTATTTGATTTTCTCTGTGAGATTCCCAAGGCGTTTAGAGGAATCTGCAACATAGCCAGAAGTAAGTAGATTAATGCCCGAGTCACATAGTGCCCTAATTTTCAATCCGTCACCCGGGCGATTGAGTAATTTGTTCAGAAACGAATGCAATTCTAAAAAAAATACTCAATTGTCCGTGCGCCGGATTGAAAATCGGAGCATATGTGACTTAGCTTGTATTCGCGAATGCAAATAGCAGCTACCGGCTACCGGATTAACTTATTGATTTGCATAAATTAATCCGTCAGTTTGAAGTTGCAACAACTCGTTTATCGACTAACAGTGGTCATGTGACTTTTATGCAATTGTCACATGATCAAAAAACTTAAAATGTGTTTTGCGTCTATGCGCATGCGCCATTTGTACCTCCGCTATTTACAATTCTGAACACCTCGATTGTCGGTGCTAGTTGCTGCTTTAATCAAGGGAAAGATCAATACCCGGTGATTTCAGCGGGAAGTGGCGTTTCGTTCAGTGGATGAGCTGCGCGCGCACGCATAAATGTGATTATCCAATATAATTAAGGGGAGGGATATTTGAAATAGTTTTGGTCTCAGGCGCGACCCAGGGCTGTTGTCCTAAGGACATTTCGTTGAAAATGAGGCCTTTGCCGGATAATTGGTAATCAGTTGCGATCTCATATTGCAAAACCTTTACAAAGACATGTATTTTAAAAAAAATTTGCACGAAATAAGCCGTGAAACGAGAGATATTGACGATTGATCCGATTTTTTGATTGTGCTTACACTGGTAAGCAAAGCGCTCACTGCCGAAAGAGGGCGCACTATAATAGAAAAGTACTGAACGAAAATTTCCCGGGTATTGTACCGCCCTTGCTTTAATATCAGATTAAATTGTTATTTAGCTCAGCTACTGGGTTTGGGGCGACGCATGGCAGGTACTATTTATATTTAAATGAGTATGCCGTAAAAATTGCAATCAACTCGCTAGCCGGTAGCCTCTATTTGCTTTCGCGAATACAAGCTTAGGTTTCGCTCCTGTCTAGCTCACATGTCCCGGGGTATTTGTAATTTGCAGTTTTCCCTCTTACTTTTCCGTCACCAGGCCAAAGTTTTCTCTTATATTTACGTCGGGAAAGAGTCAAGGTCTCGGGGTAGTTATCAGAAAGGATAGGTATCAATATGGTGAACTGAATTCAACAATGTTTTTCTCTGAAACCAATTATTGAAAACATTCTGTAAAAAACACGGTCTTTTTTGTCATGTTGACTAATTGGCAACAATTTAATTCAAAATTATTTATATATATTTTATATAACTGTTTTTGTTAACATATTATGTTTTTTAGTGCAACTGTTTTTGTTCCTTTCTATCAATTCTTGAGAATGAATTAAAATGTCTTTCCGAACCTTGATGGAACAAAATAGCACATACAACATTTTCTTAGACCTTTCAATATTATAGTTATACAAAGGAAATGTTGGTTGATTTAACAAAAACTATGCAAAAACTTAAAATAAAACCCCTCAAAATAGATAAAAATTAGGATAAACCTTTTATTTCATTAACAAGATACTTTTTTCAACTAAATCAACCAAACTTTCCCTTGTATAAATACAATATTGAGAGACCCAAACACGTTGTGTTTATGTCGTTTTGTTCCAATCAGGTTCGGATAGATGTTTCATTTCATTTCGAACATATGATACCAGGAACAAAAGATGTGTTTGGTGTGTTTTCTAAAACAATGTTGAGAAAAGTATATATATACATTTCAAATTATAATGTTACCATCCAAAAGATGACCATTAAATTGACGATGTCTAAAATTTTCAGAATGTTTTGACGGCTTGTTTTAGATAAACGCGTGCTGAAAAAGTTTACCATATTGATACCACTCCTTTACACCAAACAGAGAATGAAAAAACATGTGGTTTTAGAATTTTTTGAAGAAGGATAACAGAGTTCTGCTCTGAACTTCAGTCAGTTTTACTACTCCCATATATCCTTTACATGATCGATCAGGATTACAATGGCCATGGTCAAAATGACCATTACCATGCTGAAATAGCTTTTTCAGCCCTCTGAGAATGTGACAGAAAAAAGTTAAAAGCTAGCGTTGCCGAAAGGTCACTGAACAGACTATTTTGAATTTTTCAGAAAATGTGCCTCATATATTGCTTTTAATGATAGGAGCTTTGAAAATTAGAAAAATTGTCTGAAACAAAAATTGTGGTCATATAAAGGAAAAAAAAAGTTTTATCTCTGTTTCTAGAAATGAATTCAAATTTTCAAAGCTCCTATCATTCAAAGCAATACGTTGCGCACATTTGGCATGGTAATGGTCATTTTGACCATGACCATTGTGATCCCGACCATGTAAATGATATGTGGGAGTAGTAAAACTGACTGAAATTCAAAGCAAAACTCTGTTATCTTACTTCAAAAAATTCTAAAATCCACATGTTATGTTCATTTCCTGTTTGGTGTAAATTTCTGATAACTTAACTATGGTCATCTACAATATGCATTTACGCCATTATTTTACTCGGAAAAATGAGTTTGGCCATGTTTTTGTTGAATGTACCATACAAGTGTTGAAACAGCTTTGCTTTGCATGAAATAGAAAGTCATGGCCAGAGCTGCGGAAACAATGTTTAAATTCAAATATTACTTTTTTTGTAGTTGGCGAATTATTATGCCATATTATGAAAACGGTTAAAAAGTTTTTTGTTGATGAAGTTGGAGGACGTAAGTACAAAATGAAACTGTTTGTAATGTTATAAACTGTTCTTAAACAACTTTTGTTTGAATGATTAATTCTTAAAAAGTTAGCTTGACATTGGAATAAATAAGAGGCATGTAACTATTATCGTAGATTATGTCCATTATGGGGCCTGCAATATTTTGATAAAAAATTCCATGTTCATTTGTAAATAAAGTAAAAATCTATGAAAAATCACTATAGTAATAAATTATCGCGTGATGCTGTAATGTTTGATACCTTAAATTCAGGGGTGGAAACGCGTAGAGTATTTTAACGAGTATATCACGAAGTTCACGAAATACGATAACAGCCATTTTTTCAAAAAATAGTTAGGTGTAGTTTCGTCTGTGGACGTTTTTAAGTTCTTTACCTGCCCTGCCAATACGCTACTACTGTTTTTAGTAAATTGTGGATGTCACTTTTTAAGAATTTGAAAACGTTGACAGACAACCAAATAAATGTCACCTATCTAGTTTTCGAACGAAGATTTACGCGTTTCCATCCCCTGAAATTGTTTCTAGGGATAAATAAAGCTGTACATGACGTATACGAAATGTTCTACGTAAACGTGACGTTGGTATATCATTACAATTTAACAACAGAACAAACAAAAAGTTTCACAGATATTCGAGATGATATTTTAGCAGAAGTGAGAAGCAGAACAGACACAATGATGAAGGTTCTGAATATCGCTAATACAGCAATGGCGTTTATGATCCTCTGGTTATTCGTCAAGTGAGTAAATTCATAAATACATTTCCAAATCAAGATTCGATTACATCATAAAGTACGCGTAATATCATTACCTCACCCCCACCACCGAGGCCATTACCTAACCAGGCATCCATTTGGGGTGAAAATGACATAGATTTTAACTCTGACAAAGGATATGGCGTATAATTGAAAAAAGTGTTATTCTAGAGCAATCCTGTACCGAAAGAAATATCTCACACAGGATAAATTTGATAATTTCTACTTAACGTTCAACCTGCGAGATATTGATGAAAGACGCGAGGAAATGGAGAAAGAGACTATTTTACCACTAAAAGGACGAGAGAAGTGGACATACATCAAAACGTGTAAGTCCAACTAAAATGCACCGTTGCTCATACATATTTTGCGCATTTTAGACTTATTTATGCAACTTGAAAAACACCAAAGATTGTGAAACTTTTTAAGCAAACACTTTCAAAAAGCATGCAATTTTTCAAGAAAAGTGTTTAGATATCTGATTATATATGGAAGTCAATGAAATTTATTGGAGTTGAAAAACAGGGGGGTATATTTTTAATATTTAACAACTAATCTAAAAGTAAAAGAGCACTGAAATAAAGCAAGCTCCTAAATGAACAAGTCATACGTTTATATTGTTTAAGGCTTTGGAGTCCAACCCAAACAATCGACTCACACTTTCTATCCTGTACTATCGATCTCACAACTATAATGATTCCAAGTACCACGAATTCAATGACCAACACGTTGTCATGTTTACTTTACCAGGGTCTGTTTTTATGGCTAAACCAGAGAAGAGGAAGTTGGTAAAGGGGATAATAATGCTGATCGGTTCTTCCATGCACGTGATGTTTTACATGTTTTGTGACTATGGGCTATATCACATTCTCTGGCTCATACAAAATCACACTCGAATGTTGACCGAACAACCCAGTGAGTTGAACATTTTACATATTTCAAGTTTTAAGTAATCCACGTTTATATTTGTTTTGTTAACTCCAATACCAGTTATCAAAATCCACATCTGAGCAGTTAGCAAATTCAACGCCGAGTTGAAAATTTTAAAATAGAGATATCGTGTAGAGAATCTTTAGAATAAGAATTGTGCATCCACTTGAGGAAGACATCACGGGGGAATACGGCTAACATAACATACGGCCAACAGTGTCTTAACCAACAAACGAATTTCCGAGTATTCCCACACCTGCACATTTATGAACAAATCCAGATAATCTTAGATACACAACAGAGTTACAGTCCAAGGTAATTAGAAAGTCGTCTGCTGCAAATTGAAGGTATTATGGGTATTACAATTAACCTTTTACATTCCAGTACCTGGTCGTTTGCGTATGCATGTGGACGGAAAGGGTGTACTTGCTGATATGTACAGGGAACTTATTACAACATTCGATCCAATGAGCAAAGACACAACAGAACGACTGGAGGCCAAAGGGTGTTTGCCCAATGCAAGTGCCCCCGATTACAAACTTTACCAGTTGATAAGTAAATAACACAAATAATATAGTGATTTCGTAACTCATATTATGTGTATTATTCCCGTATAACCTCTAACTTATGAAGCGTTTGATTACGTCATTTAATAACGTCGTTATTTATTGCTCAGCTCTATACGTCCATTAGTTTATTATTCTTATTAATCGTCGTCTGTAGTAAGTATATAAAACGTATGAACGTATAGAGCTGCGCAATAAAGTTTTAATGATGACGTAAGAATATAACGATAGACGTAGAGCTGCGCAATAAATGATGACGTTATCAAACGCTTCATACGTTATACGGGAATAATAAACATGTTATTATAAGTGAGTTGCGAAATCTCTATATTGCCTAGAGACAGGGTTCACGACTAAGGTTGAAAACACGACTGACACATGGCAATCAGTCCATTGCAATTGGTCAATCAAAAACCAGTCCATTGCCAGGTGTCAAAAGCGACTGCCATTGGCAGTGGGGTAGCTGCTAATTTCGAACACTGCCTAGTAGTCTATAGAGAGAGGATTGTACAAAGGCAATATAGCCCCTTCTATACGCATGACCCTTCTATTTAATCCTTAATTAGCGTATCCTCTCGGTTTACAAGAAAACGTATGACTCCCTCCATATATATAGTTGATCTAACCAGTGTCAAAACATTGACGATATTAATGTGTCCCAGGATTTGAAAAGCCTCTCAGGAATACGCTTAATGGTATAGTTTTACATTACGAACGTCTGTTAGTTGACTTACAAAATTGATTAAATACTTGTAGTTATTCCAAGAGTCCCAAATCATGTTTTTTTCTAAAATAGATTTCGATCGGGTAATTTTATTTCTAGATGACGTTAACCGCAACAGACGTACACGGTCATTGATGTCACCTAACTGATAGGAGTTGATTTTAAGCCCTCGTTTCCTAAACTAATAGAGAAACCGTCACCTCAGAATGGTCCTATTTCTGTCTAATTCACATACATTTATTTATTATCTTAAGAAAGCTGAATATTTCCAAATCATTATTGTTATGTCACCACCAACAGTGTTGATATATTGTTATGGTCTCTGTTTTTTTGTGACGGCTGTATTGCGGTTGGCGGTGGGCGTCTGTAGCAAATTCTTACAACTTCCAATAACTTAACAAATACTTTAGACTGACTTCAATTTTTTTTCCATAATCATTTAACAAGTTCTCAGAAGTTCAAATCTCACTTAAGATTTGAGATTTGACCTTCAGTGACCTTTTCAAGGTCAAAAAGGTATTTTGGAACTTGCTTCAAATTGACCATTTTTCAAAACCATCTACAAATTTTCGAAAGTTCAAATCTGACTTTAGATTTGACCTTAAATGACCTTCTCAAGGTCAAAAACGTTATAAGTTCTCAGAAGTTCAATTGTGACTTTTGAGATTTAACCTTCAGCGACCTTCTCTAGGTCAAAAAAAGATCAAAAATGTATTTTTTCAGCATGCCTCAAATTGACCATTTTTCTTTTTCAAAGCTGACTTAAGGTTGAACTCGTTATATGATGAGCAACTAGGTGGTGACATTTTGTCATGTTAATGTCTTGTTTTAATTTTACTATTTACCAGTTTAAATGACTTCTTAGTATTTTTGAAAAGCCGATGAATAATAACGATAGATTACTACTTAGCTGTTACCTTTTCAATTCTCTGGCAGAGTCCAGCTAGAGAATTGAAAAATTGATTCTGTCGACTTTAGTATTGACAAATACTACTATAGCCCTTTGTTTTAGGTTCGATTCTTTCCTTATGCTTTGTGCTGGTTATCGTAGAGGCATACGGATTGCGTTTACGCCACGTGATAGCAGGATGTTACTTTCCACAGCGAGAAAAGCAGAGAGCAGTGTGGCTTTACAATCATATACTCCGTTGTAGAGGTGGTCTGCTGTTTTTCATAAGGAGACAGTTGCGGAGAAAATACATGGGCGACACAACTGTTAAAAAACATAGCATCAAGAGTAGACTGTCTCATCAGTATGTGCTAATTTTTCTTTAGTTCCGAGAACTCATTTTTATTTTTGTGGATGCACATGCACTGCTATTTTAAAAAAAGTCCTTCTGGGTGACCACTAAAAAGAGTGTTTGGTATTCTGGAAAAAGTAGTTTTAAAAATGAATGTAGTCCCAAAGTAGTTGTGATCATAAGCTGGTATTAGGTACAGTAGTCATCTTTTTGCAATGATAACATGCCATTTCTTCTAAACTGTGTTTATTTGGGTTATCGGAAGGAAAATTTCCTGTCAAATGGCGTTTTGATTTTGGTATCATTTTTGTGAATTTCATTTTTTGGCGGCAGAGGTGGGGTATAGTCACAATTGACCGTGAGTTTAGTGTCATTTAGTGCAGTTTGATTGAGCTTTTTTGATTGAAACTCGGATAGGCCAGTGGTGACACAAAATAAATAATAAGGCGTTTGTCCTTTATACATTCACTTTTAATGTGACGTGAATTAAGGATGCTTGCCTTCCATCAATCAACCTTTGGGATTTTGTCGTTGTTTTACGAAAATGTTTGTCATCACAATTCCAGGAAAAGTGGTTTTTGGTTTTTATCTATGTGCTCGCATTTAGATGGTATCAGGTTCTAGAGCTGATTAACCTTATATGGTGTCATCTTGAAATCTGGTAGCCATTTTGAGAATCCATACTGTAAATGATAGAATTTATTGTTACCACAAATAAATATACATTTGTATTTATTGTACACAAACTGCTAAATAAAGTGATCAAATGTACACATAATGACATTTTAAAACCATTTTAGATTTATTGAATGAATAGAGACAGCAAGCATATATTGACCATAACGAATGTGTAATGGAGGCATCATTTACAAAAACGAGAAACACCTGAACATTTTGATTGTTTAGCTATTATTTTACAAAATACGAGAGATAGAGCATTACTTTTTATATGAAATTACCAGATAATTTTTGTTGACCTGACATGTGCATCTACTTCCTAGAGGCAATTAAATGATATTTTACTTAAGTGTGGCCATTTAAATTTGTGTTTTTGGTGAAAACATTCTTTGCTCTAATGACCAAATGTCGGATCGTTCTCTTCGATCTACAATCTTTGGGTCTCGAATGGCCATTCTGATAGACAAATAGAAAAATCACCCATGGCCTACATAGATTGAAAAATTGTTTTCGAGAGAAGACCGTAGCCAAAGAATGAATTCTTCCAGTTTTTAGCGAGACCGAGTAACAAATCTTACTACACTTACAGATTCCCACTAATTGGAAAACTGATGAAATGTTTCGGGTACGAGAGAAAGTTTTGCCTATCATGTGGCGCACCGGGCAAGTTATCCGACTATGAGGGATTTAAACATTGTGACAACCAAGACTGCGATGGTATGAATAAACAAGATCCTTTTCATTGTTATCCTAAGACCAGTTTAATGTTTAATGTGATCTCATACAGATCTAAACGTTATCACACTTACATTTGTATGGTTATGAAAGAAATAAGAATCAAAGAAAATCGATGTATTAGGGTGAATAGTTTTGATCTGGATTCCAATTCTTGTTCTCTGCTTCAATATTTGTTCTGTGTCCCGATACACAACTATCCCTAACGTTTCTTCTTTGCTCCACTTTTCTTCTCTATTATTTTGTTTGGTTCGTTTAACATTTTCTCTGCTTCACTACTGTTGTATGAGATACCTATACATGTATAAGCACGTTATATGTTAGTTTTCTTTACCACTGCCACTGGGTGTGCAATCCGCACCTGGAATATAACTAACCCTTTCCCCGGGCATATCTTATTCCAGCTGTGTACTGCAATGATTGCTTTGAAGAGCTTAACAACATCTGTACTGTATGCATGAAACCCGTCGACTATGGGGACTACTCTGACTTCAGTGAGGAAAGGTTTGTGTTACAGTTTAGTTTTCTACTTGCTTGTTTGTTGTTAACACATGTTGTGGCCCAGGCAAAGTACAATGTACAATCAACATATTTATCGTGACAAGAACACGGAAGTGTGATTGTATGCGGTCAGAATTTATGATAATCCAAACAATGCAGGCGAATACCCTTAACAGATCTCTTTTGTGTTTAAATTAATGAAATAAAATGACAAATATTAGCAAGAGCGGGAAATATAAAGGATGAGTCTGGGAATGAGTCTGGGTATCGACTTAGAAAATATTGAAAATTGTAATGTCTGAAAAACCAACTCAATCACACACATTATTAAACTTCAATATCTTATCCTTCTTCTGAGATCACAAAAATATTAATTTGTATCACAATTGATGAAGAATATTGGGATCAAAGACAATGCATATCACTTTGTCAGAATTGAAAAAAATCAATGGCAAATATTAAATGAATTATTTATACAAAAAGTGTGAAACATATCATCCAAAACATTGCTTACTTTCTTTGTATAGACATTGAATGGTATTTTTGGATAGGTGAATTGGTGTTTATCTTGGTAATCAAGGGATTATAGTCACTCAAAGGTACTGAGCATCCAGTTTTGACACGTCAATTGTGTTGGTGAAGTTACACATATTTCAGTCAAATTCATGCTGAGCACAACATTTTGGTTTCAATTTTATAATCTCTATACATGACCCTGGTGATAAAGAGTCAGAATCAGTCAAAAAACCTAAACCGGAAAACTGTGCTCAATGTGAAAACTAAAAGTGAAGCAACTTTCTTTCTGATATTTCTTACATCAAATGGCAGCCATCTTGTTTTTCCCCCTTCAAATTAAACTGGCGGGAAATTCAAAAATTTGAAAAAGATTTTAATCCTTAAATATATTTCAAAAATATGATTTTCTTTTTAATTCTTCATGGATCTTAAGTTATTTCTTCTTTGTATGTCATACATGTTGCCATTGGTGTTTTTTCTATGATAACGACCCTTTTTTATTTGTTAAGATACTTATTCTGACTCTAAGCAGGGGGTTAATTATGCATCAAAACTCATGAAAAAGTAAATATACTTATCAAATATAACTAGGACATTAATAAAAACCATATTTCACATACATTTGACTGAGGGACCAAAAGGGCATATATCCAGACACATCCTTTGTCATCTAGTCTACCCTGTGTAAATTGTGCTTGTCGTGAATTTTTCAGAGATTCGAGTGACGAGGAATTTTTTTATAAAGCAGAAATGCCATTGGAAGATGAAGATTACGAGTATCAGAAACACCGTGGAGAGGGAAATGACTGTGTGGAAGAATACGTGTATGAAAGAACAGAACGGATCGCCAGTAAGAAGAGTGTATTGAGCGTTGTCCCCCAGCCCAAGGAGTTGGTTTCTATGGACCTTTTTGCCGGGGATAACGAGTCTGACTTTGGTGATTACGATGAAGAAGACTTAAAGAATTTTGAAGAGCCCAAAGTTATGAGTTTAGGAAAAGAGGAGAGGGCAATGATATCTAGTGATCACCATTAATTCTGACTGTGGAATTGAGTAACTTGGGAAACTAGGGCCAGGGACTATCTTTTTAAATGACGTATCAACAATTATTGTAAAATTGTAACTCCAAAATTACATACATTATTATTGTTTGTTAACAGTTCGCATCCAAATACAACATATAATATTACTTTATATGATAAGTATGTATTTTTGAAAACGATTGTTTAATCGACTGCTGCATCTCCAGTTAAATTATTTTGAAACCTATGCTTCATCAAAATGTTTTAGCAAAATGAAAATATGAATCCGTTTTGGTCCACCATGTATATATAAGTGGCAATACAGTTAATACAGCAATAATACAGCAATACGATTAATATATTTCGTTGCCTCTTTCCATATAAAATGTAAATTTGACTTTGAAAATTACTTAGAATGAGACTATTCAATTGTTATTCGTTATTATCATTTACGTAATTGTTAGTTATAAACATATGTAGAAACATATAGAAATGAAAATGTTATGATTCTCTGAATGTGTTTTACGTCAAATACAGGGTGTTAATGACCGCTCCTACTCAACCGACAATTAAGGCCTGGAAGAACCAATTTATCTATTGTAATAATGTACAAAATATAACATTCGATGGATCCGCTCCTTTTATTAAATCGATAACAAACATGAGCCATTAATCGAGCAGTTGGATGAGGGTGACTACCAAACGTAAGTTCAAAAATTCATTTTCGGTCTGGGAGAGATTAAGGCTTATAACAATGGGGTATGTTATCTGGTAGAGGAGGAGCATTCATCATGAATTTGAAACACCCTGTATAAATTTTTCAGTCACTCCATCTTGCATTTGGTACCATTTTATAATTAAATGGTCTATTTATTTCTTATATAGTTTTGACAGCAGTGTTTGTCTTGCTTCGGTCAGTTAATTGAAGTGGCATTTATTCACGTTGTTACACACAAATCTAGCACTTATACAGTAGATACCACTGCATACAATTATTGTATGATATCATTGTTCCATGCAAAATGAGCAAATAGATCCACTCAATTGCTGTTTACAAGTTAACTGTTTTCTTGAAGCCAAGTTCCTAATTTGTCGTAATTATTTTCCATCCATTTGATGTTGCTTGATGTTTTTTCCAAAACTTGTTCGAACGCTCGCTGGCCAGATCCTAGTTTATTAATGGCAGCTTTCGCATCCATGAAACTTTTCACCTAAAATAATAGTGCAGTGTGCAAAGTTAATTCAGTTTTTGATGAATTTTTGATAAATATTATACCAAGAATAAGGCGAATTAGGAAAATATATATCATTGCCACCCCATGCATGTTCAAACTGCAAAAATACTCTGGGTGAATAAATGAGGCCTCATAACTAATTAATGTCAACAGTCAACAGAGCACATATTAACAGTTTTACGAACCTCTTGGAGTTGGAACTCCGTGTTGAACGTTTCAGTGATCCCATTTATAAGACTTGTGAATGAGAAGAATCCCCTTCCATACCTGAAAGAAGTTCACTAATGAATGGAAAGAAACAACAAACGGACACATTTCAAAAGCACAAATCATGCACATAACAATAAACACATTCTTAAAATTCATTTTTTCGTTTCTTCTTCATTGTCTTCCTATAGTTAGAAATGCAGCATATTTCAAAATCTTATTCTTGCAGAAAACCTAACTAAGTAGTCTTGCACCAAGACATTGAAGCTCTATTCATATACTTCCTCTCCTGCCTTTTGAGGGAGAATGTATATAGGGTGGTGGAGGGGAGGTAAGAAGGAATTGGCGCAATACTGATCCAGAAGTCTTGATCAGATTGCAGAGCAATTAAACCTACTCGTCAAATATGTAGTCCCATTGCGCCCTGACGAAGTTCCAGACAAGTGGAAGACCAATTCTGTTCCTTGATATGTATACCAATACTGCCACAGCATCTTGTTTCCGAATGTACCTCTCGTCAATACTCCATGATAAATATCTTAAAATAATGGATAGAGTAATTTGTGTCGCATGAATAATTCTACATACCATATTGGAGGCACATTAACACCCGCATGGTTTTGGATGTAGTTCTTCTAGCATATTGAGTGGAGGAATTGGAAACCGGAGTCTTCATGCTTGAGTTGTATATGCTCAAGGATATTGAAAGTAGGCTAATTTTAAATGATCTTTGACTGAAAATACATTTAGAACTTTATGTACAACATACTTACCGACTGAGAATCCAAGGTTGAGTTGAGCAAGCCATGCCCTGAAGAAGCCGAACTCTTTCACCGGCCAGGTTTTCATTCTGAAACCTTTCGAAGGCAAAATCCCACTCCTCTATTCCTCCATTCGCTATAGCGTTGCAGTAAACAGTACCCTTCAGGTTGGGCGATATCCTAGAACAACAATACAAAAATCATTCTATTGTGTTGTTATAAATGGGTATTATGTAAGCTAATAGAGAGGTTTCGCAAAACGAATTAGCTAAAACGTATCCGCATCCGTATCTCGTTACGTTTACGGATACGTATATCGATAATTTTCGTTTCGCAGTTCGTTTTTTGAAGTACGTAATTATAAACGCATCTCAATCCGTGTTTAATAGTAGTGAAAACTAGGGTCAAATAAAAGGCTTCATCTGCACTTAGATTTCAAAACACCATTGGGAGTGTCAGCTTTCAGAATCACAACTCCAAAAGTAATTTTGGTGAGTGCAAAAATACATATTAACCCTTTCATCCCTAAGGTGTCATTTATTAATTTCATGACATCAATTTCAAAATGAAGAATATCCTTTAGGCCAGAAAAGATTATTTCTCGGTTTACAATAACCAATTCAGTGTCAAATTATTCTTTTGGGAATATTTAAGGGTTTGAAAACAAATAGGCTGAATAGTGGTCATTAGTGACGTGCAGTGACTGCATTATGCCACAAAATGCGTAAACATTTCTAAAATCACTTGCCATACTGCACATGGACCTTTAATTTCATGTTTTTGCAGCTGTATATTTTGGTAATAATTCAAGATAAAAAAAAAAAAATATAGCGACTTGGGCAAGGCCAAGGCATTCGGAAACCATACGTTTTCACATAAGCCACCCCCCCCCCTTTCCTCATACATGGGCTTTAGTTGAAAACCCATGCCTCATATAAACTAAGGAGGGGAACAAAGTAACATATTTGATCATAGAAAGCGACACAAATATATCAGTTATGCAATAAAAGTATGTTTTGTATGAGAAATCAACAAAAAATATATTATGTAAAAAGATAAATTAGCATTGTTTTTCTTGAATTCATTGAACAACATGGGACCAGCTCATCAGAGAACGACGCGAAGCTAACGCCTAACATGCCAGTTGAATATCTCACCATCATAATACCCTATATCTCCTTTGGGGTCTACATAGAATCAACTGATATACCAACAACAAATTACCCTAAACCGGCCATTTGTTTCTTATCCCAATAAACACCACAGCCTGATCGGACACAGCCCACAACTCGACATATATAACCTATTACAACCAAACACAACCTAGATCACCAATCATGCAACAGTACAATAGAACATAACCCAGTGTCAATATACTCAGAACGCAATATAGCATAACCCGGCACCAAAGCCAGCATGGCGCAACCTGACTTACAACCACCAAAACACAACCAACTGTCAGATTAACACAATATGTCACAACCCAATAATAAGACAACAAAGACAAACACAACCAAGTGTTGAATTAACTCAACACCATTGTGCACAATCCAACACTAAACAATAAAAACACAATCAGGCACAACCAATAAAACACAACTAAACTAACAACCATGAAAACGCATCGAACTGTGAAATTATCACCACACAATTTGGCACAACCCAATGTTAAACCAACAAAAGCAAACACAGCCCATTGTTCAAGTAACACAACACAATTTTTCAAAACCCAAAACCAAACAATCAAAGCAAAATCAGGCACAGGCAAAAAAACACATTAAAATTGTAATACCGAGATACACAACTAACTTAACCCAATTGGAGACAACGCCAATCACACAACACAATCAGACAAAACAAAATACCTCACCCGACTAGCCACAACCAGCTAGCCAACCAACAGAACATATTCACAAGAGAAAACAACCCATTATAAGATTAACATAACACAATGGGACACAACCCGATACTAAATCACCAGACTAACAACCATCAAAAGAGAACCTAGTCTCAAACGTACACAACACATTTCGGCAAAACCTATACCTACTTGACACTAACCCACCATTACACAACCAGGCTTAGTCAAATACTCAATCGATTTACTCAACCCATCAAAACACAATCAGGCACAACCAATAAACCACAACGAAACGTTGATACCGATTTACTCAACTAAGTTATTCCAACTGGAGACAACCGCACAAAACAATCGGGGACAACCCGATATCTACTGAATATGTACTTGAATTACAACCTCCCCCCTTCCCTATCATCACAAAGCTGCTAATGAAGAACACATCATGGACCACTACCCAAGAGTTAGGAACATCTGGGGCCCCTACCGTGACTCATATGCAAGAGAGAAGATCCGTTACAGGATCTGGATGTCAGGCCTGTCTTTACAAAAATGAAAATAGGAAATGATACGGTGGTTCGGGGAAGCTTGGACACTAAACTTTAGGGCACTAGTCTCCCTGGACCCCCAAACGAGGCCGCTTACTATTTGACATAGATCGCATGACTTGATGCGTGTTCAAGTCATACCACGGGCAGAAGCTACCTGAAAATCATTCAGTTTTTCATCATACTGAGCACTTCTCGGGAGTTTTAAGCCAAAAAAGCCCCCCCTTGCCACAAGCTGGATACGGGCAAGATTGATTCGGGGCGCCATCTTTAGACCCAATATCACATTCATTGTCGAGGTCAGGAACAAGCTACTATACTCAAACTAAGCCCAAGACCCTGCTCTATATGAATTCGGAGCGTGACTTAAGGCACAAAATATATATTCAGGTGGCCTAGCTGCTAACCATTGGTTTGATGTCCCTAAGAAATTGACTACGGTATTAATATTGACCCCAGAAACGATAGACCTTACATCTGCCTATTAGCAAATGTGACTAAAGCTTTATTTCTAAAAATTGCAGGCCCATCGCTTATAATCAAATTTATCGGCAGATAAGGTTATTACTTCATCAAAATTAGCACGACACACATGATAACATATGTGTGTTACTAAAATTATACATTTAGGGAAAAATTTATCAAGATTTGAAGGACAAAATAGATACGGAGACAACTACGCACAGAAAGTGTTAGTTTACGTACTTTCGGTATTGCTGTTGGTATCACAAACGTATTGAATACACTTTTACTCCATCGATGCGTTACGGATTTTGATACGGGTAGCTAAAACGTTGTGCGAAACATGTACACTGTAATTATTGCAATACCATTCCATACAGTGTAAAATGAATTGAACATACTATTTGAAAAACTCAATTTATTTCAAACAATAAACAAATTCATTCACCAAATTTTAGTCAAATTATACACAGCACATTGTGGTTGTTCATATAGTGATACCTTTAGAACTAAAAACAATATAATCGAAGGGTAAAATCGGATACGTAAATGACCAACGTACAAAAGCCTCATTTTTCGTGTTTTCCGTATCATTTCACGTATAAATTGAACTGACTACGCATAAATCTGATAAATACGTTACGGATACGGATCCGTGGAGCTAAAAAACGTTTTGCGAAACCTATCTAATATAATATAATTTACGTATCCATTTACTAAAGTTAACTATATCATTATTGTCAATTATCTATAATCATTAAACTATGCAAATATGTATTTTTGTTTACTTATTGTCGTCAGGTGAGTCCATCCATTCTTTATACAGCGCGGAAGCCTGGTCTTTACATTCTTGGTATCCTCGGGCACAGGCTTGAGATATAGCAAGACTTCTTGTGAATCTAAGGTAAATGGAAGTCCAATACATTAAATCTCTTATAAACTGAAAACGCCCCGGTCAGTCTTTGTATTTCTAAACGTAGTATGGACTATCTCTTTGTTGGTGAGCATGTACGAATAGAATGACAATGAACTACTATAAATAGGTTATTCTCCTACAATAATCCAAACGATAAATGATTATATTAAACTTTCAACTTACTGCTCAAGATGGGGGTCATTGGTCAAGGAGTCATTCCAGCCAACAAAGTCGTAAAGAGGTAATATTTGTTTCAAGATATATTTATTATAATCCCCATAGCTTCCCGTGCTGCCGAGCATCCGGGTTATATAGCGGAGGTTTTCTATTGCTGTCCACCATGGTATGTATTCCCGCTCATTTATAAGGTAATTTGTTGTCTGCATCGCCATGGTGATGTCGACATTATGGATGCCTGCCCTGCAAAGTACAGTATAATACCTCAATCTTTATAGTAGTAAGCCCTATATAATCAAAAATGAATTGACAATTTCTAAAATATATTTCCAATCGAATTCTTTACTTTGATGGCGGATCAAGGTGGAGGGGGCATGGGGACCGGCCCGGCTCTCCTGGGCCTTAAATCTTCAAAATTTTGGCCCAATTTTTGGTTTAAGCTGTCCAAAAGTCTTTTTTCGGAGAGTGCTATTTGTCAAAAGGATATTACTTTGTGATCTATGGTCCAAATAAAATGTCAATAATTTGCAAAATGTTGTTAACCTTGAAAGACTGAATGCATCGTCAATGAGTTGTGCACGATTCCTCCCTTGGATTGCCTATATAAAAACAAACAAATTCACAAGTAAATTTCAAGCGTGATTAATTGCGGGCTCTTGCCCTCATATAAAGTCTCAGACAAGAACCATGTGCCTTAAATCGTCCAAGATTCATTGAAACATGGAGTTATATACTTTTTATGTACAATATAACAAGTACCGTATATCTTGTTTGACCATTGTAATAGTAACAGTTGAATTCCTCGATTGGGTATACCTCCTCTCGATTTATTCGTAAAATAGTGGGTGATATATTAACATGTAATAACACGAAGCTATGCTGCACTTTTGGAGTACCTATTTATACCTATGGAGTACCTATGTTTATGGTATCCTATTTTATATTAACATGGTCACATAGTATGTGTTAAAAGTTTTGTCTATCATCCTTACCGTGTGGCTGACATTTAATTGGCCAATGAGGGCGTTCCAGTTAGTTGTATCATAGTCAACCCTGTAGTAGCCCATTTGGTTGACGTTCACCAAAACCCAGTCATTTGTATCAGTCGGAAGCCCATTTAGAGACTCTGAAATTATTACTGTGCAAATGTAAGACTATAACATAACATACATTATTGTTACATTTAGCGTTATACTAATATAATTGATAAAGTCGATAATGCGGAAGTTCCCCTTCGTCGTCAATTACTATTCCCATCTTATGGTCAATTTTAAACCTGTATTCCATGTTTAAAATATGTAAAATGACATGCCCTTTTTAACAAAAACCTTTTTGGCAGTAGTTTTAATGTAATATGGTATGGTCCATACTTTAAGACTTTTGTTTTTTAGTTACATTCTTTTAGTCGAATGAATGGTCCATATATTAATTATTATTAATTTTATGTAGCTGGATCATTCTGGTTTCCTTGGCACTCAGGGTTAGGCAAAAATATATAACTAGTTGACATAACAACTCATGTTTGTTGGCAAATTATAATGATGATAATCTTTATTACTATTATATAATATTACATAATCTTACACAATAGATTACATAACCATTATGTAACGTTATTTTTGCAAATAGGTCTAATAAGAACCGTGGGAGGAGGTGGGAAATGGGTGGCAACTGAAAAGTTGTAAGTAAGCTTGAGAATAAGCTATAGCTATTCTCAAGCTAGCTATAGCTAGTCAATTACACATACTGAATAACTATATACAAGTACGTATACTATTTATAATACTTACTTGTTTCTTCATTCATCCATATCATTGGAGGATCCGTGAAATTACTTTCAGATTTTGTAGTGAAACTTAACGGAATTTTCCAAATGTAGCTGAAATGAAAAAGGCAAATGAAAATCACTTTGGATAAAAATTAGATATACTTTCAAAATAATGTTCACGAAATCAAACCCCTTTATTGCACCAACCAGGATTGACCTAATAGGGGACCTAGCTATTAATGATCATACTTATAAGCACTTGGATATTTCGGATCTGGCGTTTGTGAAGGGTCGAGGAGGTAGTGTTTCTGGACAGCCTCTGCTGACGCCCCATTTCGTGATACTGTCACAACTGGGTAGCCCATCTGACGCACCCATGTGTTCATTATCTCGCCAACATCGATGTCTTTACCTTCTGATGTAGCTTGCTGAAGTCATATTTATAAATGCAACTGACATGTGAAGCCTTTTTTTGAAATGGTCAGAGAATAATAGCACACAATGTCTAGAAATATTAACCTTGTAGTACTTACATCTGTCAAAGAGTTCCACAAGTCAGTGTGATGCGTGTTGCCATATGCATTATCTTTCAAATAATTCTGCAAATGAATAATGATTAAGGATTTGCTGTGTATATATTTTTCATCCTCGTTAATGAAAAAACCCTGCGAGAAACCTTGCAAGAAAATCTTGCACGACCAAACTATAAATCTTTAGATCATTCAAATCGTTTATAAATCAAATTGGTACTAAGAATAATTCTCAAACATACTGCAAGTCCATTTCTGAATGTATCCTCGGTCAAGAAGTTGTTCATCATTCTAATTATTGAAGCGCCCTGTAAAAAACAGTGGCGGAATTATGAACGCAAATTTAGGAAACAACATTTTCATACAAGCTTATTCGAAAAGATATCATGACATAGTTGAATATATTGCTTATGTGGTTAATTTATGTATTCTAAAATTACAATTAAGGTTTAAAATAATGGTGTTTGTTTAAATGATATTGGTGAGAGGGTTCAGATTAGTGTATTTCCAATTTGCCCTTTTAGTGATGCTTTTCAGAAAGTGCATAAAAATTTCAATCGTACTTTGGCATATGATATTCTGTCAAAGATCTCGTTTATCTCATCGGGGTGGCCTACTGGTACATAAAGTGGGTGTGATGAAGCCAGACCATCAAGCTTGAACACATCTTCAAGATCTTCGACCACAAACTGCTCCATCTTAAACAATTGAGGTTTAAAGCACTCTGTAGAGAACTCATTCATCAGGTCATACATGAAATATAATTTATACAGCTGAATGCATTTTCTTAAAATTCAGTGAAATCTACAAAAGGTAAACGTGATTGATTGGGATCGATTTATTCTATTTGATAAACCGTTGTCTTTTTGAAAAACGTGGGGTGATGATCGTTGTCTTTCCTCAATTATCTGTTCCCAAGGCTGTATGTGAACATTTCATGTGTAGGGCAGAGGAGGGCGCACGGGGACAAATACTTGACGAAGAATAAACGGTGATACTCTTACCATTTTCCATTCAGGATGTACAAAGTCAACCCCTAGATATTCGACATAGCTGGCAAAGCCTTCATTTAGCCAAAGGTCATCCCACCATCCAGGCGTCACCAGGTTACCAAACCACTGTAGAATATGAAGTACTAAGTTGTACTAAGTACTAAATTATGATAGTTTCAACATATATTGTATCAAATATCGTTAACCATAGAATTTTACATTTAGTTAACATATTTCTACATGTAGTTTGATTATGCCTCCTTTCTTTTCTGTCAAGTGTTTTCTATGATTAACTTCTACAATTTACAACGCATTAATCATGGCTTGAAGGTTAACATGATTTACTGTCGAATTTATTCATAAAACCGGTCATGAGTTCGTTCAACCTGATGTGCCAGTTCATGAGACACGACAACTGCAACCCGCTGTTTGTTTGCGGCAGATGAACCAGTATTATCATAGAGCAATGCCGTCTCCCTGTAAATGATCAACCCCCAATTCTCCATCGCTCCAGCAGCAAAATCGGGAACAGCTATCATATCTGGAAAATGGAGATTGCACCACTGAATTTATTTTAATAATCTGAAATTGTTTTTTGACGGATGGTACAAGAAAATTTCAAGACAGAATATAAGGTTGCATCAAAACCTCACCTTGCTTTGGTAAAGGGAAATCCACATCAAAATAGTCCTCAAAATGTTCGAGTATGGCTATTCCTGTATCAAGTGCATACCTTGTCTGATTTACTGCCTCCTTTCGAGACCACACGCGAAACTAAAAAAAACATTTTAAGAACCATGATTAATTCCGGTTCAAGACCATGATAGAAAATAACAGGGTCAGCCATGAACCTATAGAGAATAATAAAATATCCATAGAACAGTTGTATTCAGGTGATATGTTAACATACATGACGTTTACTAGGGCCAGTTATAAACCTATGATGAACTACAATAAAATGTCCATATAGAATGCGTAATAAAAAATGTTATCAGAAGTATACGGAGTATCCATAGAACATATTCAGGTGTAATATGTTAACAATTAATATACAATTCGGTAACAAGGACCAGATAGACCTATGAAGAACAAAAATGTCTTTAGAATGCGCCATAAAAATACAGGGTATTAGATATGGAAAACTAATAAAGCTGTAGCACACGTCTGATAGGAAATGGGTCTACTTCAAACGGTTTGATAATGTACTTGATTTCACACTTTCATTTATATCATTAATTCTATTATTGACAATTATCCTGAACATGAGTGCAGCCATGTTTAATTTCAGCATGAAGTATTTTTATTGAATTTTATCGCCCTATTTTGTACCACGAATATTTTTGTAAAACCCACGACATGTTGTTGGAAACGGGAAAAAATAGAGGTAATTATACCGAAACATTCTTTAAGAAATAGCCTTAAGTTATGTCTGCATGAGTACTCTATTTAGTAATTCTTGTTTATATAATAAGTGGCGACGGTAACCTCGCATATTTATTGTTTTCTCACATGTTAAAGGGACATTCCTGGCCAGACCATTTCTATCCTGATATGATAGCTACAATCATGGCTATAAAAAGTAACACAAAATCACTTTTAGACAAGTGGTTCTTGCTTTGTGCAAAAATATTTTCAGAGCTTGTTAGCTTAGAATAATAAAAAAAGAGGAGACTTATAAAAGGATAAAATAAAAGACAAATAGAAAAAAGAATTTTCAGCTGGTTTTGTAATTCTTTATAGCTCCTTACCTAATACGATATGCAAAGTTGAGAGTCGATGACATCACTTCCTGAGTGAAATCTTAAAAGATGGCAGCCTACTGGAATTGAGCACTTAACATTTTTAAGTGATCAATATTGACCATATCAAAACATTTCCGTGTTTTGCTAATGCCCTGGTCACATTTGCTCCAATTTTCTCTACGGCGCCAGGCCGATTGAGTATTTTGTTCAAAATTGAATACAATATTGAGCAAAACACTCAATCGGGCGGGCGCCGGCTGATCGATGGATCGGAGCAAATGTGACCAAGGCATAAACAGGGAAAGCATATACATGGTAATAGCTACCATATTAGGAGACAGATTGTGTGGCAAGGAATACCTTTAATACCTTTAAGTAAAATGTGATAAAGTGAGCATGTTTTGGGAAGTTGCGAAACACGACCCTATGACTGCACAACAAATGCTATCAGCCTTGCCTCTATCATCTCTAACTATTTGAATCTTAAAACATTTTTTGGATTGCTTACCTTTGTTCCACTTGCAGTAACACCTTCAGATTTGTCAAAGTCACACACAACAAAAGCCAAAAGGTAAGTAGGCATTATAACTGTTGTTTGGTAGACATCTGCCTTTAGGCCCCCAGCTCTAAAAACACAATTAAACCTTACAGTGTAAATATTTGTTAGTTCAAAGAAGTCTAATAATGCACCTAAGATATATGTATGCTTTACCTGTCCACTGTCTGTTTGATCTCCATGTTTGACAATGACACCATCGGTTCTTTCCTCACAAGTGTGATATCGAAGGTTGATTTCACTCCAGGTTCATCAAAACAGGGAAAAGCCCTTCTGGTATCAGTCGGTTGAAACTGGGTGGTGGCAAGGTACCTAAAATACATGGAAAGTCGGTCAATTATGAAAACGAAGGTCTTCCATTGATGTAATAATGTAATAACTCAGATCTTGTTCGCTATTGCCATAGCGTCCAAAGGCCAACGTACATAAATGGTAGCGTGGGACATAACCTCGGGACTTTATGCAAATTGCTCGCTTCATTTCATGCGAATCGGAATTGAGTTGAGATATGAGACTTCACAGGGACATAAAACAACACTAAAACACGTCACTATCGCACATCGCTTATAAATTCCTACTTTGTCCATTGCCTGAATGCGGATGTACTAAGTACATTTCGAAGTGCGAATTACTAGCGATTTAGGGTACTGGTTTCATTGGCCGTATCCATTATTTTATTACAGAAATGTCCAAAATACTCACTTTGTCACACCACCTTCTTCGTAGGAAGATAAATAAAGACCAGCTAGACCCTTTGTTAAAGGAGCTCTAAATGCCATCTTAATGGTATAGTTATTGCCTTTAACCATTGGTTTATCCAGTTTCTGGATGAAAAATTGCCTTTCTTCATCTTCTTCAAATTGTCCTTGCTTTTTGGGTGCATCAGCCGCGCCACTGGCTTCACTAAATTCAATGGATGCATCATCGATTGTTAGCGCTTTTATATGGAAAACAACTTCATCAGTTGGCTCCTTGCATTCTAGCAGTATTTCAACACTCCCTGTGAACTCAAAATCCTCAGGGTTTTGCTTGTACATATCAGGGTAGAGTTCCACCTTGTAATGGTGAGGGTGTAAGTTAGTAGGCAATCGTACATCAATGTTTGGTTTTGTGGTTGGTGCCGTAGTTGTGCCACCAAAGTCGGGGCCAGTACCTAGAAATGTAACGTAACAGATTGTTTAAAACTTAGACTCCAAATGAAATCTCAGACCTGCCAATTTTTTGGTTTTCTTTCCGAATTGCATTTAACTAAACCATTCTTAATGTTAAAGATTCACGTATGAATCGGCAACATCGTTCAAAACGGGATGAAAATGATAAGAAGTACTTAGAGAGTCTATAGTTTACATGATTTGGTTTGGTATGATCGGTGATAGGACGCTTCAAACACATTTTACGTATGTTTAATCTGTTTCTTAGACTAAAAAAATCTGCCCCTTCAAACGAAAACATTGTTCACTTAAAATATTGACATTTTGAGGTATAAATCATTTCATATTGTGACCTATTACACTCTATCTGTTGAATTGACTATGTGAATCGAATTTTTTGTGGCGGTTCAATAATACACACGGACAATTTGATAGTTGTTAGTCAGCAATCATCTTGATTCACAAGGTTTCAGTTGCACCAACTTGTGTTATAATACCTTGGAAGTCACAAAAACTCAGAGCCTAACCATTTTTCCCAAAAGCTCCCGCAAAAACTCAAAAGTCTACCGCAAAATCTCAAGTTTCTTCAAAGATTTCCCGCAAAAAACTCCCGTTTTTTCAAAAGCCTACCGTTTTCTCAAAAATCTCCCGCAAAAAACTAGTTTTTTCAAAAAAGATCCTTCAAAAACTACCACATTGTATAAAAGTTACCGTAAAAACTATTGCATTTTAAGAAAAAAATTGGAAATAATCCTTTTAATATATTTCATGCCAAATAGAGTCAATTTGGCGGGAAATCAACAAGCGGAGTATATCGTCACAATGTCCTCCACATATTTGGGTTTCCGGAGTATATCGTCACGATATCCTCCATCCGGAGTATATCGTCACGATATCCTCCATCCGGAGTATATCGTTACGATATCCTTCGGTTGTTCATTTTGCCAATAAATATCAAATTTAGTTTTTAATGTTATTATACATTTAGTACACTAAGTGCGGGATAAATAGAGGATATCCTATGATTTATGAGTGATATGATTTTTATCCACGAATGGATATGATATCTGCACGAGCGAGCGTAGCGAGAGAGTGCAGATATCAATAACCATGAGTGGATTAAAATCATATCACGAGTAAATCATAGGATGTTCTTTTTATTCCATAGTTAAAGTCATCATCAGAATCGTCGGAAATTAAGTCATTTAATTCGAATTTTCCAAATGATCCGGCGATGTTGACACTTAGCCTCGTTTTGAGTCTGAAGTAGCAAAAATCCATAAACCATCGCATACGACGTCGTATGTCATGGCTAAAAAACCGTATGCTATGGTTAAGTGAAAATTTGTCAAAAATATCATATTTTACCACTGATTACAAAAATACCGTTTTTATTTTCACATGTTATCCTATGAATATCATGCTAACTATGGAATAATGTATAATACTTGAATTATATTAAGTATATAGTATATCATGACTATATCGTATCACATTACATCATAGCATGTGTCATATTACATCATATATCATGTCATATCATATAGCATAGCTTATATAAATTGCATCATTATATTTTGTCATATCATACCATGAAGGGTATCCTAAATCATATCATAAATCATGTATTGGGTCTAATTTTTTTCTCAGTCAAAGGTCAATTTCTGGGTCAAATTAACATTTTGTCCATTATTTTGATCAATTTTTCCATGTAACCAAGAAAAATACAATACAAAGGAAATTTGTCATCTGGAGTCTGAAATTGAACTTGATCTAGTTGCGATTCGCAACATTAAATTTCTGTTTTCGACTCAACTGTTTTGAAGCCAGATTTTTAGTTTATCGTAATTATTCTCCATCCATTTGATGTTACTGGTTGTTTTTTCCAAAACTTGTTCGAACGCTCGCTGGCCAGATCCTAGCTTGTTAATAGCAGCTTTCGCATCCATGAAACTTTTCACCTAAAAAAAAGTGCAGTGTTCAATATTTAGATTTTAGATGACTCCACGCCCAAGCTCTGGATATAATAGGGAGGTTAAGAAAACTTATGGTCCTTTGTGGATTAGCTCTACTATTTGGAGTGTTTACTTGGCCGATTGAGTATGTATACTTGTAATTAAGTCCAGAGGAAAGTAATCCCCGAGGGTCGAAATATTACACATTTACCTCCCTAATATCAAGAATAAGGCGTGAATTATAAAAATATACAAAATATTATTATTATTAATAAGTTTATTGGTCTCTTGAACATGTAATGTACATCGAGATGTAAGTCCAATAAAGCAAATAACAAAACATTCATGTACATGCATGGCAAAACAATACTTACAATCTAATTTTAACAATCACTAAATACTATACAGTATACTTAATAGCATAAAATGGTTTCACGTCAATTTTGTTAACAACTCTTTGGTTATATTATGAACTCTTGTAAAATAATCACCAATTATTTCATTAATTGCCTCATCATGCGCTAACAAGGAGTATAAAAATAGACTTAGTACCATTCAATGCTGAATCACTCTTTTAGAATAAATGAGAATTAATGGCAAAGAACCTGAAGGTGCGAATGTCAACAGTCAACAGAGCACATGTTAACAGTTTTTACGAACCTCTTGGAGTTGAAAGTCTGTGTTGAATGTTTCAGTGATCCCATTAATAAGATTTGTGAATGAGAAGGCTCCCTTTCCATACCTGTAAGAAGTCCAAATGAATGGAAACAAACAACAAACGGATACATTATTTCAGAAACACGAATCATGCACATAACAACAATCACATTCTTAAAATTCATTTTTTAGGAACATAGTCATAATTTTCAGAACCACTCGATGCCGGGTAAAGTAAACCCCGGGTTATTCTAGCACGGGTCTGGTAAGATGTTTGGGTTCGAGGGTAAAATAGCACGGGTTTGTGGTTAAAAATCTAGTCCTTAGGGGTGCTCCTAACCGTTGCTATTTTGAGGATTAATCATTTTGTCACACTGACTGGCCGATGTTTTAGGCCTTTTGTGTTGTTATAGGATGACCAGTCCCCTGATGGCCCTCACGAGTATGCAGATAATAACACGTCATAGCACTGATCGTAAATATTCCCGGGACATTCGCCAAGTGGAGTCAGTAAAATGATCACATTCGGCATGTGAACTCAGTAATATAGCTGTTCTAGAGAATGTTACAGGCGTAGGGTGTAATGTCACATTAGTGGAAGATCAAACAAGCAGATGATGTCGCAGGAAGGGTGTCAAAGGAGGAGAGGGGGTGTCAAATAAGAGACGGTGTTATAGGGGGGAGGGGGGGGGTGTTACAGGGGTTGCTGACAGACAGGAGGGGAGAATGTCCCACTCCCAGAGGGGTGTCAAACGAGAGGACGGTGTTACAGTCACAGTAGTGGAGGGTGTCACTGGAGCGAAGGGTGTCACAGATGGATGTGTCAAACAGGAAGATGGTATCACAGTTGGTTACAGAGGTTGGTGACACACTCCGCTGTGACATCTTCCTCTCATGTGACACCCCCTATTACACCCTCCTCTTGTTTGACACCCCCTTCTGTGACACCCTCCCCACTTGTGACATCGTCTCCTCCTGTAACGCCCTCTGCTTGTATTACATCCTCCTTCCATGTTACATCCCTTCCCATGTGACACATTCCCTCTAAGACATCATCCTCTCACGTGACATTCTAAGCTCGAGTAACACCTTTCCCTGTGACCCCCTTTCGTTTTGTCACAAACCCATGTTACACAGTCCTCTTGGTTGACATCCCCCCTGTGACACCCTTCGCTTGTGCGACATTAGTCACCAATCCCTTAAACAAAACCCTGTAACACCGTCCTCTTGTTTGACACCCCAAGTGTCACTCTCCCATCCTGTGACAACCTTCCTCCTGTGACCCCATAGTTTTGTTTGACACCCCCTTCTGCGACACCCTTTCCTTTTTGTCACCAACCCCTGTAACATCCCCCTGTAACACCGTCTCTTGTTTGACATCCCCTCTCCTCTATGTGATACCCTCCCCTCCTGTGACATCCTCTGTTTGTGTGACATCTTCCTCACTCCGTGACACCCTAGCCCTGCAACCAGTTCCCAAATGTCCCGGGAAAATATTTTATGGCGCCTCTACCGGCAAAAGTCAGAAAGAATAGCACTGGTTTCGAGACTATTTTAGCACGGGTCAAGGGATACATGATAAAAGAGTTAAGAGGATAATGTTTTAGGATTTGTTGAAGGGGAGGGGGGTCTTTTTTGAAAAAATACAAGGGGCTCACTCTTGACAAAATTGCCCCAAAAGTCGCTTGAAAAGTGCTCAGTAAGGTGAAAAACTTTGAAAGGATTTTGGCAAGGGGGGGGGGGGGGGTTCGCTATCCCTGGCTTCAGGATTGTTAATGGTAGATTCGAACTTGTAGTATGGTCTCATATCATAAATACTATGCCCGGGGTTTTATAATGTGCTTGTCATTTCGTTCAGTTTATGTCGTTTCTACCGGCAAAAGTTCGAAAAATAGCACTGGTTGCACCGGGGGGTCAGAAAGGGATTGATGCAATACCGAACCAGGAGTCTAGATCAGATTGCTAAGTCATTTAAACTTACTCATCAAATATGTAATTCCACTGCGCCCTGACGAAGTCCCAAACAAGTGGTAGACCAATTCTGTTCCTTGATATGTATACCAATACTGCCACAGCATCTTGTTTCCTAATGTACCTCTCGTCAATACTCCATGATAAATACCTTAAAATAATGGATAGAGTAATTTGTGTCGCGTGAATAATTCTACATACTATATTGGAGGCGCCTAAGCTACACCTGCATGGTTTTTAGCAAAAACATAAATCAGTATTCATAAAACAATAGGAGTAATCAAAATCAATTGATGTTCCTGAGTCGAGATATAAACCATATAGACCACATATATAAATCATGTATAGAAATATTTATTTACTTAAGAATTGCACGAACATTCACCAGTCGTTTTAGTGTCATTGGTTTATTCACGTGAATGTTCAACGTCTCTGTTAACTCAAAATATTCGGATATATGACTTAGTTTTCAATGATTTTTGCTATTTCTTGGAATTGATGATTGTTGGAGATCCTCTCCATTTTCTTGCAATTTTTTCACAGAATGAATTCACTTGTTGATGCCGTCCTTCTTCTAGCATATAGAGAGGAGGAATTGGAAACCGGAGTCTTCATCCTTGAGTTGTATATACTCACGGATATTGAAAGAAGGCTTTCATTCTTAGATATCAGAAAATGGCCTTTGTGGCCTATCTTAATTGTAAATGATCTTTGACTGAAAATACATTTGGCACGTTTTATACATACTTACCGACTGAGAATCCAAGGTTGGGTCGAGCAAGCCATGCCCTGAAGAAGCCGAACTCTTTCACCTGCTAGGTTTTCATTCTGAAACCTTTCGAAGGCAAAATCCCACTCCTCTATTCCTCCATTCGCTATAGCGTTGCAGTAAACAGTACCCTTCAGGTTGGGCGATATCCTAGAAAAACAATACAAAAATAATTCTATCGTGTTGTTATAAATCGGGATAGTGTAAGCTGACGAACTTAAACGTATCCATTTACTAAAGCTGCGCCTGTATTAGTCATTTTCATTTTCTAATTATCTATAATAATTAAACTATACCAATATGTATTTTTGTTACTTATTGTCGTCAGGTGAATCCATCCATTCTTTATACAGCTCAGAAGCCTGGTCTTTACATTCCTGGTATCCCCTGGCACAGGCTTGAGATATAGCCAGACTTCTTGTGAATCTAAGGTAAATGGAAGTCCAATATATGAAATCTCTTATAAACTGAAAACGCCCCGGTCAGTCTTTGTATTCCTAAACGTAGTATGGACTATCTCTTTGTTGGTGAGCATGTAAGAATAGGATGACAATGAACTACTACAAATAGGTTATGCTCCTACAATAAATCCAAACGATAAATGATTATATTAAACTTTCAACTTACTGCTCAAGATGGGGGTCATTGGTCAAGGAGTCATTCCAGCCAACAAAGTCGTAAAGAGGTAATATTTGTTCCAAGATATATTTATTATAATCCCCATAGCTTCCCGTGCTGCCGAGCATCTGGGTTATATAGCGGAGGTTTTCTATCGCTGCCCACCATGGTATGTATTCCCGCTCATTTATAAGGTAATTTGTTGTCTGCATCGCCATGGTGATGTCGACATTATGGATGCCTGCCCTGCAAATTACAGTATAATACCTCTTTATAGTAGTAAGCCCTATATTATCAAAACTGAATTGACAATTTTTAACTTTGAGGGCATTCAAGGTCGGGGGGGGGGGGGGGTTGAAATGTGCCATCCCCCTATGTACTCCATCATTGTTTTCCCAAAAGTGTTGCACGGTCATGTATTGTATAATATTTAGATCACGATTTGTCTGTCAACTAGGGATATTACTTTGTCATCTATGATCCAAATAAAATGTCAATAATTTGCAAAATGTTGTTTACCTTGAAAGACTGAATGCATCATCGATGAGTTGTGCACGATTCCTCCCTTGAATTGCCTATATAAAAAACAAACAAAAAGACAATTCCAAAGTAGAAAACAAAATTTCAAGCATGACTAGGCTACAATAAATCAATGAATTGTTGGTGATTAATGCGGGCTCCTGCCCTCATAGAAAATCTCATACCATTCCCTTGCGCTTTTTATCATCCGTGATTCATTGAACCCTAGAGTTATATATTTTAACAATATAACATGCACATCTAGTTTGACCATTATGATATATATAAAAAAAAATTTCGCACATTAACATCGAGTTGGTAATATGGGCTAACATGAAGCTAAATTACACTTTTTATGGAGTACCCATATTTATGGTGTACTATCTTACATTGTGTTAAGACTTTTGAGTAGTATCCTTACCGTGTGGTTGTCTTTTAATTGGCTAATGAGGGCGTTCCAGTTAGTTGTATCATAGTCAACCCTGTAGTAGCCCATTTGGTTGACGTTCACCAAAAGCCAGTCATTTGTATCAGTCGTGAGCTCATTCAGAGATTCTGAAATTATTACTTAGCGTTCGAAACACTATGACACTATTACTGTTACATTTAGCGTTATAATTTATAAGTATGTCCATGAAAAATTATGTCTAACAAGTGGCCCTCTGACTCCCCAAAATGCTTGCTGTAGACTGGCCTAATAATACTTACTTGTTTCTTCATTCATCCATATCATTGGAGGATCCGTGAAATTACTTTCAGATTTTGTAGTAAAACTAAGCGGAATTTTCCAAATGTAGCTGAAATGAAAAAGGCAAATGAAGACTCATACTTAAAAAGAAAGGTAACGTAATCAAACAACTGTAATCAAACACCACAAAATAGCAATCAGGACTGGCTTAATGGGGAACCTAGCTATTAATGATCATACTTATAAGCACTTGGATATTTCGAATCTGGTGTTTGTGAAGGGTCGAGGAGATAATGTTTCTGAACAGCCTCTGCTGACGCCCCATTTCGTGATACTGTCACAACTGGGTAGCCCATCTGACGCACCCATGTGTTCATTATCTCGCCAACATTGATGTCTTTACCCTCTGATGTAGCTTGCTGAAGTCATATTTATAAATTCAACTGACATGTGAACCCTGGCTTTGAAATTGATAGGTTATAGCCCACAATATCTTGTTTCAATTAGACCCAAATATTGGTATATTAAAAGCATACCATTGCAATAGACTTATACGCGATAGACGAAAACATGGCCATTAACATAAATGTTTCCTGCGATGCATCACTCCAAGTTGGACAATTTTATTGGTCAGTGATTAAACCAAAGTCCCCCAACTTTAAAACCATGTTTTGCGTATTGTTGGGACGATAAGGTCATACTAATATCAAGTTACACGTTATATACACGAGCACTTGCTTTTTGTTTCATAGCGAGTCATCGGGTCTCAGCTTCCGGGAACTAAGTGACGTCACGGTAGAACATGCCATGATTATCGTCAGTTTCGAGAAATATTCGTGAAAACGATTTGTTATAAGGACCTATATTTTATTGATTGTGCAATTATACGTGAAGAGAAATGTCAAATAAAACTGAAATGATGTGTTCAAAATCGGAAAAAACTCGGATGAACAACATCTGGTCTCGGAATTTGAATTAAATAAATTTAAACAGTTAACCAAATGAAATAAATATTGATGTTTCTCATAGAAATATTAACCTTGGAGTACTTACATCTGTCAAAGAGTTCCACAAGTCAGTGTGATGGGTGTTGCCATATGCATTATCTCTCAAGTAATTCTGCAAAATGAATACTGATTTAGGATTTGCTGTGTATATATTTTTAAGCATCGTTAAATGAAAAATTGCAAGAAATTTAGACAAACAGGCATAACCAAATTAAAAAGCTTTGGATCATTTAAATATTTTACTGAGCCAACATGGTACAGGATCGAATAATTCTCAAACATACCGCAAGTCCTTTTCTGAATGTACCCTCGGTCAAGAAGTTGTTCATCATTCTAATTATTGAAGCGCCCTGTAAAAACAGTAAGCTTAACCGAAATTATGTAAGAGAAAAGTCAATTATTATTATAACGACAGACAAAAATATCATACCAGTTTATTCGAGAAGATATCAGGACGTAGCTTATATGGTAAATTTATGTATTCTAAAATTGTAATAAAGTTTAAAATCGCAGTGTTCGTTAAATTAATATTGGTGAGCTGGTTCAGTACCATGTAGATCAGTGTATTTTCAATTTGCCCTTTTTAGAGATGCTTGTCAGAAAGTGCATTAAAATTATAATCGAACCTTAGCGTATGATATTCTATCAAAAATCTCATTTATTTCATCAGGATGGCCTACTGGGACATAAACTGGATGTGATGAAGCCAGACCATCAAGCTTGAACACATCTTCAAGATCTTCGACCACAAACTGTTCCATCTAAAACAATTGAGTTTTGAAGCGTTTGTAGATATCTCATGCATCACTTTATATATACTAGTTATATAATGTATAAGAGAGATTCATGTCATCAAGTTCAACCATTCTATAGCTAAATGTATGTTCTTAGAAATCAGTGTAATCGACAAAAGGTACACATTAACCTACGTATCCTACCGTTGTTTTATTGACAAACATGGGGTGATAATCGCTGTTTTCCTTGAATATCCGTTTCCAAGTCTGAATGTGAACAATTCATGAGTATGGCAGAGGAGTGAGTCTGGGGACAAATGTTTGACGAAGAATAAACATACAGTGAAACAGTGATACTCTTACCATTTTCCATTCAGGATGTACAAAGTCAACCCCTAGATATTCTACATAGCTGGCAAAGCCTTCATTTAGCCAAAGGTCATCCCACCATCCAGGCGTCACCAGGTTACCAAACCACTGTAGAATATGAAGTACTAAGTTGTACTAAGTACTAAATTATGAGCGATGATAGTTTCAACATATATTGTATCAAATATCGTTAACCATAGAATTTTACATTTAGTTAACGTGTTTCTACATGTAGTTAGATTATGCCTCCTTTCTTTTCTGTCAAGTGTTTTCTATGATTAACTTCTACAATTTACAACGCATTAATCATGGCTTGAAGGTTAACATGATTTACTGTCGAATTTATTCATAAAACCGGTCATGAGTTCGTTCAACCTGATGTGCCAGTTCATGAGAGACGACAACTGCAACCCGCTGTTTGTTTGAGGCAGATGACCCAGTATTATCATAGAGCAATGCCGTCTCCCTGTAAATGATCAACCCCCAATTCTCCATCGCTCCAGCAGCAAAATCGGGAACAGCTATCATATCTGGAAAATGGAGATTGCACCACTGGATTTATTTTAATAATCTGAACTTGCTTTTTGACGGAAGTGGAAAACAATGATTATAGTACTCGTAGTACCAGAAAATCCCTAGACAGGATATACGATTATATCAAAACCTCACCTTGTTTTGGTAAAGGGAAATCCACATCAAAATAGTCCTCAAAATATTCAAGTATTGCTATTCCTGTGCCAAGTGCATACCTTGTCTGATTTACTGCCTCTTTTCGAGACCACACTCGAAACTAAAAATCATATTTGGAGATATGTTTAATTTCGGTTTGACTATGCAAGAAAGCGACAGGGTCAGTTATTAATAATAAAATATCCATAGTTAATATTCAGGTGACATGTGAACATACAAGGCGGTAACTAGGACCAGTAATTCACCTATATCTTTTTAATTTTTTAAAAAAATTTTTATTCATTGATTTCTCAATTCACCCTTTATAGGGTATAAGAGTACAAGACATTAAAATAACATTATAAATGTACATTTTTTGCCCAGCCTTGATTAAAAATTTACAAAGTTTTTTTTTATGAAGAACAATAATTTTGTACCCTATTTTGTACCACCAATGTTTTTGTCATTTAAGCCCATCACATATTGTTGGAAACAAGAGAAGGGATATAGGTAATTTTACTGTAGTATTAGAGAGATTTCGCACATAAGTGAAAGTACAACTTATACGTATACGTATAGTTTAAAGGGTCATGTCGGACTATTATATTTACTCAAATCAATTTTAAATTGTACTAATGGAACATAACTATTCCCGATACAGAAAAGCTCCATCAACCAGAGACTGTGAATGCACTGTCATCTGCACGTGTAGATTATGCACATTATAATTAAATGCTTGCTTCCGTGTCCTAGTAGTTGTAGTGTATTCTAAACACGATCCTTTAAAGTGAGTCATGATCCTTTTAAGTGAGTAATTACATAAACAAGTTGATTATTTCAAAGTTTTTATGATCAGTATAAGTTCAATGAACTTACAAAATTGTATATACACGTAGATGATAAACGTATACAGTTGGATCTACGTATAATGCTTTACCTACATGTGTGTGAAACAATTGACCGCAAGCATTTTCTAAATTAATCGGCTGAGTAGGAACAGTATCCAATCAAATACTTTAACCATCAATTTGAAACACCAATCAAACCAGTAGGTTCTAGCAATTCCTAGAAACGACCCATTCAGTAGCTCAACAAATGACATACAGGGTGTTTCATAACGAGCATCTCCAAAAAGTCAATTTGAGAAGAGATGGGTCTATATGTATGTACTATATTTGAGCCTATTTTATTCTAGACAAACACATTTGGATCAACTAAACATGCTATAATTCAAGAAAGTACAAATGGCATCCCTTTGACCTTTATTTATTACAGTCCGAGAAGATCTTTCCTGACGAAATACCCACATTATGAAAACAATTGTACATCTTCTTATAAGTATAAGTATACGTTATAAGTTGTATTTTACGTATGTGCGAAATCTCTCTAATCTTTAGAAACAGCATTAAAGGAATATTCCTAGCCAGACCATTTTTCTCCTAATATGGTAGCTATAACCATATATATACATTCCATATTTAGCAAAACAGGGAAAAATGTTTTGATATGGTCAATATTGATCACTTGAAAATGTAGTGCCGGATTCCAGTAGGCTGCCATCTTTTTACTCAGGAAGTGATGTCATCGACTCTCAACTTACTTTGCATTTATAACACTATAAGGAACTATTATGAATTACAAAACTAGCTGAATATTCTTTTTCAATTTTGTCTATGATTTAATCCTTCTAAAAGTCTCTTCTTTTATTCTAAGCTGACAAGCTCTGAACATATTTTTGCGCATAAAGTAAGGATCACTCGTCTAGAAGTGATATTGTGCTATTTTCCTATACTGTTATATGCAAAATTGAGAGTCGATGACATCACTTCCTGAGTAAAATCTTAAAAGATGGCAGCTTACTGGAAATGAGCACTACATTTTTAAATTATCAGTATTGACTATATTAAAACATTTCCCCATGTTTTGCTAAATATAAAAAGTATATATATGAGTATAGCTATCACATCAGGAATGAAAAGGTTTGGCCAGGAATGTTCCTTTAAGTAATGTCTGCGCGAGTATTCTATATAGTGATTATTGTGTGTATAAAAGAATGCCGATGGTTAACTTGCATATTGATTGTTTTCTCACATGTTAAATGAAATATAATACTTTTGGGGGCATGTTTTGTTTGACGTTTGGAGAGGTTGCAAAACACGAATCTGTGACTGCACAACCAATGCCATCAGAATGCCTCTGTTCTTAGAACACTCAAGACATGAAAGTCAACACTTGAGTCGCCTTCAATAGCAATTCGTCATTTTTCTCAGTGTTTACCTTTGTACCACTTGTAGTAACACCTTCAGATTTGTCAAAGTCACACACAACAAAAGCCAAAAGGTAAGTAGGCATTATAACTGTTGTTTGGTAGACATCTGCCTTTAGGCCACCAGCTCTAAAAACACAATTAAACCTTACATTGTAAATATTTGTTAGTTCAAGAAGTCAAGTACATCCTTCATAGCTGTAATAGATTTTTTTCTAAAGTTATGAAACTCCAAATTTTGCAAAAGTAAAAACAGACATACCTAGTTATATTTATTATTTTTGCTATATGTATGCTTTACCTTACCTTCTTCTAAGGCCACTATATCGTGACCTTCGTCCAAAGATAAATCCCTGCATGTTTTTACTGCTGCATACTGGTCATGTCGTAATCATATAATTTGAAATCAAATGTTTGCCATTTTCCACATCACAATTTGAATTGCGAGTTGGTCTTATCACCTCACCAAAAATTCCAAAACACACATGAAGTGATCAATGAATTAGTTCACATCTTCTGGATCGCTAACATGTATTTTATTGCGTTTGAGTCACGTAGTACGAATTAGCAAGAAAATGATTTCTATTTGGTCGTTTAACGTTATGAAAATAGAACGGTATTTGTGAATGCAGTATTACTGAGTAAACGGTGTATGTATTCGTGAATAAGATCACTTCGGCTCTAAGCGGCGAGATAAACGGACGTTAGTTACTACCAACTCATAATCGTCACCTTGAAAATAATACGGCCATGCAGGCACAAGCTTACTGAAGGAATTCTCGGAAACAAATCCCAACAAACGGAAAATAAAATGAAGCTAAGAATAATCACTCTAAAACAGAAAAACTTTCTATCAATTCAAAGAAAAACAACACAATTTGGAAGAAAAATGGGCACAAACAACAGTCCTATGCATGGTTTGTTGTCTTTGTAATAAAATAAGATTGAGTAAAAATGTTTGAAAAGTACATATACTGGTTTTCAGTGGCTACCAAGTCACTCAATGAAAAACGACAACTTGTGCATCCAGAGTTAAGACAGCTTAGAGAAGCTTCCGGGTGTGATTTAGGCAGCAAAGCCACAAGCACAATAGGGTCATACGGCAGTGCTTTCGACAGATGGTCAACGTGGGTAAACAATTGCCCCGAAGTATGTATTTTATCAGCTAAGACATGATTTTTGAAAATCATTGACATTAGACAGTAGTGGAATCAGCCTAACGAACACTAGCGAAACCGACTTCTAATAAACACACATTTACAACATAAATAATACAATTTTTTTATCAGATCACATGTTAATTCAGATTTGTTTAAAATTTGAGTTTACATTTATCATTAGCTCTTGGTTTAGCAAGGTTTTCTCAGATTTGATGATATTTGTCATATTAGAAATTCAGACTGTCGTTTTATGACACTAATATTTGTATCAATATAAGTTATTTAAAAACAGTATATAAGAAGGTAGCAAGTGCGTCATTGTAGCAACATGCTCAGATTTTTGTCCAGTAACTTTATAATATAAGACGGTTTAAAGTAACTTTCTATGATTTCATCTAAAAATTAAAACCTTTGGAAATACTAAATATGGTTTAAATGCCATATATAAAATTTATTTCAGAAATAGTGTGGATCAAAATGAAAAAAAAACAAAAATAAAGAATAAAAACATATTCCACCTATGGGATTTGAACTCAGATCTTTTGGAATAAAAGTCTGCTTGGGTCCTAAGCCCTAACCACTACACCACAGTGCCAAAGCTTTCTGAGAGAAGAAATTCTTTATCTATATAATCATGGATGAAAAAAGTCTTATTTAAATGGTTAAATTTCTTAAAAATGATCAGAATTACTACTAATAACAACATTTTGCATGTCTAAGTAAGTATTATGATCTACATTTAGGATAAATGTTGTTTTATTCAGTTTTCATTTTGGGTATGACTTCCTGTCAAAATAGTGTTAAAAATGCAGGGCTCAACAAAAATTTTCAATTAGAAAATGATATATATCCTTTGATCAGCTGTTTTTGGTACCTGGACTCATCCTACTAGAAAGGTAAGACCATTTTCTTGAGACATATGGCTCGAAATCTCAAATTTCTCCTTCCAAGTCATAGAAAGACACTTTAATAGAAGCAAACATAAGCAATGGAAATTCGTTTTTAGAGCAATTTTATATCACACAATCATATGTGTTCAAGTTTAGTGATAAAGCTATAAGCTACACAAGGTGCAGATAAGTTATTGTAAAGGCATTTAAGTCATGTGGTGACATGATACGTTGTTGAGAACGCAATATTTAAGACCCCGCGGTGCAACAAGGGCTGCAAAGAAAGGCATTTCAGATAGGAGACTGTGAAAAATGGTTTTATCCAGCACACGTTAAAAAAAGGATTAATTGTTTCAAAGAATTTAGGATTATAATTATAAAACCTGTATTTTAAGAATCTTACTCAACAGTTTATGTAAATGTCTGTGCTTAATAATCAATATAAATTTTCGCTTACTTTAACACTTCACGCAGCCGCAGAGCCACATGCTAGTAAATGTTATGTTTCTTAAGTGTAAGTTAGAATAGAAATGTATTTTATTGCGTTTGAGTCACGTAGTACGAATTAGCAAGAAAATGATTTCTATTTGGTCGTTTAACGTTATGAAAATAGAACGGTATTTGTGAATGCAGTATTACTGAGTAAACGGTGTATGTATTCGTGAATAAGATCACTTCGGCTCTAAGCGGCGAGATAAACTAAGTAAATGTCTTTAAAATGTAATGAAAATTTTTCGGACAAACCTTTTTCCTTTAACCTAAATTGTTGAGGATTTCAAAGATTTTTAGCATCATGTTCTCAACAGAATAATAATGGGCATTAATGAGTGTGTGATGCTAAAGATAGAAAAGGTTTTACAGGTGGTCGGAAATTTTTTAATTTTGAAAATGAGTTTTGTTATTGCTACATTATCGAGTAAGCTAATCAATTGTCCATTATAAACATTTTTGTATATTTTCCAGCGGCGACGCAGCCGCAGAGCCACATTTTGGCAACCAGCATGTACATACGATAACATTATTGTACAAATAATACACTCGGTTTTTCTGCAGCACGCAGCCGCAGAGCCACATGCTAGTAAATGTTATGTTTCTTAAGTGTAAGTTAGAATAGAATTAGAATTTACAGCCAGTTACTAATGTCAGACAATAACGACATTTCGTCCAGTTTTCAAATATCGCCATTTTTCTTGGAGCCGTTTATTTTTTAATTTTAGACGAAATCCTGACGAAATCATGCAATATCTCATCAAGCAGCCCAGCCAGTTCCATTTTAATTCATGATTTATTTATCTGGCGATTTTTAAAAAATGTTTAATAAATTAATAACACGACGGCCAGCTTTTTTTCAAATGGTTCACTGTGTTCCAGATGAAATAACTTCTAGCAAAGAATTAGCTATATAGAGACTCGAGTAAGCTTTACCTATTCTCTGTCTGTTTGATTTCCATATTTGACAATGAGACCATTGCTTCTTTCCTCACAAGTGTGATATCGAAGGTTGATTTCACCCCAGGTTCATCAAAACAGGGAAAAGCCCTTCTAGTATCAGTCGGTTGAAACTGGGTGGTGGCAAGGTACCTAAGATACATGGAATAATGGTTACTCGTGAAAATTAGGGTCTTCCAGCTATACAATGACGTAATGACCCAGAAGTTGTAAATTCCTTATCTAGTGTGCGATAGCGGCTGTAAGCTTTACTTCATGCGAACTGATGGCTTTTCTTCATACGAATCGAAGTAAATCGCGACTCATTTCAATTGATTTACTAACCCTACTATCACACCAAACTAGTTCTCACTACGTTCTCGAAAACGGGCTTCAACTGTGTACGAACGGACTGGACCTACTAAGAACCGTTTGGGATCTATTTACAAACTTCATCGAACGTACTCGAACGGGTAGGTCCTCTAGAACTTAGACAATGCTCAAAATGTTCTCGTGGTCGTCACGTTCTACAATTAGAACGAGTGACAACGTACTAACGACGAGCTGGACGTACTACGAACGGAACCGTCGTACTTCAATCCTACTAGGGACGTTTTAACAACGAGTTGAACTGTCTGAGGACGTGTTGAGAACGGGGTAGAACTAATTGCAAACGGGTTTAAACTGATTAAGAACGTATTTAACACTGCTTATGAACGAGTTAGCAAAAATATAGTTATCACACCAAACAAGTTGCCACTGCGTTCTTCAAAACTGGTTTTAAACTGTGTGCGAACGGAATGAACGTAACTGCAACTTTCTAAGGTCTATTTACGAACTTTATGAACGTTCTCAGACGGGAAGGTGATTTTAGAATTTTGAATCGATTCAAAATTCGATGGCGACCATACCGTTCTTTAATCAGGTCATGTTGACCTTCTAGACTAAAGGACGCGTTCTACGACGTTGCACATCGACGTGGTGCGACCTGAATGAACTGCGAACGAGATGGACGTATTGAAGACTGTTTAAGAACGAAGAAGCTTATTATTTCAGACATATTTCCCGACCACAGCCAGATTGAGCCCGTTTTACGACGTTTTCGTAGGACTGGCAAGAACGGGTAAGAACTAGTTTGGTGTGATAGGGGGGTAACCCTACTATCACACCAAACTAGTTCTCACTACGTTCTCGAAAACGGGCTTAAACTGTGCACGAACGGATTTGACGTACTAAGAACTCACTAAGAACCGTTTGGGATCTGTTTACGAACTTCATGAAACTACTCGAACGAGTAGGTCCTCCAAAACTTAGAGCATGCTCAAAATTTTCTGGTGATTGTCAAGTTCTGCAATCAGAACGAGTGACAGCGTACTTAAGACGACCTGGACGCACTGGGGACACACTACGAACGGAAGTGTCGTACTTCAATCCTACTAGGGACGTATTACGACGTTGTGTAGTCAGGCGTAAATTGCAGCCGTGAGTACCGCAATCAGGCAAATAGAGGGATTATAAAGGCGTTCTGCACGGATTAGGGACACGATGTTTACTATTTAAGAACGAGTTCAACCGTAAGGAAATTTGGTGGATAATTCAGTAACATATGAGGACGTAGTGAGAACGAGGTACAACTAATTGTCAACTGGTTTAAACTGATTAAGGACGTAATTGAACTGCTTGGATACGTTGTGAAGTCGAGACGAACGCACAATTTAATCCGATCTAAACTTGATACCAACGTACTGCAGACGGAATTAAGACGGGATGAACGTATTTAAAACTGCTTATGAACGTATTAACAAAAATAGCTATCACACCAGAACCAGTTGTCACTGCGTTCTTCAAAACGTTGCCGAATCGGTTTAAAATGTGTGCGAAGTGAATGAACGTACCTACAACGTTCTACGGTCTGTTTACGAACTTCATGGACTTTCCCGGACGGGGAATGTGATTTAGAATTTTGAATCGATTCAAAATCCGATGGCGATCATACCGTTCTGTAATCAGGTCATGATGACCTTCTAGACTAAGAGACGCGTTATACGACGTTGCACACCGACGTGGTGCGACCTGAACGAACTGCGAATGAGATGGACGAACTGAAGACTGTTTATGAACGAAGTAGCTAATTATTTTAGATATATTTCCCGACCACAGCCAGATTGAGCCCGTTTTACGACGTTTTCGTAGGACTGGCAAGAACAGGTAAGCTAGTTTGGTGTGATGGAAAACGTTGTGTAGAAACGTTGGCGATGTATACTGTCAAAGTGTGAATTACCAGCAATTTAGGATACCAATTTCAGATTGTATTATAGAAATGCCCAAAATACTCACTTTGTCACACCACCTTCTTCGTAGGAAGATAAATAAAGACCAGCTAGACCCTTTGTTAACGGAGCTCTAAATGTCATCTTAATGGTATAGTTCTTGCCTTTAACCATTGGTTTATCCAACTTCTGAATGAAAAATTGCCTCTCTTCATCTTCTTCAAATTGCCCTTGCTTTTTGGGCCCATCAGCTGCCCCATTGGCTTCACTAAATTCAATGGACGCATCATCGATTGTTAGCGCTTTTATATGGAAAATAACTTCATCAGTGGGCTCCTTGCATTCTAACAGTATTTCAACACTCCCGGTGAACTCAAAATCTTCAGGGTTTTGTTTGTACATATCAGGGTAAAGTTCCACCTTGTAATGGTGAGGGTGTAGGTTAGTAGGCAATCGTACATCAACGGTGGGTTTTGTAGTTGGTGCCGTAGTCGTAGTCGTAGTCGTAGCTGTACCGCCAACGTCCGGACCATTTGGGCATGGCAGACCCATTGTACCTGGGAAATGTTGTATAACAGTTTGATTAAAACGACTAAAGAAACGGATCTGTTTTTATACCAATATAATAAGGTCATTACATTAATTTATTAATAGCTTACAACTACTATTACTACTATTTTTAATTTTTGTATCCTTATATTTTCGCATCCATTCGCAAGTTTTGAAATATTTTTACTATCATAATATAGAATTATATGAGATAACATGTTTTGGTGTGAGCTATAAACTTGGCAACACATTTCACATGTTCATATCTGATTAACACACTATGTATTGAATACGTACACGAGTCCTTCCCAGCATCCGTCAGGTTCTTGCAGACAGATTCCCATGTAAGCGGGGCAGTTGTGCCAGTATCCGGGATTTCTGGGTACTCACAGATGCACTTTTGTTCTTTAGAAGGTGATGCGAAGAAGACAATCAGGCCAACACCAACGGCAATAGCAATTGCAAGCAGCACCAGGATGAAACCGGTGACCGTAGTAATATAACAGCCACTGTTCCCTCCACTGCCACCATTTCCATCCTTATCAACATAGTAGTTAAGTCCTTGCTGACTATCTCCTCTCATTTCTAAAGTGCAGGTATAATTTTCCGAAAATTCTACCCGGGCTCGTGGTTTTTAGAAAGGCCCACTCGACAATACATCAACACACGTAAAAACAATACTACAACCACCAGTTGATGTTTGCACACATATATGTATAAATCAGTTTAAAAGTGATCGAATATCCTAGCTGTCACATGAAGTTCTTTAAAGCATATTTGCTTAAAGATTATACGTTATTCTTAAACAAGCGAAATGTTTTACTTGTCGTAGAGTTGTAACGTGTAAAACACTCTGTCAGCTGTTATCATGAGGGTAGGGGTATATGGAAGTGAGCAATATTTTAGTTATCATTTTGTTTGCACGATTTATCATGATAAGGCAGCATATATCGTCTCAAGTGGTTCAAATTCAAAAAGGGCATCGTCATGAATAATGTAATATAATTGAAAGTAATACATGCAAAACACCCTCTCAGAAATAGCTGGTTCATAGCTACCACATGCATGTAGCTGTTATTATTTATACCAATGCATTAACAAATAAACAGAATTTACAAAAGGGCTTTCAGAATCTTAAACAAAGTAAGCGCAATGAAAATGTCATAATTTCAATAGCTTAAAGTTGTTTGTTTTTGCGGCATATGAACTTGGATTACAGCACATTCAGTGTATCGATTGATAACGTTGCTATTTTCAACCTCTTGATGAAATATGTCTACGATCATCTCTCAATATAGATTGATTTTAAATATGTGTTACCCTTGAAAGGAAATACTTTTATTATGCAAATATGATTTTTTCAAATTTTCGTTTCCTCCAATACATCGGTTAAATAAAGATTGTTGATGCTTCGAAAGTTGAAAATGCGCTAAATATTGCATAACCTTTTAATCCTTAAATGACGGACAATGACAATATCAGACAAATATTTTTTATTCTGTTTTGAATTTAAGTTGTGCTATAAAATAGTTGATATCCTCCGAACATTGAAATATCAGCTTTCTACAAATACATATACATGTATGGTTTCGAATAATCATTTTGAGAATGAATTTGGTTTTCGAATGATTGTTTTATACTTAACATCTTAATTATGTATACTTTGAGAGCAAAATAATGTGCAAAGCATGTTTCGGAGGATACAAATATTTGAGAGTCGTGTAAGCATAATACACGAAATCTATGTTTAGGAGTAATAAATACCAAAAAGAAACTTTTGGAAAGTGGTAACAGAGATACCATTTCATATGTTGGAAAATATCAACGCAATATTGATACATTGTATGTCATGTACTCTTAGTTTATATTAGCATTAACATCATTAAAGCTGTTTTTAAGAAAAATGTATTTTTTCACACATATCACAATCTTTAGAACAATGCAATGTCAAAATTAGAATAAATAAATTATCTTTACAGGCCCAGGTTTCCTTAAACGTTCAATCCAAACTGTAAGTACAAACTAAAGTCATAGTGGTGGTCATAGTCTAACAATCTATAAAAAAATTCTGCTTATAGAAATTAATATAGCAATATCATTACTTTAACAAACCTTTAAATTATCTTTCTACATTTCAAAAATGAAATACATTATCATTTTTGTCTGAAAAATCCTTCATTCAAAATAATAGTTGACCCAAACTGCACTTGTCAATATGGTTTCATCTCATATAAAAACGCTTTGAGAAAAATTATCAAGTGGAAAGTATGACTTAATAGAATGTCGTTTTCTCCTATGTAAGTAAGGGCGCTTTAGGTAAATTGTTTGCTTGGCAGGATTTATATTTGGGAAAATGATCACGTGATTAGTCAACCAAGTGGCCACCCAAAAGTTAATGAGCTGTAGAATTTGATATCCTCCAACATGTGTACGGATTAAAAAACAAATCAGCTGTACAACTTAGGGCTTTACAGATTAAGTGCCATTAAACAAACAATTTACTCATAAGAGCCTAACCTACTTTCATAACGAAATATTACATGCCGCCTCAATCAGGGTTAACAAAAAACTGCATATATTAATATTCCTTAGGATAAGCTGATATACGATGGTAGAGTCCCATGGCAGTAAAACGTTAGCTCAGCAAATCAATCACCAGGCTCAGTATCCAAACTATCAACAATTCCCTCAGCAAAACGCTATTCCACAAAACCCTATTCAAAATCAGATACCTTTAGGTGGAATGCAGCAAGCAGAGTCGGTACTCATCAACGCTGAAGGAATCAACATAGGAGGAATAGGGGTGCCACGGATGCCCAATCCTGGCAGGGGCCAGGTTGGAGGCAATATGTGGAACCCCAATGGCGTTCAGGGAGGTTTTCAGTACCCAAACCAGGTAACGGGAGTTGGGTTTTCCCAAAGCAAGTGGGCCAGTGCGTCCCAGGTAATTTGAATGCCAACAACCTCCTCTTTGGTGGTAATGCATTAGATAGTCATATTCAAAGTGCTACTAGGCAAAAAATAATTTCAGATGATTACGTTACTCTGCGATTGTTATTGTCTGAATGGATTTTTCAATATCTCAATAGAGGCTCGTTATATGGTGTACTCATGGAGTAATGCAAATGTAGACTGCTAAAGTGACAGTGATATGACATCTATTTTTGTTGACTATACTTATTCCTCTGGACGTATTTGTTTCAACAATATTTAATGAAAAAATTTGAAAAATCTTATATAAAAAAGTACAAGTGTTATCCCTATGTATGTTATTTTACAGGGCAGTCTATTTTGCCAAACAATTGAGAAATCGATGTTCTCCTTTTTCCAGTGGGAAGTTTCAATCACTGCCTGAGATTTGGGATTCCGAGTCTAGGCACGTCTAGAAACTAAGTTTAAGCACGCCGGGTGCTTAGGCGTGCCAATTTTTACACACCTCTTATATAAAAAACAAAAAGACAGAACAAATGAAGTTTTATGAAAAGATATACAGATCAACCAATGTAGACAAAGAAAAACACAAAAGCATATTCTTCCCGGAAGAGAAGGACACAGGAACTAACCGGAGAGCAAAAATAAAATTGTGAAAATGATATAACAGAAGAAGAATGCCTCACACAACTAAAACTGATGAAAAGAGGAAAAACCCCTGGCAGTGATGGCATAAACACAGATTTCTATCAACACTTCTGGAAACTTTTAGCCCCATACCGGCTAAAAAGTTTTGAAAAAAACATTTTTAAAAGGAGAATTAAATATCGAACAAAAAAGAGGTGTAGTATCATTGATACCAAAAAGGCAAAAACCCAATTAAGCTTAAAAACTGGAGGCCAATAACGGCCCTTAATACTGATTATAATTATAAGCTACTTACAAAATTGATAGCCTCCAGAATATCAAGCACTCCCGCACATAATAAGTAGTGACCAAACGGGCTTCTTAAAAGGACGTTATATCGGATAAAACATAAGTCTTGTGATTGATCTAAATGAACACATGAAAAATGAAAACAGATATGGAATCATAACTCTAATTGATTTTCAAAAAGCCTTCGACACAATTGAGATCAGCTACACACTCAAGTCACTAAAATACTTAATTTTTGTGAAAATATAATAAAGTGGGTTACGATTTTTTATAACAATATTAGCAGCACAATACTCAACAACGGTTTTACTTCACCAAGATGAAACATCAATAGAGCTAGCAATAAAATTACTCAAGAAGTTTGGAGAAACATCAGGTCTGTGCATCAACAAAGAAAAGACAGAAATAGTCATAATTGGTAAAAAACCAAACCAACGTGAAATAGAAACCCTGTGTGAATCGATGAACTTAAAATTAGAAAAAAGAAAAATTAAACTATTAGGCATAAACATTCCTATGAATGGGGATAACATAGAAGACATAAATTATCAAGGAGCTTTGGAAAAATCGAAGCCCAAATCAAAATGTGGAAGCAAAGAATGATTACTGATAGGGAAAATTCATGTCATCAAATCACTAATGATCTCTCAATTAACCTATCTGCTAGCAGTTTTACCCCTTCCATCAGATGCATATCTTAAAGATGTTGAAACAAAACTACATAAATTTATATGGAATGGCAAAAGAGATAAAATTTCAAGAAAAATATTTCAGTTAGAACTGATCAAAGGACTAGAAATGGTTAACCTAAAAGCCTTCGCCAGAAATGCAAAGGTTAAATGGTTACGAAAATATTTCAATACAGATGACCAAAGTAAATGGAAAACTTTATGGAAAATGAAAGCTAAAAAATTATGATAATAAGGAAAATGGAATTGTAATGCTAAGGATCCAAAAATATTAGGAGACAAAGGTAAATATTACAAGCATAGATGAAATACTAAAAATATGGTGTGAGCTACACTACAAAGCAGCAAATGAAATTGTCACGAAGGAAGAAATAAAACAAAAAATTATATGGAATAACAGCTGCATTCTGAACAGAAAAGAAACTATAAACAACATGAATGGGAATCTAAGGAAATAAGGCATATATACATCAGTTATAGAGAACAAATTATTAAGATTCCAAGAACCGGAAACCAAATATAATTTAGCTCACCAAACATTCTTAGACTATAACAAAATTGTAGTTATGTTTACCATTATTACGGAGACAAAAAATGGTGGAAATGGGAGAAACTCGTACAAACTGGAAGTCACTCAGAGATCAATTGCCTATCATCTCAAATAAAAACACTTATAGGATGTTTAAAAGAGATAAAAATACAACCAATAAAAGCACAAGACAAGTGGCTTAGGGAGCTAGAGGTCCATGTGCAGTATGGCAAGTAATTATGGACGGTCATATCTTTCACCATGAGTACATACTTTGTTTCCTTTCAAGTGAAGTCCCCGTGATGATAAAAATATCAATCAATGCAAACAATTTTTCAAAATTATAAATAGGGACCCCATGTCAACAATTTTTCAAAATGTTGAACTTATTTGCTCAAAAGAGGATCTTCTTTTTCTGATTTTTATTGCATGAAAACATTATTCAACAAGGGGTCTAAAACATCTCAAAATCAGAATGATAGAAGTCTAGTTTGGAAGATATCAATCTTTAATGACCCAAAGCATGCTTTTTCAACATTTTTGAGAGGGGAATATTGTCTAGTAACAGACATTTTTAATTTTTCAAAACACTTATGTTGAAGATACAGACCTGTCAACCTAAAATAAAAAACGGGATGTTGACAGGTCTGGATATTGTTCTATGTATTGGAATGAACAATCAAAAATACCCCGAAGGCTATCAAATTATTTGCACTACAAGTATAACCGATTCTTTATAAAAACAATGTTACAAATTAGCTAGTCATTTAAAATTTTTCTGAATGTTCTTTTGTAGCTTCCCCATTGGTTGTCTTGTAGTGCTTTAGAGAGGAATTATTCAGCGCAATACCAGAGTTGCTGCTCTGTCGCGAGGCATACGTGATCCTTGTAGAAGGGGCAGTCGAATCCTTCGTACCGCAGAACAGATTTACAAGTTCCATCCTAAAGCGCTTCCCGGCTGTGCAATACAACAAGAAGTTTATAGCGCAGTTAATGAAAAATAACTGCTTTGTTACGGTATGTGCTAGACGAAGCTTTGCAAATTCGTGAAAGTCTTCAGAATCTGTATTTACATCTTGTATACTCGTCATAATAAAGTAAATGGTTACGGGTAGGGTAAGAAGAACAAAGATGAAACTTATGGCCAGCAACATTGCCGTCATTGAATTGGTATTATCATCTTGTTTTGCAGATGCGCCTGTATTCGACGCCTTGCGCCACCTGGCGGCCCTAGTAAGGTTTACGATGATCAAGATGTTACACGTAAGAAGAATGATGAAAGGCAGAATAGCCGCGATAGACATGTCCAACCAAGGCCATACCTTTAATCGAAAAAATTCTTGTTCTGGGGCTATGAACTCATGACAAAGAGTCGGTTCGTCTGTGTCTGGTTCATATGGTCCGCTTAACCAAAGTAGGTAACCATCAAGCAGGAGGAAATATAGCGTGATAATCAGGATGACAATACCAGCCTTCCTCCTGGTACAGATAAGTTTTGCTTTAAGGGGCAAATAAACAGTTACGAGCCGTTCAACTGTAACCGCCACCAAGAGCCAAGCTGACAGATGCGAGACGTAATATGCTAAGAAATAACCCCCCTTGCACAATACGACATGGCTCTTTCGATAATCTATATTCCATAAGGCCTTGATCCAATCGCGCATCAGCATCAGTGTCAGATTTAGGGTATCTGTGACACTTAGGGTTATCAGATACATGCTTGAGCTCATTTCTCGTAGTTTAGTTAGAGTCAAAACGAGAAAGGCGAGGACGTTCATTACTGTTCCTATGATGATGAGCACTGGAGAAAAGTAACGCATTATGGCCGCAGAAATTTTAGCCTCGATGAAATCATCAGTTGTTTCTGCTTTATCTATTTCTTCTTGGAACTTTTCTTTGTTATTATCGATACAAATTCTCGCATCTGCAATGCATCTTTGTGCAACAACAGGAATAAAACTTTTACAATAAGAGTATAACTCAAACAAATATTTAATATCAGTTCGGCTTGTATCGCAAAGTATTACATAGCTATTGTTAGGTGAATCCAGATCTTCAATTGGGGATTCAGTTTGGTTTTCGAATGTAACACTAGCGTTCTCGACAGCTGACACTGAACCTGAACGAGTTGTAGATGAATTCCCGTCTGAGTCATTCGCTGTATAATTGGCAAATTTGCCATTCGAGACGGAACGTGAAGGAACTGTTACTGTCGTTATATTCTGTGTAGTTACTGTGTTATTCATGGTTGTTGGTTGAAGTGTAGAATTAAAGGCCCTTGTTGTCGTATGGCTCAATGTGGTGTTCGCTGATGCTACACATGAGCATAACACAATGGATGCAATGATAACGAAGCACGAAGTTACCAAAAGTGCAAACATCATTGTTGGTGAAGTTTACAGTTCTGTGAATATCTGTCAATGGATCTGGAAATAGAAAAAATCTATAAGTCTATTGGATATGCACGACTGGTTTTAGTGAATTACATTCCTTTGCTCATATTGTAAGTAATTCAACGTACACGTGAAATTCAAGAAACAATTATCAAATATTTTATATTATTAAACATTGTTCGGATGGACAATTACGACCGAGGGATTCTTTTCCAAGTATAATTTTATCTAGAATCTTAAATATATAGGATTATTCAACATGTAAAACAATGAATCGTGAACATCATATTATATTTTATTTATTTATTTATTTATTTATTTATTTATTTATTTATTACAGTGTCATCCGTAATTGTACGGCCAGCCTCCAAAGGCTTATGAGACACAATTACAATCATATTATAAGCAATTTCAAATCAAAGTTTTCTCAGTGATCTTTGCACCCGTTTCCGCATAAAAGTACGTTTACAATGCAAACGGCGTGGGGTAAAGTAGACAGGCTACGAAAAAGTATTTTATTAAATGCATCTTACGTTGATAAGCTTGTCATTGGAGATAGAAAAAATAATATTTGAATAATTCATTCATGGCATTTCAATCGGCGAAGAACAGGTGCATTTCATATCGATATGAATTTTATATGATCGAAAGATAGCACCGAATGTAAACATTTATTTTGACAACATCTAGGTGTTGGTAATGGCAACTTGACTCTTGCAGACACAGTATTACTTTTACAATTAAGTTAGAGAGAAGAATATATTCAGATTGTTTTGATTTTTTCTCAAAGTGTTGATGTTTGTTTATAAGTGATATCAATCAAAAGGTGTACCATTGTTTACCAGTAGACATCATGAAAGTATAAAAACATACTATAAGAGATGAGCAATCAGTTGAAAACTGACTATAAATGTTCTTTTATTTATTATGTTTTTATCATTTTCATAATTCCCATAGAGTATAATTATTTAATGTCCATTTTATAATGGCATTAAAATGTAATGGTGCATTACTTTCCAGTCTATAAAATGCATAATTTGATTAGATGCGAAACTTAACAATAGTAAAAATGATAAAGAAATGGAAAACACGTCTACAATTTCTGAATACCATTGTTTTCTAATATGCAAATTGTTGATTTGATAAATTCCAGGTATTAGATAAGAAATTGTTGTCATCACCAATATAGTTCCAATTGTTGGGAGAATTGTCAAATCAGTTGGTCACGCGTATTATAGCTCATCAAAATGGTACCAGAATAAGCACACTTAATATTTTAACTTAAACAGATGAAAGAAAATCATTATTTTCAAAAGAATTGTATTTGGAAACAATTTCTTTAGATTCAAGTAGAAATATCTTACTTATTACTTACTTTTAAATGATTATGATAGGGATTTTGATGCTCGTGATCATCAACTAATGTACCACACCAACAATGTAAAACAAATTATTGGCATGCGATAAATGTTTGAACAACACTGAATAACTCGAGCCTTTGAACGGCCGTCGGCAACCGGATTAACCTACTTTTTAATGGCAAACTGATTTAAATATGAATGAAATAGTGGCAGTACTAGAAACATTTCGTTAAAGATGACCGTCGACATCATATACAGTAGGAACCCTTTCTTGACAATCGATGACACCCCCCTTCCCTTTTCTATTGTTTGATAGAGCAGTATACGGTAAAAAGCAGAACAAAAAAAACCATTGAGTTTGCGAACGATAAATCTAACTGAAACTTATGTAGCATGGGTTGATGTTCAAAGACAGTTTGGTCCATATGAAACTTCCCATAAGGAACTTTTCATCAAGATTCTTTAAGGGAAATTCAACCAACGGCAAATTGAAACAACAGTTCCCTACAAAACATGCGCTCCAAATATGGGCACCTCTCCTCTCTCTATTCAATTGTGTATAGAGAGGATATGCGCCCACTTGGATTTCGGAAGTCATATTTCAAATTTGATTCTAGATTTGGAATCCTAAAAAAATTCCCTATAATTTTCACACTTCGAACGTTGAATTTGCAAAACTTTTTTGTTAACCTACTTTTTGGACACTGTTAACTCAAAATCGATAAGAGTAATCAAAAAACGGATGGCACATTCTCAATTTATTTGTTTCTAAGCTACATGATGAACAAGAGCAAGGAGTTATGATAAATAACGGCAAATATAATTGATAGAATGTTGAAAATGTAAGATTTGACCTAGTTCTTGACCTTTGACCTCAATAAAGAAATTGACCTCATTTCTCATCAACTAGACTTAGTTAGTTATTAAGTTAGTTAGGCATAAGTTATCCGTGTAAGCAGCTTAAAGTAAGCTCTTCTAGTTGGTGAGAAAACGTTTGGGGGGGGGGGGAAGAAGAAAACTGGCAAAAGTAATAGACTACAGATTTTCAATCTGGAATCTAATAATAAATTCTTAGTTCTCTTGAAAATGTGCCCTATAAAAAAACTTTAGGTGACTCTGTAGCCGTATACGAGATTATTTCAGATAACTCAATTCTGTTTAGTTCAGTGCCATCAATTTGTTTGATTTTGTTTTTTAACATGAATAATTGGACGCGATTTTATAGATTTTTATGTCATATTTGATTAAACCACTGGGTTCACTGAATACAATGAATATCATAATGTTTTTAAATTATTCGTTTCATGTAGATTCACACTGGTCAGTAAAAGTACCAGGATGGCAAAATGCCAGCAATGATTTTTAATCACATTGCATTCAATTAATCGAAATTTTGACCACATCAAATTACTTCATGTATTACAATATGCATAAGAAATACGTAAACTTGCGAGCGGTTTATTTAAAATTGGATATTATAGAGAGTTGAATGGTGTTTGCAATAAATGGTCATAATCAAGGAAAACTAAATACATAATAGCCATAGGAATACTTTACATTGTCTGTCTCACATGACACTGGTGCTTTTTCAATATCATAAAATGAAGGAGTGCCGTGTTAATGAAACATCGGACTTCAATTAACGACTTAATAGCCAAAGAATATGGTATCTAAATTAATTTCGACGAAGAAAAACAAAACGACATACCAATTCGCAAGAACGTATAGTAATGATCATCAAGTACCATTGTATTATTTTAAAACCGTAGCACAATTGAACAAGGCTCAGTAATGAGTTTTAGTAAGATTACTATTGGGAAGATGTATAACTTCTTTTTATTAAACTGCGATCATAATGGAATTATCAATGGGATGATCAGCAAACAGTTCCGGAGTAAATACAGTAATTGTTGTAATACTTACGTTGGTTATTTCCTAGTCAATACGTTTAGAATCTCTCGCCTTTTAATAAACTTGGATACTCCAGTATCTGGTACAGTATGATATACAGTCAATGTATTGGATAAATAGTTATGTATCGTAATTAAGTCAACATCAATATTTTTAAGTCCTTCATTAAACTATTTTCAGGTTTTTGTGTAAATTGTAGATATTTTCATCGTGACAAGTTTGCACAGGCGTATCCGTTGCTGCAATATCCGAGAATTCATTCGATAACTAGCTTATATTTACAATTTAACTAACGTCATTAATATTCTTATATCATTTCACGATGATGTAACCAATAAGATTAAACATCCAGTCGTTACCATGGTAACGTATTTGTTTATTTTTTCTCATTTCCGTGTGCATTGTATTCTAATAAGTAGGCCTTTTACCTTATAATTCAAATACGCAGCTGTAATCTGTTTAAAACAATAATCGAATCACTAATTGAGCTCTAGCAATCAATTGCATGTAAATCGCATGATACCTTAATCCGCCTATGGTGTAAACATATCATACATCATTTAAATATCATAATAGATTGTATTGTTTTCAAACATATCGGGATGGTAATCTTGATGAGCGACTTACGAGTTATAATGCAGCAATTTCAAGACTTGCGTGATCTCCATTGCATTTTAATTCTTATCATTCTCGAATACGAGATAAGATCGGACTTTCTATGGTAATTTAAGAACGATTATCATTACACTGATCTGAAAATAAATCTTAGAATATGTTATCATTGTTTACTTCGCGCAAGTTTACAATGTCATCTATTTCTTAACGCAATAGAGGAGTTTCTATATAGCTTTGAAATTTCGCAAGACTTATTTTTTCTCAATGTTCTGCGCAATATGCTAAATGGCAGTCATTTAATTTTTTGAGATGAAAAAAGGCAGAACAAATTTGTTTTCGGATTTCATGTTTAGTCAAGGCACTGGCAATCCGCTCGATTACGCTGGTTACCGAAACGGGAAATGTCGGAAATGTTTAAGAAAATGTACATGTTTGCGAACAAATAGTACAGAAGACAACAGAATCGTCCATTTAATTCCTCACTTAAGTTACATAAACGCAATTTCGAAAAACAGTTAAGATCTGCATTTTTTACCCATTCCGTTTGCGTAACTTATTAAGTTACGTAAACGGAATCTAAGTGAGGTATTAAATCGACGATTCTGTTATCTTCTGAGCTATTTTTTCGCAAACATGTACATTTTCAAAAACATATAATACTGTGATACACGTTTGTGAGAAAAATGTCGTGGGGATTCTGAATTTCTTTCACAACAGCAGAAGATCAAGATGGCCTGCTGGAAATCAATCCTCTGATTCTACCTGCAGTTCAAACCTTTTGATAACAAATTCCCGGGACAAAGTGTACCATTTTGTTTCAAACCTGTTAACGATTTAGATTTGAACTGATATGTTACGTGTTATAGAACAAGTTTACACACTTGTCACTAAATATCAAAGAGTTGCAATGTATATAAGTTATAAAATAAATTAAAGATAAATTAAGTTCAGCATTGTTTGTTGATGTCACGGTGGTGTTGTGGTAGATTTCGCACGCAGTTTACTAAATTGTGAAAAAATGTTGATATTTACCCAATACTTCTCACGAAAAAAGTTTGGCTTGCCTGTAATGTCCACTAATGCTTAAAACCAATTGATTTGTATTGTCAGAAATTGTACAGTCCAAATTTCGTCAAAGAGAATTGCTTTTTTGTCCCGGTTACTATGTACTCTCAAATACTGGAGGTAATAAAAATTAACTAACATCGACGTAAAATGCCATTTACTTATTAAAATGCTATTGTTCAACTTGATTATAGGTCTGTTTCATTGAATAGTGTCAAATCAACCTACGTAATCCATGTCTCACAATTATGAAAATAACTTTACAATAGGCATGATGGAATCTCATTGCGCTATCAATACTGGAACATTGACGCCTGAATCCTATAAAATATCGACTCGGGCTTATCGGATTTTACTAATTGTGGCATCGGATAGCGATGTGGCTCTCGTTACGTAGGATTGGAGGGTATTTAGAATATGGACAAAAGCAATATTCTCGGTTTAAAGATGGCTTTTTCCAAGGTATTATTGTCGACCTTCTATATAAACCTACTGTCATCCCTGGTTGGGTATAGGTAAAATAAAATATCTCTAATTCGGTAATCTTGTTGAGACTCGATCAACCTGAGTTTTTCTAAGAAGATGAAAATTTTGTAAATATTTCCATGGAGACATACACGATGGTATCCCGATGCCAAGTCAATAATTAATGGTGTATCCCTATGTTGAGTCAATGCACCTTTGCTGAAATACTAATTTTCTCAGAAAAACTCAAGTTGATCGAGTCTCGACAAGAAGATTCATATTGGATAGTATTGCTTGAATCCATTTTCAACAGTAAGAATAGTTGTTCTTAAAACAGGACATGGGGCTTGGTTTTTAGAACTTTTTGTTGGCCCTGCTAGACAAATAGAAACACCTTAAATTTTAACATAAGATGCCTTTTCTAAGAACTGGTGGGTGGCGCCTGTAACAATTTTTAAAACTTCTGATAACTTAACAAACACTGTTTAGACTTTAGATTTAAGATTTGACCGTCAATGCAAAAAAGTCAAAAAGGTATTTTTTCTACTTACTTCTAATTGAAGAATTTTCTTTTCAAAATTATCCACAAGTTCTTAGAAGTTCAAATCTGACTTTAGATTTAAGATTGACCTTCAATGACCTACTCAAGGTCAAAAAGTCAAAAAGGTATTTTTCAACTTGCCTCAAATTGACTGATTTTTTATTTCAAAATCATCTACAAGTTCTAGCCAGCTTCCTGGTCATCTCAACCCCAAGTCAATTCAACCCAGTAAAACTCAACCCCAAGTCAACTCTACCCCAAGTCAAGTCAACCCCAGTAAAACTCAACCCAAGTCAACTCAACCCTGTAAAACTCAACCCCAGTAAAACTCAACCCCTATATTTCTATATATTGATAAACTCATAAGAAAGTTTATTTCATAAAAATAATTCTGATTATTCAGTTTGTGGTTTATCTCCGAAATGTCAACATGGTACTAATAGGATTAAAATATGGGTCATTTTATGAATCTTGCTAATACATTTGTTTTGTTGTAATCCCTATGAGGTTGACACTCGTGATTATTTGGAAATCTGGAACATGACCATTGCTTTCCAGGGGCATAGCCAGCTTTCAGTCAGGAGGGATGCGATTGCCCAAAAAATCAGGTTTTCAGTCGGGGGTGCTGATCGTGGCATAAGGGAGCCAAAAAAGATATGTTTTGACAAAAAATGATGCAACTTCCTTCAAAATTGAGAAAAGGGTGTCCTGGCTACGCCTATATGCTTTCAGTCTATGAATTAGTAAATTTTAATGATTTTGTTAATGCATATTCATACAAATAAAAAGTTATATTACATTGTTAATTAATTCTAAATTATCTAAAATTTGATTTCAAAAGATGTCTTAAATTAAATAATAGTGACAACTTGATGAATTATCGTTGAGCTTAACTGGTTTTTTTGAATACTTTTACAACTTTCTATTCAAGGTATCATGCAAAGTGCTAGATTTTCAGAAATGAATGACTTAAATTATTCATCATAAAAAAATTAAATTAGACATTGCACAAATGAATAGGGTTGAGTTTTACTGGGGTTGACTTGACTTGGGGTTGAGTTGACTTGGGGTTGAGTTGGACTGGGTTGAGATGACTTGGGGTTGAGATGACCTGTCACCAGTCTAAATGACTTAAGATTGAACTCATAATACTAGTATTGTGAGCAACTAGGTGGTGGCATTTGGTCATGTTAATGCGTTGTTTAACTGTGTCCCCGCCACCTGGTATCATATTCCTCATTCCAATATTTCAAACTATGTATCCACATGTATCTCAAACAAGAATTGAAATTGAAACAAATGCATCATTAAAATTCAGAATATCTAAAAAACATCTACATACCAGCAACTTGTTCGAAATTGAATATTTAGGGTGACCTTGACCTCACTATTCGTAGCTAGGTGACCATGTCATTCGAAACAAGGTCGCATCCTGTCGATCCAAAAATGTATGCCGACGCTTCTTTGGGTTGTTTATTCCGTTCAGCTGTCTTGCAAGTCCTAAATTATTCTCACCAATATAATATTACAAGTATTGTGGATAACAATTGTTGCGCATTAAATATACTCTAGCCAGATAAAATATTTATTGTATTTGTATGTTTATCGTTTGCCTTCAATCAAGGAGCGAAAATGTACAGCTAACAAACACAGGTTTGAAAAATTTAAATCATTTGTGTCTGCAATGTTTAATAAGTGATAAATACTATCATAGAAAATTATAGATCTTCTTTTCTGAAACAACATAAATTAAACAAAGTTTAGTCGAGCATCACGATTTCATTAATTTTGACTTGTTGGTTTTCAATGTCGTTATGATGACGTTTTTGTGCATATTTGTATATTTTATCGTTAGTTGTTACATTTGTACGTTTGGAATATGTGTGCTAATAATGATGTAACGTGTACCTTGTTAACCTATCTGAATCAACATTGCCTGCATCTCTCTGTCTCTTGATTTTAAATGCGACTGCCAGTTTCTGTATATTGTATCCGCGACAGGAAGGATGATCCACGGTCCCTCGGGTAGATTTATTGTATTTCCCTCAGGATATACCCTGTATCCATAAGCTCCTATTAAATAACCATCATGTACAGGGTGAGCCAAAAAACAATACTCTAGTTTAAAGATGAATATCATATGATATATGTTAAATCATGCCATGTATTATATATCACTCTAAAGATAAATCTTATTATGACACCATCCGATTGAAAAACGTTGTTTTCTTGTGGAGTTAGAGGCAAAAATTGATACCAGGGGTGTCACGAGCGACCAATAAGTTATTCACTGGGATTTCCAAAATTGTGTAAAATTGAGGGAACTTTGGCACCTTCAAAAGCGGTACTACATATTATACAAGTTTAGTGCAAAATTCACCAATAAAACTTAAATCTTTTTAATCAACAATCAATTGTGCATTACTCTTAAATAAAATAATGATTCACTCATGCATATTGAGTCAAGCTAGCTGTGACTGCAATATGAAGGGAAATTCGGGAATTTTCATTTTTTATTTCTGGTCGCTCATGACACACCTGGTGTCAACTTTAGCCTCTAACTCTATAGGAAAACAACGGGTTTTCAATCGGATGGTGTCATTGTTAGGAAATGATTTATATAATGCATGGCACGGTTTAAGATATATCATTTGAATCATTCATCTTTAAACTTGGGCATTGTTTTTGGCCCACCCTGTATATGTTGGAGCATCATACACACAAAATACAGGTTATTCTTCTTGGTAATTAACAACTTTCACCAAAATGATGACAAAAGAGCATTGGACTTAAAATCGCGTAATTGGCGTTTAGTGATTTTTAGATTCCGTAGTATGTAGCGTATATGCACATTTTCTATGTACATTTTTCCTACTTTTCATAAATCTGGAGAGTAATCGAAGGCTAATAACGCAAATGCAAGTAGGTAGTAGAAAGTTCCCTTTAACTTAAATTACATCTGTTTTAGTGGTTCAATTTTCATATAGCCCTTATGTATCAAATACACCCTATGCTTAGTGAGCGGACCTAATTTCAAGGGTGATGGTAAAGACGAGGCATGGCGCCCAAACCTGGCCTGTAACTAGGTGCACTGATGCTTTCTTCGCAAATTACATCGCCATTGCTCGTCATCGAAATTCTGATCGCCGAATAGACACTCTAGTAAACATTCATTTTGCATTGGATGTACATAACTAGAGACCGTCTTATTTCGCATATATGAAAAAATAAAACATATCTAGGTACATATATCTTTATATGTGACATCGATCAGGAATTATTGACATATTGACAATATTAGGTTGTAATTTCTTGCGGTAAATTCAAATTGTATCTTTAAACGACTGTTTCATCTTAACTATTCGTTTTATTGGATGTAAAACAAACGGTATGCATAGTTTAACATCTTTCACTTCTAAAACAGCATAAAATATCACAATATCATCACCTTATGCTGCAATAATACGACTTAAAAGATTATGGTACTAATATTTTTTGGTTTTTGGGCGCCCTGCCTCGTCTTTACCATCACCCTTGAAATTAGCTCCGCTCACTAAGCATAGGGTGAAATAGTTATGCAAATTAAAGTATGTCCAGTAAAAGAAAATGTTATATGTCACTTTTTGTGATTTTGTAATATGGGGTCTATGGGGAATCAAACCGAACTAGAAGTCACATTTTCAAAAAACTAACTGATTTTGAATATTTGATGACGTAAATCAAGATCATTTCAACCGATATTGCATATTGAAGTGTGATCATCACAATTTATATTTTGAGGATAAAAACCCCGCATCTGTAAATATAAGAAAACAATTTAAAGAATGCACATTGTTTTCATGGACTAGTAAAAAATCCAATATGGCAGACGAAAGTCAAAGTTTCGCTACACTGCACTTTCAGCCGATGAAATTGAAGAGAAGGGACATATAACATTAAACGTACCGTTTAATACAAGAAAAGCAATAACAAGAAGAAATACATCGATTAAAAAATCTATGGGGTGAGTAAGGTTGATCTGTCTGAATTTTCTCCGGCCAGGCCAAGGAATTGACTTGATTTGGGGAGAGAAGAGAGAGAAGAGAGAGAAGTCTTGTATTTCTTCTCTTAGTGATCATGGAATAAAAACGTTATTCAATGATTTCTCGTGAAATACATAGATTCTGCCCTTCTCGGGCAGAATATTTTCTGTATTTCACTCGAATCATTGAATAACTTATAATACTTATTTATTTTCACATAGTTTTCACTTTTGTCTGACTATATGTTCGACTCTATGCATAGCGTGAGTCTAAGAAACGTTATGTTTATAAATGGATCTACATAGATATTTTCGTTATCGGAATCGGCAAAAAGTTTTTGTATTTGGATTTTTCTCAGCATCGGAATTTGTAAGAAATGTTTCAAAACTGATTGCAAGGGGTGTATCTAGAATATAACAATTTCGATAATAATATAAAACATGACACCGTATAACGTACTGTTTTTAATAGAATATATACTATTGACTTTTTCTCTTGTTTTCTATTTTCTCTTGTCGGGAAAACTTACAATGAATTTGACAGTCAGTTTATTCAAACCAGACGCATAAAGATCAAGCACTTATTTATTTATTTATTTATTAAAATAGTTTATTATAGTGTCACTGGTTTACATTTGGTACAAATAAATACATATTCTAAAAACCACCAGCCGATGTCGGCTTATGAGACACTGGACTTTAAAGGTCAATAATAACAGTGTTTAAATATATATGACATTCAACAATAAAACTACAATTCATCTACGTTAATGCATAGATTGATAAATATTAATAATTCATCTATAAGTGATGATAAATGATTTACATCTTGTGAGATAATGACTAGATTCTTGACTACAAAATGGTGTGTAGGTTAGGCCCTCACTGCAATAAATACAATACATAGGAATAATATTGCAAATTATTATACTGCAGTCAACCGTTCCAGGTCAAATCGCCTTTTCATGAACATTTTGTATAACAGAGCAGCCCACTGTCTCTGAATTGATCTTGAATGCATTAGGCTTATAAATAAAAGTAACTCATTGTCGGTGTTTGTTCTTATATCTGGTGTTAAAATATCAGTTACAGTTCTATAAAAATGTGTTCTCAAGTTGGAATAATGTTTACATTGGACAGCAAAATGAATTTCATCTTCAACAAAGTTACCATCACATAATTTACATGTACGATCATTTAGTGCTGTATTTGACCAACGACCTGTCTCAATGTGAAGTGGGAGGCTACCTGTTCTCAGTCTAGCAAGAATGGTTCTGTGATGCCTTGGAATGTATTCAGACACATATGGTTCATTAACTACTGCATATTTAAACAATCTGTATGTTCGAAGCTTATTGCCATTCTGTAAATTATTTGTATCATCCCAAATGTTAATCAAACTGTTCTCTAAAAATCGTATGACAATTTTTACACATACTCCTGGCAAATATAAATATCCTTTGCCTTTTTTAACACGATTTTTAAAAATATATTTGTAAAGTATTTATTGCAGAAATAGTTTATTTCAAAGCCAACCAGTGGGTGTGGTTGTGTTTAGATGAATGTATGTAGCAGTCCTGAACGCTGGACTGCATTGTTCAGATGGCTGGATTGAGGCTTATAAACAACCATTTGTTCATTTCAAGCTCAATCACATTTGCTCTTTGGCGACCGCATGTCGTCTAGTAGTTACCTAAATCAGTAGATTTCTGCGGCACCCATAGGAAAACTATAGTCGCCTTGCGGTCTCCGTACGGCGTATTCAGTTTTTTACAGGCCGTGGCGTGTAGAGTCACTGTACGGTAATGCCCCCATGTGGCTGCCTTGCGTCAACCTTTGTTTTTTGTCAAGAAAAAATACACCCATCACAGGGCCGCCCTTCGCTGACCGTGCGTCATTATTTATAAGCTGTAACGGAACCGTAGTTTTTATGTCCCTCAAAATTAAATACGCCAAAAAGGCTGTCGTTGCAAATGTGACTGCTGGGTATCTACCGCAGAAGCTCTAAGACCAGGGGCGGATCCAGGAACCAACAAGGGGGGGGGGCCCAAATTTCAGGTCAGAGAAAAAACGTCCGCGCTAGCGCGGAAAAAAATTTTGGGCCCCTAAAATTCAAAAGTGGGCCCAAATTTTGAAATTTTGAGGCCCATTTTCTTCAAAATTTGGCCTGAAATTAACAAATAAGGCCTTAAAAGGCCCAGTAATGACCAAAAAGGCCCACTTTTTGGGGCCTGAAGGCCTTTTTTGGCCCAAAAATTTTTTTGGACCCAATTTTTTTTTTCTGGGCACACCCAAGGGGGGGGGGCCCGGGCCCCTGGGCCCCCCCCCCTAATCCGCCAGTGAAGACGACCGTAGGAATGTTTTTGATGGAGCGTTCACACATGATGTACCATACATGTACATGTACATACACATACATGTGTGCGTGCTTGTACAATATGAAAAGTGAAAGGATAGCTCTCGATGCAATATAAACCTTTAGATGTTATTATAT